ATTATAAAAAAATTTCATATAAGACGGATAGTCAAAGTTGGACACGCAAACCCAAGGTTTGTCTTTTTTTTTGGGGACGGATGGAGTAGGTGGCTAGTATAATACTCATTCTTTATAATAAGGTCTCTCCTAGAACTAATAAGACAGTATTAAAAGTTCACATGCATCTTTTTTATAAGGTAGGGCTATGTGATTTTTATAGAAATTAGTTTTAATTTAAATGAGTTTTAGCTCACATTTTCAACAGTATTTTGTTTTATTTATAGTAAAGCATGGTCATATTCAGCTAGCAGTATAGAAAAGCGTGGAAGGAAAGATTGAATCATTACAGCATGCAACTAGCTTGTTGCCTTAGAGCAAGTTTAATATAGCCCACTACTAGATCCAATTCATCTATAGCCAATCTAATTGCCAATCCATACAATAGTTGCTTACTATACTATTAGTATATGGTCTCACCTGTCATACACACATTACGTTTTGGAGTTCGTGCTGCAGCTGGCTACAGATCTGTAGCCCGCTACTCTTCTCTCTCATCTTTTATCTCATTAAAATATATTTACAGCTGGTTAATAGCCTGCTATTTTACCTGCTCTTATTTTAACCCAATCATGGCGCGGTCATGATCACGACGACAACATTGCATAACCTTTTGGAGAAACTAAAAATTAATTGGACACAAGGGGTTGGTGACAGGCGGCCTGAACAATAGGGAGAATATAAATCAAATTATACTCACTCCGTACTCGTAAAGAAAGTTGTTTAAGACAGTGATACGGTCTCCAAAACACAACTTTGACTTCATGTTTCCATAAAAAATATTTATTGAAAAGTGATATATGTATACTTTTATGAAAGTATTTTTCAAGACAAATCTATTCATATAATTTTTACATTTTTAAACTCAACAACTTGAGAGATATTCATGATTTATATTCTAAATTTTTTACTTAAACATTGTCCTAAACGACTTCTTTTATAAGTACGGAGTAAGTATTAATTAGTAACTCTGCCACTTCAAGCTAGATGGCAAAATAATTATTGGCCAGCCATCGTATGTCACAGTGTCCAGCTTGATCAAATATTGTGGCATCACGTCAAACTAAGTTGACTCTTGGTCCTCTCAATAATAATAAAATAAAATGGGGCAGTGCTTGTTTCTGTCAGTAGTTTTCTCGTACCTACCTAAATCCGTGCAGCAAAGTTGGGCGTCTGGTGGAGTGGCGCCACCAACGCCGGTGACTTTTGTTGACTAATATTGCTCCATTTTCAATCACATATGTGTTCACTATAGGCAAATACTCTCACCGTTTTTAAATGTGATGTTATTTGTTTTTTATATAAAAAATGAGTTTAACTATATTCCTAAAAAATTTAGTACAAATTAAATATGTAATCCATATATGTAAACCATATGCTTAAATTAACTGCTTTTGATGATAAAATAATTACCTACTACTTTACATAGTTAAATGATGCACACGTGTTTTTAGTAAGATAAATAGTTAAACGTTATATTCAAAAGTTAAGAATAACATACACTTAAAAAAGGAGGCATTATTTATATTTCTGTATTATATGGAGAACCCACACGAGGACACACTCAACACCTACGAACTTCTACCAAAAACTTACACATCTGCAGGTAAATGTGACTACTATGTTTTGAACAATAGTAGGTAGAGTCACTCGCGGATTACTCTAGCTACCCATTAGACTGAAGATGCTTTCTCATATGTACTTCAATGTATGTCGATCTAATGATAGGGTATGCTGGATTTTGGAGTCAAAGTGTAAGCACAATTTTCTTGCTTTTCTAAACAACCTTCATTATTTATGTCCCATCTGTTCACATACCTTTCCTATGCAGTCAAAAATGTGTAGATTGATTGAATGATTTGCCACCAAAATAAAAGATATTCTTGTGCAACAAGGGAGGAAAAGAATTGTAGGACCACAAGGAACAGTCAGGCATATTTTAAAGAGTAAATTCCACAGAGCCAGCAGTTGATGGAAAGTTGGAAACCCAACTAATGAAGCAAATAACTTTGACTATAAAGGACCACGGCTCAAGACATTTACTAATATTACTACCATAAATTCTACAAATAGAGCAGTCATTTGATCAAGTGGACTTATCTGCCTCCTTCAGTTCTTGTAGATGTTTTAAGGTGATTGGATGTGTTTCAAGGTCATTGTACTTACTTTCAGTGTTTGTACTATGTTTCTTAAAAAAAACAATCTTAAATCAACACAAGGACAATACATATAAACGTATATACTAATTCATATGCATGCTACAATTTCAATGGTTGTACTATGTTTCTTAAAAAAAATCCTTAAATCAACACAAGGACAATACATATAAAAGTATATAACTCATTTATATATGCATGCATGCTACAAATTTCAATGGTTGTCCATTTTCTCATGCATCTAACCCTTCGTCCTATACAGGAGCAATCTTTGCTCTATCGACATTCATGCGCTCCATGATCAATCCAAGAAACTAATGTGTTTTTATATTGCTAGATATATATATTGCTTGAAAGGTAATAGGGATTAATTAAGAGCATGCACAGGATGGTTCCATTTATGATAGCATACGTACACAGGATGGTTCCATTTATGATTATATATGCGTATAAAATGAAGACTTAAGACACAATTAGTAGTTTTTTTTTTGCATGTGAGTGAACATGACGGATGATCTGTACAAATGCATATAGAAACACCCTTGATTTGTCCTCTTCTGTTTGTTAGTGCTGTACACGGAGACATGCATGGAGCCACGGAGGCAAATACTGCTAACAAAATGCAGAATTAGCTATAGGACATGCATCATGAAACTGTGGCATTAATTTACCATGTCGTCTAGAAAAAAACAGTGATGCTGCAACATCTTCCACCAAATCATGATTCATCAAAGAAGTCCATGAGATAGGTACATGCACCATCAATATAAAAGATCTTTATATATATACCTGCTTGTTGTCTTGTATATATGCACATTGTCCATCTACTATTGAATTACAACTGTGTTGTTGTCTTTATACATCAACACATTTCAGCAAGGCATGAACTGTATTGTGGTTTATATATTTTTTTTCGCATCATATAGATCAACAGAAGGACAATACTTCATTTTACTACCCAAGCTATTAGATAGTCCACTTAACCCCTAAAGTTTGTGACATCATCTTAAATCATCCTCACATCACAACAACACAGTAATACAGTACATTTGTAACGTTGAAGCCATAAAGCTTGTGTCATCATCTTTACATGATCTTAAAACCAGCAATGGGACAAAAATCGTGCTAATTGGTCTATACCCTCAATATTAATAGTCATATCAACCTATAAAGTCATGGCCTCACATCATCTTTTCATTATTGAAAACTAATTGTTTGTTACAATAATTGATTACTCTATTTCCCCACGCAATTGAGGTGGACAAGAAGGGATGAGGTAAACTTTTACCAGCGCATAAATAAATTAAAAAAATGCTGGTTTAAACTTCTCAACTTTTAGCGTAGTTAAATTTCCTTTCTAAACTTAAGATAGAGCCAAATTTGAATTTTAAAATTATTTTAGATAGTTTTTTATTGTCTGTTTTTCAGCCTTAATCTTTGGGTTGCTAAAGTAGATGTATAAAAATCTTACTCCAAAATCATTTTTTGGTTGCTCCGTATATTATTCTTAGGTAATAATAAGCCATAGCCCAAGCAAAGATGATAAGAGATTTAAGTTGCACTCTTTTGGTATTCGAGAGAAAATATATATATATATATATATATATATATATATATATATATATATATATATATATATATATATATATATATATATATATATATATATATATGATATTAGAATTCTGGGTGATATGAAAACTAAATTACAAGCGGAGTCGTCCTCCTTTCATCACCTCCTCCCAACTCGACTCGCGCAGCACGTACTACGCGAAAAGTAACCACCAGACCTAGTATTCTATTCTTAGTCTCGCTCCCAACCCCTCTTTAATTATATGGGTATGATCTGTTAAAATATATGGGCTCTTTTTTAAAAAATTATATAAGCTTGGCCCGTTACAACATATGAGTACATGATGTAACTAGTAAAGCAGAAGAATTTTGTTTTTCAAAAGGAATAAGTTCACTTTGACTCCCTTAAATGTGACCCGAATCTAATTCATAACCCTGAACGGCAAAACCAGATATCTTGACCCCTAAACTGTTAAAACCGGTGCAATTTGACTCCCTCAGCGGTTTTGGAGGGCGGTTTTGCTGACGTGGCGCCTACGTAGCAATATTGACCGAGTCTTTGTTCCACGTGGTGTTGATGTGGCAATTACGTGGCATTAGAATTAAAAAAATGCGTGGGACCCATTAGTCATTCACACAATAAAAAATTGAGCCCACTGACATGTGGGACCTCCCTGTCTCCTTCCTTCTTCCTCCTGCCTCTCCCTTCTCTCTCTCTCTCTCTCCCCCAATGCGCTGCAGCGCCTCGCCGCATCCGTGCTCGTCGTCGGCGCCAGCCTCGCCGCACCGCCCGCCAGCTGCTCCGCTTCGGCATCCGCGTGCTCATCCTAGAGGGTCACGCCCGCCCAAGCGGCCACGTCTACACCACTCATCTCGGCGGGGGTCAGGCCGCCATAGAGCTCGGCGGCAGCATCATCACGCATTTTTTTGTGTGAATATTTCTTTTTGTATGAATGACTAATGGGTCCACGCATTTTTTTAATTCTAATGCCACGTAAGTGCCACGTCATCGCCATGTGGAATGAAGACTCGGTCAATATCGCCACGTAGGCGCCACGTCAGCAAAACCGCTGAGGGAGTCAAATTGCACCGGTTTTAACAGTTTAGGGGTAAAGATATCTGGTTTTGCGGTTTAGAGTTATGAATTAGATTCGGGTCACATTTAAGGGAGTCAAAGTGAACTTATTCCTTTCCAAAATGAAATTCCCAACCACTGATCAATGATTAATGGGCCTTAGATCACCATTGGGCCTAGCCCGTCGCACGGCTAATCCATTGGATTCCACATTCGAAGTCCCAAATTGGATGCGCTCGTGCAACGAGGAAACCCAGAGTCCGAGACTCCAATGCACCCGCCGGCCGCGCATTCCGTCGAGCACCTGGCGCGCGCCTCCGCTCCCCGCGACGCCTCCGCTCTCGTCCTCCTCCTCCCGGCATGCGGGACCCTCCGCTCCCTGCGCGCGCTCCACGGGCGCCTCCTCCTCCTCACGAGCGGCCTCCTCCGCGGCATCCGCGCCCGCACCAAGCTGCTCAGCTGCTACGCGGCGCTCGGCGACCTCGCCTCCGCGCGCGGGGTGCTCGACGGGACGCCCCGCCCGGACGCGTACGCCTACAGGGTCATGCTCGGGTGGCTCGTCGACGCGGGGAGCCACGCCGACGCCGTCGCGCTCCACCGGGACATGAGGCGGCGGTGCCCCGCGGCGGCGCAGGCCGACGTCGTGCTGTCCCTCGCGCTCAAGGCCTGCGTCAGGTCGGCGGACTTCCGGTACGGGAGGAGGCTGCACTGCGACGTCGTCAAAGCCGGCGGCGCGGATGGATTCGTGATGAACAGCTTGGTCGACATGTATGCGAAAGCTGGAGACCTGGAGAACGCCCGGAAGGTGTTCGATAGAGTTCCTGAACGGAATGTGGTGTCGTGGACGTCGATGCTGAGCGGTTCCATCCAGAATGGTATAGCTGAAGAAGGATTGGTTCTGTTTAATGAGATGAGACAAGACAATGTGCATCCGAGCGAATACACTATGGTGAGTGTTCTTGCGGCTTGCGCCATGCTCGGTGGTTTGCACCAAGGGAGGTGGATCCATGGATCAGTTATCAAATACGGGTTATCTACTAACTCTTTCATCAGTGCCTCTCTGCTAGATATGTATGCCAAGTGCGAGAAAGTAGAGGATGCTCGACGTGTGTTTGATGAGCTCGAGTTTGTTGACATTGTTTTGTGGACGGCGATGATTGTTGGGTACACACAGAATAAGAGGCCTCTTGATGCACTACAGCTTTTTCTTCACAAGAAATTCGTGAGCATTGTTCCCAATTCAGTTACCATAGCCACTGTTATTTCCGCTTCTGCTCAGTTACGCCACTTACCCCTGGGAAGATCTGTTCATGCTATAGGGGTTAAGTTGGGAACGATGGAATCTGATGTGGTCAGGAATGCACTTGTCGATATGTATGCAAAATGTCAAGCTTTGCCAGAAGCTAACAGCATATTTGGAAGGATTTTGATCAAGGATGTTGTCGCATGGAATTCAATGATGGCAGGCTACTCTGAGAATGGGATGGCCAATGAATCACTGGTACTATTCAACCGGATGAGGATGCAGGGTATATCACCTGATGCCATCTCTGTGGTGAATGCCTTGTCAGCTTGCGTATGCTTGGCAGATCTGCATATTGGTAAAGGTTTTCATACTTATGCGATAAAATATGCATTTATGTCCAATATCTATGTCAATACTGCTCTGCTGAACCTGTACAGCAAGTGTGCTGATCTCCCATCTGCTCAGAGGGTTTTCAATGATATGACTGACCGTAATTCTGTCACTTGGTCTGCAATGATTGGCGGTTATGGCATGCAGGGTGATTCAGCTGGTTCTATCGATCTTTTCAATGAAATGCTGAAAGAAAATATCCACCCGAATGAAGTAGTGTTCACAAGCATACTTTCCGCTTGCAGCCATACTGGAATGGTTACTGCAGGAAAGGAGTATTTTGATAGCATGGCACGACATTTTAACATCACCCCTTCCATGAAGCACTATGCATGTATGGTTGATGTGATGGCCCGTGCCGGAAATCTGGAGGAAGCATTGGAGTTCATACAGAATATGCCAATCAAAGCAGGAATTAGTGTCTGGGGATCCTTTCTCCATGGGTGCAAGCTACATTCCAGGTTAGAGTTTGGAGAAGAAGCCATCAAGAAGATGGCAGCACTTCATCCTGAAACACCAGATTTTTATGTGCTGATGTCCAACTTGTACACCTCGTATGGAAGGTGGGATAAATCTCAAACCATCAGGAGATGGATGCAGGAACAGGGACTCGTGAAACTGCCTGGATGCAGCTCCGTGGGGCATGAAAATGGATGATGACGACACAGAGGTGCTTGCAAAATAGAAAAGACCATGGAGCTGTATCATTTGGTGTTTGGTAACATCTATATGCACTGTTGAGGACATATGGCAGTGGTAACATGAAAGCAAGAAGTTTTTAGATGTGCAAAAATATTATACTGGTGAAGGATTACCAAAGAAGCAGAACGAGAATAAGGCAGTAATACTCTCTGTATGGAGTGCACAATTCCTTGTGAATGCATGGAAGTTATGTGTACCAGCTCATGAAGAATTGAAGATCCATTATTATCCCCATTGAGCTCCAAAAATGTCACTTTCACAAATTGAATGGTCTACAGAGTCTAACTACAAGCAGCCAAGCACCGATGGACTAGGTAGGAACAAGTAGTCTTGCTTCTCATTTAGTTTGGAAGTTATCTCCTCTCTCAGGAAGCCTAACAGTCATCGACATTTCTCATACATTACTCTTAATCTTTTGATCAACCAAGCTACTTAAACAATCATTTCTTCATACTTACAGTTCAAAGATAAATATTTGGCTCCTGCTACTACTGCACAATAATATAAATTGACTATATTTCACAAATATAGTAATATTGCTTGAAAGACGCTAATATAACTGTGTCCAATTGCAACAGGAAGGCTTCTAGTTGGAAAGATGACACCCATCTGCAAGAACTGTTTTCCCACATGTACAAGTTTGATTATGTACATGCACTATCACAACCATCAAATTTGTCTCAAGATTGATACAAAGCTTCAAAGTTCAAAGCATTGAAGCAACCTGCCCATCTTCTATTCATCAGGATGCATGTGAACCTTGAAGCAGTTGGAATGGGCATAGAAGCCGATAGTTGACACAAGTGAACATGCATATAGAGAACTGGAGATGCACTTATCGCCCATCTGCTGAAGAATTTTCAAATGATCAAGACAACGAAACCCCAAAAGCAAACGGAGCACAATCGATGCTGAGATACTGCAGTCCTTTCAGCATGTTAGGCATAAAATGTATAGGTGTAGATTTGTTAAAGGAAAAGCAAGCAACTGATATAGATCGCATTTGACCTGGAGTAATTTTTTTGTGACTTCTTTCACCATCCTATTGGGCACTTGCAGACTGTTACAAAGCTTGTGTTTCCCTCGTAGTTCGTGAGATGACTTCTCTCATCATTCTACTGGCGAGAGAAACACTTATAGAGGCATAGACTGACATACTGTTTTCCTCTTCCTAAGTCAAGTTATGCCATTTAAATCCAACGCCAATGGCCAATTGGCAAAAGATTCACTTTGTGATGCATTACAAATGTGCTTGTTCCAACACTACGAAATTGAATCTGTAACCTGCTATGTTAGTTTATCGGTCAGTTCTGAAATTCTCCTGGTCCAATGAAAATTGGCTTTCTATGGTTGCAATTCTTGATCCCAGTGGCTCAGATACTCTTCCAAAGAGTAAGAGACGATCGTTTCTTTCATCACCAGAATAAGTCAATCATATGCTCGGGACCAGAGGCACTTCATTCAGCTGAATTGAATCACCAGTAATCTCCACAGGAGCAAACCCCATCTCTGAAATGATGAAACCGTGAAGCATCCCTAACCACAATCAGCCTCTGTGTCACCTTGGATATGAACTTGGTGGCGTTGTGGCAGTCTAGGCACACCCTAAGATTCTTTATGATCCTGATTTCCGTCCCCGGTTCAGTACTGAGTAATCCAAAGGCAATTGCCAACTTTTCGCTATGCACTTTCACCATGTGCTCCTTCTCTTCCTCCTCGACATCATACAATGCTGCCTCTGTCTCTGGTCGGTATCCAGCCTCAATCATCTTTGCAGTTAGCTTCTCCAAATACGAATAGATGGCCTCAGACTGTGGGTGGGCACGGTCACCGGCCATGAAAACATGTGGCTTATTGCCTATCTCGATTAGAGTATACCCTGGTGTTTTTACCAGCTTCCTGCTCTTTGCCTCCTGCCTTACCACAGCTGCTTCAGAGTATTGCTTCTTGGATGTGTGCAGATTAGAGAGCAGAACATAGTAGCCGCTGTTTTCTGGATCAAGTTCGAATAACTTCTGGGAGGCCAATTTTGCAAGATCACTATCCTTATGAACCATGCAAGCGCCAAGCAATGCCCCCCATACGCCAGGTCCGACAGCGCTCTTGGGGAATTCAGAGATGAGCTCAAAAGCCTCCTTGAGCTGGCCAGCTCTGCCAAGGAGGTCCACCATGCATGTGCAGTGCTCAATACCTGGATTGATCGCATAATCATCGGTCATTGACCGGAAAACTTTCCACCCTTCCTCAACCAACCCTCCATGGCTGCATGCATAGAGTACTGACAGGAAGGTAGCACTTGTTGGAAGAAGATGTGCATCCAGCATGTCCTTGTAGAGCTTCAAAGCTTCAGCACCTTGGCCATGAAGGCCATATCCAGCTATCATTGCATTCCACGAGACCACATTCTTGTTATCCATAGTGTTGAAGATTCTCCGAGCTTCAGAAATGCTTCCACATTTTGCATACATGTCGATGAGCGCTGTCATGACATAGACATTGGGCTCCAAGTCCTCCTCAGTGATAATCCTGTGCAGCCACTTCCCCAGGGACAAAGCTCCAAGCTGTGCACATGCGGAAAGAGTGCTTGAGATTGTGATTGGATTCGGTCGCACATTAAGCTTCACCATTTGCTCAAAGAGTGCCACTGCCATCTCTGTCAAGCCATTCTGAGCATACCCTGATATCATTGCATTCCATGATTCCATGGTCTTCTCTGGCATCGTATCAAAGGCCTTTCTTGCAGACTCCATATCATTTAACCTACAGTGCAAAGTTGTAATTGCTGTTGACACTGGAGAATTGGCAGTAAACCCAGACTTGAGGACAAATCCATGTAAACATTGAGCAAGCAGATCATGCCCAAATGGACTGTGCACTGGAATCAGTGCCACCAGTGTGCTCGAGTTTGGCCACAACCCCAGGGTCATCAACTCAGTAAAGAGATTAACTGATGAACCAACCATGCCATTCACAGAATAACCAGAGATTAAAGCATTGTAGGCAACTAAATCTGGCTTCTCCATCATGTCAAAGAGACACCGTGCTGATTCCACATCCCCGCACTTGGAGTACAGCGAGATGAGCCCGGTAAGAACATGCTCATGCTCTGCCAACCCGCATTTCTCTGCGAACGAATGCACGCACCTTCCCATTGTTACATCTGCCACCTCCGCCGCGGCTGGCAGGACGGAAGCCAGCGTGGTCGCGTCAGGCCGCACCGACCCATCACACACCATCCGCGCGAATGACTCCACGGCCTCCGAACCGGAAAGCCCAGCCAGCAGCGTGTTCCACAGGACGGTATCCGGCGAAGGCACCGTGTCGAACACCTTGCGTGCATGGTCGACCCTGGACAGCACGAAGTACAGCTTGGCCAATGCGGACGCCACGAACGTGTCCGCCGCGTAGCCCGCAGCCACAGCGAGCGCGTGCAGCGCGCGCGCCGCGGAAGACGACGCGGCGCCGCCTCCACGGGAGCACAAGGCGGCGAGCGAGGTGGCGGCGAACGCGAAGGAGAAGGAGTCGGGGCAGGGGAAGAGGAGGCGGGGGCGGAGCGACGGGAGGGAGCGGAGGAGCGCGTTGCGGAGGAACCGGTCGGGGCGGGGGAAGCCGCGGAAGAGGCGGAGGAGGTGGCCGGTGGGGGCGCGGAGCGAGGCGTAGCGGAGGAGGAGGGAGGTGGCCGGGGCGGGGTCGAGCGGGTAGTGGCCGGAGGCGAGGGAGACGGCGAGGATCTGGTCGAGGTGGCGGAGCGTGGAGGAGAGCGCGACGAGGCGGAGGTAGGGGCGGCGGAGGGCGGCGGCGTCGGCGGCGGAGGGCGGGCGGCGGCGCGGAGGAGGCATCGACACGCGCGGCGGTGAGGGAGGGAGACGATGGGTGGTCTCGTCAGGTTCAAACTTCAGTGTAACATGGATGATCGACCGTCCGATCGGAGATGGATGGTCAAGATGAATGTGGACTTGTAGAGGGGTTCGATCCAGCGTTTCGGGCTGAGTTGATAGACGTACGGATTAATCAAGTTACTCCCTCGATCCCTCAGTTTCATATTGAAGTGTTTTTTAAAAAAAAATTGTTAAGTTTAAACAAATTTAAAAATATTTAGCAACTTCTAAAATATTAAATTAGTTCTGTTAAATTTTAACATTGAAATATGTTTGTTTTGATAGCATGGAGTACTATATTTTTCTATAAATTAGGTCAACTGGAAAAAAAAGTCAAACGACTTATAAAGTTATAATATAAAGTGGAAAGGGGAGTATTAGATATACAAATTTAAAAAATAGATTTGTTTTTTAAAAAATACACTGTTAAACGGTTTGAAAACGAAAAATGAAAAAGTAGCTCGTACTGCTATTTGGACCCTAGTAGAATGGATACCATTTGGATAAGTACGAACAAAGCCACTAAAAAAACAATTTGCTTTTCAGAAACTAACGCTGAAAAATAGACTATGTTAATAAAAATCATAAAATCCTTTAAAACTAAGTTTCAAAAAATTATTAGTGTCTCTAGCTGATAAACCAACAAGCACACGTTAAGTGAAAGCTCGCATGCGTCTTAAAAAAAGATGTTGACCTTCTTATAAACCTCCTACAAAATGGTTTATGGGGTACCCTCCAAACTATCACATTCCAAAGGATTAAGCAGTCCAGAGCGACGGCAAACGAACCATGTGCCACCACAAAAAATGGGCAAAAAATAAAAGGGAAAAAGAAAACAGTAGTACTACAGCTCCAGGGGCCTTAATAAATGCAAGACTCTGGACGTTGCAACGAAGCGGATAAGGCGTGGGACTAAAACTTTTCAAGTCCCTATCACATCAGATGTTTGGACTCTAATTATAAATATTAAACGTAGACTATTAATAAAACTCATCCATAATCTTGGACTAATTCGCGAGACGAATCTATTGAGCCTAATTAATCCATAATTAGCCTATGTGATGCTACAGTAAATATTCACTAATTATTGATTAATTAGGCTTAAAAAAATTGTCTCACAAATTAGCTTTTATTTATGTAATTAGTTTTGCAAGTAGTCTATATTTAATACTCTAAATTAGTATCTAAATATAGAGACTAAAGTTAAAGACCCTGGATCCAAACACCACCTAAAAAGATGGTGACAATTGCCTGGTGACAATTTGTTCTACGTTCTACCCATGCGCGGAGGCTCTCCCACTGAAAATGACCAACACCCGCCCAACGCTGCAACGCGCGCGAGGTCCCGCAGCATTTCACGTGTCCGCTTCCCCACCAGCCCACAGCACCAGCTAAACAACACCCGCCTCTTTTCCACGTAACACCCTTGGGGTTCCTACAATTTGGATATGGTCCAAACTTTTGGAAGGAAAGACTATGCGCACAATTTCGAATGCGGATGGCAAATTAAGGGGTTGTACTTAGAGTTGTCATAGAGTTTAAGCTAACTTACCTAAGATCTGGCCAACAAATTTGGCATGACTAACTTGTGGCTAGAACCAAACACTATACTAACTTAGTCAATTCTACTTGCCATACTTGTGGTAAATTGAGGCAAATTTTTGTTAGTAACCAAGCAGCCCCTTAAAGCCACACTTTAGGATATGTTTGTCACAGCTCCAGCTCTATGAGGGGTGGAGCTGGAGCTGGAGCCTAGCAAAACTAGTTAGCAAGAGATAACCTTGCCACACTTTTTTTAGTCATTGACTAATGACTAATTTAATGGATAAAAAAAATATGTGAAGTGTGGTTATGAACTAAACACATAACTAATATAATCGAACCTGCCTCACTTAATATGTGGCAAATTATGATATATTGTGGTTTTCAACCAAATAACCCCTCAATGTTAAATTTCTCGAATAATGGTATGGAGCTCACAAGGTTAACCTCTTAAACACAGATAGTCTTTGGTCCACAGCTTCATGCATCCATCATATCGACAAACAACCCAGGAGAAACTGTTGTTCAGTCTTTTGGTCATAAATATTTGATCATAAAAATTAACTAAATCATGTTATAAAAATTAAATATTAATGATCTTAGGGAGTATCTCTTGGATTTTTAGTATATCTTAACGTAGCATTCAATCCAAAAATCTCGTACTCCTATATCATTTTCTCAAAAAAAAAAACAAAAGGAGCAAATCTAATGCAGCACAAATACTATTCCAGAAATCTGTTCTTCCTCAGGGCCGTATCCACAAAAATTCCCCCGCTCCTTAACCAGAATCGCCGCGAGCCAATCCGGCGCCGCAACCACTACGCTAACCAGTAACCACCCCTGCCGCCTCGCTTCCACTTCCTCTCCTCTCCCCTCGACACAGCCACACGCGGCGCACGCCAGCGCGAGCCACATGGCGTCCACCACCACCACCACGGCGGCGGCCGCGGCCCGCTTCACCTGCCTCGCGCCGGCCACGCGCCCCGCCTCCGCCTCCGCCTCCGCGGGCCGCTTCCTCCTCCCGGCGCGGCAGTGGGGGGCGGCGACGACGCACGGGAGCGCGGCGGTGCCCGTCGTCGCGGCGCCGTCGCGGAGGTGGGCGCCAGGGGTCGCCTACGCCACCGCCGCCACCGGGAAGAGCGTCCACGACTTCACCGTCAAGGTTGTGGCATTTCGAGCCCTCGTGATTTCGATCCCTTTTGCCCCTCGTGGTACTGGTACTGGTACCGCCCCCGCGCTTTAGTTTGGATTCGTTGCGTGTGATGTGACGATGGGATATGGGTGAGGGCATGAGGCGCGTTAGGTTTTGAGAATTTGGATGTTGCGGTGTGTGTGGTTGATGTGGCTGGTAGTGTTGTTGAGGTAGGTACACCTTGGAAGCACGTATATATCGATAGATTATCGTTTAAATTTTGTTCTGTTGTTGAACGTGTTTGCAATTGGCTGGGTCAGGTGAATGCTGTTTTGTTTTTTAGATAATGGAAACGGATTAAGGTGAATGCTGTTGTATTTACAAAATCTCCTGTTTTGACATTATTTTTTTAGATAATGGAAGCTTTGATTGAACTCAACAATTACATCAAGGCGATACAATTATCCTGAGAACACTTCCAACCTCTCATGTTATGACATTATAACATTAGCAAATCAGCTATCGCCTATCAGGGGCGTCCTGTATCAGAATTGTTGGTACTTAGGTAGAAATGATGTGCTGAATTTCAGTAACTAGGTATTTTTGAGGTTTGTCTGAGTCATAGGCTTATAAGTGCACATAACTGTAACCATAGATTGATCACCGAAAGATGTGTCGTTGAACGTGATTGAAATTTAGCCAAATCAGATTAATGCAGTCAGAAGCTTTGTTGGTTTGTACTGCAAATTGACATGTCACAGCTCCAGCTATCAAGGGCACATTGTGCCAGAATTATAGGTTGAGATGCATGCCTGAACAAAATTGCTCTGTTTTGTGCAGGACATTGATGGAAAAGATGTTGCGCTTAGCAAGTTCAAGGGAAGGGCGCTGCTAATTGTTAATGTTGCATCTCAGTGGTATTTTTTCTTAATACATTGCTCCTCTGATATACTGTATACTAATATAGTAAGTTATACAGCATTACCTGGCATTAAACTTCACGCTGTTCTTTAAATTAAATTCCAGTGGGCTGACAACAGCAAATTACACGGAACTATCTCATCTTTATGAGAAGTACAAGACTCAAGGTAATATAATCACTGGTTTAGGTTTTGGTGCATTGAATTGTTCAGCTATTGCATAAGAAACTAGACAACACTTGGCTCTTTTATTTTCTTTTTTCAAAGCTTCTGTAGGCATGGAATGAACATGGATTCATATACTGTATGCGATATCACCTTAGTCCAATACTTCATCTGATTTTGCAGGATTTGAGATTCTTGCATTTCCTTGCAATCAGTTTGGTGCACAAGAACCTGGGTCAAACCCGCAGATTAAGCAGTTTGCTTGTACAAGGTTTAAAGCTGAATTTCCTATTTTTGACAAGGTATGTTAACTCCATTGTAAGAAGCGATTGGCTCAATATTTCCTGCCAATTAATAGTATATGAATGCATGATGCATTTCTGTGCTTGTACGTGCAATGGCAGGTTGATGTCAACGGGCCTAACACAGCCCCTATTTATAAGTTTCTTAAGTCGAGTGCTGGAGGATTTTTGGGTGATCTTGTGAAATGGAATTTTGAGAAGTTCTTGGTGGACAAAACTGGAAAAGTTGTTGAGAGATACCCACCTACAACTTCACCATTCCAGATTGAGGTGAATTTTGTTTCTGCCTTTATCATAACACCCTTGCTTTATTGTATTCGCTTGGTTTGCCAGATTGAGTTCTCGAAATATATTTTTTTCTGTACAACTTTGAAGATCAATGAAATAATTCATATCTATCAATATGTATTGTAACCTTACTAACTTCAGTTATCTGTCTCTACTAAGATTCCCAACATATGTTACACTGCATTTGTAAGAAGATTAATGGACTAGCCTTTGTGAGCCTACCATGTATGCATACTTTTGGAAAGAAGCAAGCATGTTTTGCATATTTTTTTGTGTACCTAGGTACTGATGGTGAGGCAGCCCTAATAGTGGTTGCAAGATATTGTGCAAATCTCTTTGAACCATGCCATTGTCGTAATATATATTTCTATGCCAATTTTCCCCAGCTGTAAAGATTCAATCTAGAATTTTTTTTCCTCTTTAGTAAGAGTTGACATTACTAAAAAGTCATTACCTCATTATTATATTAAGAATTAATGGATACAGTCCCTTGGTGTGTTGTTGGCGTCCACCTAATTATTGACCTTTCCAGGTCTAACAAAAATGAACACTAGAGCACTGATCTGACGGTCTTACAATAGTGTTGGGGAGCCCTTAGATATACCTATTTGCACCAGAGCCCAGATGGCCTGAGGCTGCCTATGGAGTTTGCATGGGCTCTATTGGCTATTTGCTTTAATATAGTCCCAGAACTCAGTTGAGAGTTGCTCAGTTGGAATGCAAGCTGCAAATAGATAATGTGGTTCAGAACTTCAGATGGTACTAACCGTTAAAGGATATATCCCTAAACTGTAGCCATTTCATCAAATATGGAGCTTTAGACTCATGGTGCTTGCTTTGGTATAAAAATATACCAATTTGCAGTACTAGGTGCATTGTCACATGTAATTGCGTTGTGTTATCATCACAGAGTGGAAAGCCAGAGTCCATCAGTCACAAGTCAATTTTTCTTATTATTGAATCGATTCACTATTTTACTTTCGGCCAATTTTCATGCTATATTTTAGTGTCATGAAGATAGCTTTGCTAAATGTACTAATTACCTTTGAATTATTTCAAGTGCTTTCCATATAAAAGTTTATGCATTTGGTTGAGATGCACATCCCTGAACCCTCTTTTGGTTATAATATTCCAAATCACTTGTGCCGCATTATTCTGTTTAATGCATTGTGCCATTCCCCGTTGCTCACAGTCTTCTTTATATACATCTCTTGCAGAAGGACATCCAGAAACTCCTTGCGGCATAAGTACTAGAGGTCACACTTCAGCTAAGCTCTTCTGTACATATGCCTTGCCTCATAATTAGAGTTTTACTTGATTATATATCATTTTTTTCTTGTGTAAAATTACTCACCGGTTATATATATGTGCACGTATATAGTTGTAACATGAGACTTATAGGATATCAAATCTGTAAGCTTATCTGGCCCCTGTAACCGTCTCTGTTGCAGCATCCTTTTTGTTCCATATATTTTCGTGAAGTTACATTCCAATGCATTTGTTCCTTAATACTCCCTCCGTGCTTAAAAAAAGCACTTCTGTTGCAGCATTAGAAGTTAGTTTTTTTTCTGGTACGGAGGTACGAAGGAAGTATCCGTTGTTGTGGGTGTCGTCAGAATCTACTTTGAGGCGCATATATCATCACTTTTTTTAGATAAGGGCATTTTTTTACCTGGCCTCTACATCCAACCATATATATCATCACTATGTCATCATTTTTGCTCTATCATACTCCCTCTGTGTCAAAATAAATTAACCCTCGTATTAGGATGTGACAACAAATCTGGACATACTTTATATCTGATTCTATTTTAAGGTTGGTTTATTTCGAGACAAAGTGAGTAAATTGGTACTCAGGTTTTGGGCTGTACATGGAATCATTGATACTCGTACTGTCCTACATAGAACTCTCTGGCAGCACCACAGCATTGGACATTGCATCGTTATATTTGGCACTTTTGATTCTTTGTATAGGTTTATTTATTTATATGATTGTTTGGAATATGGGAACATTTCCAAATTCATAGAAAATTGAATTGTTCCCACACTTGTTCATTCTGGTGTGTACCATGGGATGGTGTTAAAATTTTAAATGGTAACTTGGTAAGGGAGTAAAGTACACCAACAAAAATGTGTAATGCGTTGGACGATGCTTTTCTTGCTCACAGACAAAAAAGAAAAAGAAAAAGAAAAAAGCATCGCCATTCGCATGCGGTTCAATTTTGTCCAATCACCTGACATGATCATCCCATTAATTAATCAATCACAGATTTGCCATTATCCACTATCCACTATCCAGCCTAATCGTTGAGTGAAAATTTGATGGCAAGAAAGCATTGACCCTTCAATTCAACGGCTGGTAGGACCCAGTTGACCGACCCAATAAAGCTTTCCCTCCATCTCACCATTCATCCAACATTGCTCTTCAGCTTGCACTTACTGTACCTAGGGGTCCATCATTTGAAAATAAAACGCTATCAAAATTGAAATTTTAAAACTTAATTTGGAGTTAATTTTAGGGTGTTTTAACGTACTTCCTTTTTCAGCATTAACTATTAAGTCGTTAAGGATACATCCATAAAATTCTATCTATAAATTATTTTGATAAACTATTAGAGCTTATAATCAGCTCTGGGCTAACCGAAGCCGGAATGAAATTTCTCCTATACAGGGTTTGCAATTTCGCAATTTTGAAACAGGGGTTTTTACTGGTGGGGGCCGAATGAACTGAAATCACCGAAATTTTGTAAATTTTGGTATTTTTTGGCCGATTTTTTTTTTTGAAAATTTGACGAATTTGAATAAACTTTAAACAAATTCACAAAACTTTAGAAAAAAACCGAAAATTTCGAGCGAGATATGTGCTTGCATGTGGGGAGTGAAATTACCGATATTTAAAAAATTTCCAAAATTTCATTCCGAAATTGCAAACACTGCTCATATACCAATATACCATCTATAAATATCTGTCATTAGCCATAGCCTCTCTTCAGAACTGGAAGGTTAGCTGGTCCCCATATCTAAGCTAGAGCTGTCATTCACTCATTCTACACTCCAAAGCAATTAGTAGCACAGGTTAATTAGGCACTAATATAACCTACTATCTTGATTTGATCCATGCATGCATGCACATCCTCGTAACCCCGTTGACAATGCCTAGGTTCCTCGCCATCCTCTCCGCCATCGCCGTGGTTGCTATCTCCGGCCATGCTCCACCCGCTGCTTCCACCGCCGCCACCGACCGCGCGGCGCTCCTCTCCTTCAGCTCCGGCGTCCATGGCAACCTCTCCGACTGGGGCTCCCCGGCTGCTGCCATGTGCAACTGGACGGGCGTCAGATGTGACAATCGCTCCGGGCGCGTGACCGGGCTGCTCCTGTCGAACTCCAACCTCGCCGGCGTCATCTCTCCGGCGATCGCCAACCTCTCCATGCTCGAGAGGCTGTATCTCGACGGGAACCACCTCGCCGGCGGCGTCCCGCCGGAGCTCGGCGCGCTGCCGCGGCTGAGGGAGCTGAGCCTCCACTACAACCTCCTCGGCGGCCAGATCCCGGAGGCGCTCGGCCGCCTGACGAGCGTCACCTACCTCACCCTCGACGGCAACGGCCTCGCCGGCGGCATCCCGGAGGCCGTCTTCTGCAACTGCTCCGGCCTGACCTTCATCGGCATGAGCGGCAACTCCCTCACCGGCGACATCCCCCTCCGGCCGCGGTGCCGCGGCCTCCCGGCGCTGAGGCAGCTCAGCCTCTTCGGCAACGCGCTCTCCGGCGTGATCCCGCCGGCGCTGTCCAACTGCACGGATCTCCGGTGGCTGCTCCTCCAGGACAACTCCCTCTCCGGCGAGCTTCCGCCGGAGATGTTCGGCAGCATGCCGAGCCTCGTCTTCCTCTACCTCTCGCACAACCATTTCTCCAGCAGCGATGGCAACACCAACCTCGTGCCGTTCTTCTCCTCCCTGGTGAACTGCACCGGCTTGCTGGAGCTCGGCGTCGCGTCGGCCGGCGTCGGCGGAGAGATCCCGGCGATCATCGGCAACGTGTCGTCGGCCAACCTCTCCTCGCTTTTCCTGAGTGGCAACGAGTTCGTCGGTAAAATTCCTCCGGCCATCGGAAACCTTGTCAACCTGACAGAATTGTGCTTGTTTGGCAACATGCTGGAAGGGCCGATCCCGCCGGAGATACTCCGGCCGCCGCGGCTCGCGCTACTAGACCTGTCGAACAATCAGATCGTCGGCGAAATACCGAGATCCGTCGGCGAAAGCCAGCGTTTAGAGACCATTAACCTGTCTCAGAATAAGCTCCAAGGCACACTACCAGAGTCATTATCCAACCTAACTCAATTGGATCACCTTGTTCTTCACCACAACATGCTGTCAGGAACCATACCACCTGGCCTCAATTGCAGCCTGATATTGGATCTTTCTTACAATAAGCTGACAGGCCAGATTCCTTCAGAAATTACAGTGCTAGGAAACTTCCATGTGTATCTCAACCTCTCTAACAATCTCTTGGATGGCCATGTGCCACTGCAAATTGGCAACATGGAAATGACCGAAGCTCTTGATCTCTCCATGAACAACCTCTCCGGCGCGATCCCGGCGACGATCGCCGGCTGCGTCGCGCTGGAGTACATCAATCTGTCGGGAAATTCGCTTCAGGGTAGCTTGCCAACCTCCATTGGCAAGCTACCAAACCTCCATGTCCTTGATGTCTCCTCCAATGGCCTCACCGGCGTTCTTCCACCGTCTCTGCAAGCGTCGCCGGCGCTCCGGTACGCCAACTTCTCCTACAACAAGTTCTCCGGCGAGGTGTCCGGTGAAGGCGCCTTCGCGAACCTCACCGATGACTCCTTCGTCGGTAACCCCGGCCTATGCGGGTCTATCGCCGGAATGGCTCGATGCGACCGGAGGAGGCATGTCCACCGGCGCCTCCTCTGCATAGTCGCCGTCGCCGTCGCTGTCGTTGCCGGTGTTTCTGCCATGGCGTTGACATGGTTGAAGAAGTTGACGACAACCTCAGTCAGTCCACATCTAAGCAGCGGCGGCGTCATGGATGAGAGAAACAGCGAGCATCCGAGGATCTCACACCGCGAGCTCGTCGACGCGACCGGCGGCTTCTCGGAGGCGAACCTGATCGGGAAAGGGGGGTACGGCCATGTCTACAGGGGCGTTCTCCACGGCGGCACGGTGGTCGCCGTGAAGGTGCTTCGCGCCGGCGATGATGTCGTCGTCGCCGGCAGCTTCGAGAGGGAGTGCCGGGTGTTGCGGAGCATCCGGCACCGGAACCTCATCCGCGTGATCACGGCGTGCAGCTCGCCGGAGTTCAAGGCGGTCGTGCTCCCGTTCATGGCGAACGGCAGCCTCGACGGCCTCATCCACCCGCCGCCGCCGCCGCCTCCCGGCGGCAAGCCGGCGGCCAAGGCCCACCGGCGGCTGGACCTGGAGCTGCTGCTGAGCATCGCAGGCAACGTCGCCGACGGGATGGCGTACCTGCACCACCACGCGCCGTTCGGGGTCGTCCACTGCGACCTCAAGCCCAGCAACGTCCTCCTCGACGACGACATGACGGCCATCGTCTCCGACTTCGGCGTGTCGAAGCTGGTGGCGCAGCAGGAGGATGCCAAAGATCCAGACGCCATTGACGACGACGACGACGACGCATCATCCACTCCTTATCCACGCAGCTCCATCACTCGATTGCTCCAAGGCTCCGTCGGCTACATCGCTCCCGGTAATCGATCAATCCCGTATCTTCACAAGAAATAGTCCAATTCATATCAAAACTTACTACGCATAATTTCATATTAAACAGTACAATTCATGTACTCCGTCCATGCTAAAATTAACTAACCTTGTACTGCTGTCCAGATTCATCGTATTAGGATGTGTCGTATCATTTCATATGAAACAACCCAATTCATGTGCTCCATCCATTCTAAAATAAGTCAATCTCACGCTGATGTCTAAATTTATCATACTAGATGTATCATATTTGGTACGAGGTTGGTTTAGGTGTTCAGATTCATCGTATTATAATGTATCACGTCCAATACGAGGTTGGTTTATTTTAGTGCGAAGGGAGTAGGAATCAAGAAAAATTCCCGCGTTCCAAGCCGAGTTTTAAGATTTTTTGATCCATTGATGCAGAGTATGGATTGGGGTGCAACCCGTCGACGCAAGGCGACGTGTACAGCTTCGGGGTGCTGCTAATGGAGATGATCACCGGGAAGCGGCCGACGGAGGTGATCGCCGAGGAGGGGCACAGCCTGCACGAGTGGGTCAAGAGGCGCTTGTCGTCGGACGACGATGTGGTCGCCGCCGTCGAGCTCTCGGCGGCGACGTCGCCGCGACATGAGACGCATGTCGTGGTGGAGCTGCTTGAGCTCGGCGTCGCGTGCTCTCGGATCGTGCCGGCGATGAGGCCCACCATGGATGACGTGGCGCAGGAGATCGCTCGCCTCAAGGACGGTGCTTGGAGGAAGTGTTGCTGCGAGGATGACAACGACCACTGCATACGCTCGGATCCAAGAGACAATAGTGTGCTTGGAGAGGGATTCTAATTATCCCATGGGCGTCCACTCGTATTTTACATATCAACTACACGGTTAAAATAATTTAAAATAAATTATAATATAGATTAATATGTAATATACCACTCTATAAACACACGGCTACTGTAAATCGTATTCATGTCAAAATTGTTACTTTCGTTATAACTGGAAGAAGTTAAATTTAAAATTGCTTGTTTTATGAGGTGATATATTACATATTAATCTTTTTTTTTAATTTTTTAAAAAAACTTTAATCATTTAAGTGACATTTAATAAACGAGTGGACGCCTACCAGGAAATAAAAAGAGTTTCCCTAGTGTGCTTCTGCACCATTGCTTCAGTTTGATTCAAGGTTTGTCAAAAGGAAATGCCTAATTTCCACGTAGATATTGGTGATATCATGTAGTTTCTTCTCTTTTTTCAATTCAAGGTTGAGGTGCTTATGACATTGTACTTGCACACAGTTTCTCTTTCAAAAAAAAAAAGAAACTCATATTGGTAATGTCATGTCCGACTTACAAAAATACAGGTACTATTCACCCACTATTCACTCTACACATGAAGAAAAAAATATTTGCGCTATACGTACTATTTGTTGTCTAATTTTATTATTTTTGTTTATTTTCTCTTATTGTAAATTGAACTTACCTTGCATGTTTATCTGTAGATTTATATCATTGATGTTATCATTTTTTTATTTCTTTTATAATTATTTGAGTCTTGTGTAAATAACAGGTGAGAGTGAGATTGTATCTATGTGTAAAACAAACATTGTTCTAGTGGATATTAGTTGACTATCCTATGGATAAATTCTCAGGGTGAAACACTCCACAATATGGGGTGACGTTTCGCGTTGAAATGTTAGTGTTTCAGCACGATTGTGAGACATGTTATTGTCAAGTGAAATACTATATAGTAAAACATGTCACGAGTAATTGTCTGAACTCGAGATCGCAGCCCTTTGGTCAACGGTCAGTGTTGATTTGTTCTTTAGACATCTATAGTTTTAATCGAAAAGTGAAATCCCCATTAGAGGCCAAAGAACTCAAAAATAATTTGAACAAACTAAATTAGCACTGACTTTCACCAACCCAGTAGTTCATACTTCTTTTTACAGACATTCTCTTTAACTATACATGGCTTTTGAAAAAAAAAACATATATATGTATACATTGATACTTCGTTGCATCTTCTTCCACTCGATTAATCAAGAGAGAAATTTCAAAAAAAGCATTGTGCTAACACTAAATGGCACATCAAAATGTCCTAAAATACGAGTTAAATTTAAGCATCAAAATGTGCAGTGCATGAAGTTTGTATTACACTACACTACACCACGAATTAATCTTTTTGGGCCATAACGCTAGTAACTCAAAGACGAGTCCGAGGTGGAGCACGACCGCTCGCTCGCCGTCATCGCCACCGACGGCGGCGCCGCCGCGGCCATCACCGTCGCGGCGGCGACCACGTCGCCGCCGCTGCCGCCGTGCCCGTGCTTGGCGAGGTCCTCCTTGAGGAGCGCCATCTCGTGGCACACCTCCACCATGGTCGGCCGCGCCGGCGGCGAGTGCTGCGTGCACGCGAGCCCGACGTTGATCAGCTCCGCCACGACGTCGTAGCCCACGGCGGCGTCCGTCAGCCACGACCGCGCCACCACGGCGGCGACGTCGTGCGGGTAGTGTCGCCTGACCCAGTCGTGCAGCGTGAGGCCCTCGTGGAAGATGACGTCAGTTGGCCTCTTCCCGGTGATCAGCTCGAGTATCATCACGCCGAAGCTGTACACGTCACCCTGTGTAGATGGATGCCCTCCTAATCCATATTCTAATCACAAAATCAAACACGTAATTAGTTCAAGATTAGAAGATGATAATTAAGATTAGTACAAATTTTGTGATGATTATAATAGCTAAGTTGATTAGTTAAGTATACCTGGTGCAATGTAGCCGACTGAGCCTTGTAACAATCCGGTGATGGAGTTGCAAGGATCAGATGAGGCGGCGGCGATGCTGCCGGAGTTGGTGGTGACGTCGCCGTCGGCGTTCTTGACCAGCTTGGCGATGCCAAAGTCGGCGACGACGGCGGTCATGTCGTCGTCGAGGAGGACGTTGCTGGGCTTGAGGTCGCAGTGCACCACCCTCACCGGCGCGTAGTGGTGCAGGTAGGCGAGCCCCTCGGCGACGTCGGCGGCGACGGCGACGAGCTGGGCGAGGCCGAGGCCGCGCCCGGCGCGGCCGTCTCGCGGGTAGAGGCGGCCCTCGAGGCTCCCGTTGCGCATCAGCGGGAGCACGAGCGCGTGGAAGTCCGGCTGGCTGCAGGTGGTGACCACGCGCACCAGGTTCCGGTGGCGCGTCCGCCGGAGCACCTCGCACTCCCGCTTGAAGCTCCGGGACACCTCGCCGCCGCTCTTCGGGTCGAGCACCTTCACGGCGACGCGCGTGCCGTCGCGGAGCGTCCCCTCGTAGACGCGCCCGAACCGCCCGGCGCCGATCAGGCTCGCCTGATCGAAGCCGCCCGTCGCCTCGGCGAGCTCCCGGTGCGAGATCCTCGGGTGGTCCCTCTCGCCCGGCTCGTCGCCTGCGCCGCCGGCGAGCAGCATCGACCGGCGCGCGTCTCGCCTCACCACCTCCGCCCTCGCCGCCGCACGGCACGCGACGACGCCGAGAATCGCCAGCGTGAAGCCAACCACCGTGACAACAATCGGCAGCAACACGCGCCGGTCATGGAGCACGCGGCGCTTCTCGCCGCGGCGGCCGCCGCACCGAGCCATGCCAGGCCTCACCCCGCACAGCCCATCGTCGCCGAGGAACGCGTCGTCGGGGAAGCTCGCGAAGGCGCCATCACCCGGCACCTCGCCGGAGAACCCATTGTAGGAGAAATTCACCCGCCGCAGCGACGCCGCCGCCCCCAACGACGGAGGCAGAGCGCCCGAGAGGCCATTGTAGGACACGTCAAGAACCTGCAAGAACGGCAGCGCGGCGACGGCGTCGGGGAGGCCGCCCTCCAGCGCGTTGCCGGAGACGTTGACGTACTCGAGCGCGACGCAGCCGCCGATCTGCGTCGGGATGTCGCCGGAGAGCCGGTTCGACGACAGGTTGAGCACCTGCAGCATCGCCATCCTGCCGATGGTCGCCGGGATCATCCCTTCCAACAAATTACTCGAAAGATTCAAATAAAGCAGCCCACTCAGCTCCGACAAATCATCAGGGATCTTGCCTCTCAACATGTTGTGAGAGAGATCAAGATTCTGGAGGTTCACGCATTGCGCGATGCCGGGAGGGATGACTCCGGCGAGGTGGTTGTGATGCAGGACGAGCCACCGGAGCTGGGTGAGGTTGGAGAGCGCGGCGGCCGGGATGCCGCCGGCGAGCCGGTTGCGCGAGAGGTCGACGAGCCCGAGCCGCGGGACCTCCCCGAGCGACGGCGGGATCTCGCCGGAGAGCATGTTGTCGGAGAGGTACAGCCGCTCTAGCCGCCGCATGCCGGCGACGGCCGCCGGCGGGATGGAGCCATTGATGAGGTTGTGCGACAGGTTGAGCGCCGTGAGGTTGGTGAGGTTGGAGAGGTTCGCAGGGATCGCGCCGAAGATGCTGTTGTACTCGAGGTGGAGCTGCGTGAGGCCCGGGCCGAGGCGGCCGGCGATCGGCGGGATCACGCCGGCGAGCTCGTTGCCGGCGACGCCGAGCTCCTTGAGGCTGGTGCAGTTGGTCAGCGAGGCAAAGAAAGGCTCAAGGTTGGTGTTGTTCTCTGGGCTCCTGAGGTAGTTGAACGATAGGTACAAGAGCTCTAACTTCCTCATGCCGCCGAACATGTCGGCGGGGAGCTCGCCGGAGAGGTAATTCGACTCCAGCAGAAGCCATTTGAGATTCGTCGAGTTCGACAGCGAGCGAGGGATCTCGCCGACGAGGTTGTTCGCCCACAAGACGAGGAACATCAGGTTGGGGAGCGGGCAATCTATGGGGATCTCGCCGTCGAGCGAGTTGGAGGAGAGATCAATGTACTGCAAGGAGGAGAAGTTGCAGAAGATGGCCGGCGGGATGCGGCCGGAGAGGTTGTTCTCGCCGAGGTTGAGGTAGCTCAGGTTCGACATGCGCGTGAGCTCCACCGGAATTTTACCCTCCAGGAGATTGTTACCAAGGCTGAGCTGCTGAAGCTTAGAGAGGTCGCCGAGCTCCGGCGGCACTTCGCCGGTGAAGAGGTTTCGGGAGAGATCAAGTGTATTTAGGCTAGAGAGGTTCCCAAGCTCAGCCGGGACTCTCCCGACAAAGGTGTTCGACGAAATGTCAAGCAAGGTGAGTCGGAAGAGATTCCCAAGCTCCGGCGGAACTCTCCCGGCGAAGAGGTTCCCCGAGAGATTGAGTATATTAAGGTGGGATAGATTGCCGAGCGCGGGAGAGACCTCACCGGAGAGCTTCTGGTCTCGTAGCATCAGCTTCACGACACGCCGTCTCGACGCGTCGCAAGAGACACCGGTCCAATTGCACACATTGAGGGATCCCCAGTTGGCGAGTGCTCCATTAGGATCATTAGACACACCAGACTTGAAGGACATAAGCGCGGAATGGTCATTTGACCCGAGAGTCGGTATCGAGCCGTCGAGGAGGAAGAAAATGAAGATGAAGACGAAGACGAAGACGGAGATGGGCACGGGCGCCATGGGAGGGAGGAGGAAGAGAGCATGTGGTTCTAACCTCTTAAGACATTGGGTGCAAAATGCAAATGCTCTTGATAGCTACGTTTGCTACACCGCTGGGGATTTTAAAGGAGGGAAAGGAAGGGGGGGAGACATGGCTGCCTAACTACCGTTTGGGCTATAAGCTCTAGCCGCAGCCGTTACACCTTGGCGCCAAGTATTTGACATCGTGCGAATAGGACACGTGGCGCAACGTGAATGGGCTCAGCGTCTCCGGTGTCTCACTGAAAGTTGGGGCCCATTGGTGTGGATATACATGTTTGGTTTGACCGTCGGAATGGATTAGGGATGGAAATGGTTAAATAAATAATTGACAGTGGGTTAGACAGGGTGATTAAAGTGCTAGCTGCGTGTGATCATGTATGCGTGCGTACAAAAAGGTACGGTGCACGCGTACACAGCGAAACAGTCCTATGTTAATCGCGATTTGATCGAAATATATTAGTACTACTTAGTTATCTAGTAGTAAAATCTAAGGTAGAGTAATGTTTTAAAGCAAGAGATTATGAGAAGCAGCGGATGAGAATATGAAAAACCCATGGTTTTTTTTTATTGTCTACTAATTTCTATATTTTATATACTATTAACTTTCAAAAAATAATAATGAGTTTGAAGTGTTTAGCGAGTTAGAGATTCTTTGAATAGCTCTGCAGTTGCTAAATCCCCAAAACTGAGGCCAGACTAATTACTAGTACTTAGCTGTATGCCGCTATATGTTGATTAATTAACTGGCTTTCGGCTGAGATGCGTGTTCGTGTTTATGGTGTGGACCGGCTGGCATTACTCACAAAGCAATAGGTCTATTAATTAATTAACTATAGGTCTTTGGGGATCTAGGGTTAAATCTTAATTTTACTTTGTTGGTAAAAGAAATTCTTATTTTTACTTTAACATTGTTTTTCCAATTAAGAAACAGAGTTCAAAGTGGCACATTTTTCTAGTGAAGTGGCACAGATTCTACCTCCACAAAGGCAGCAATTTTAGTTAGGATTACAGGTTGTTGCAATCAAGAAATACACATTTTACAGAGGTAGGTCAAACCTGCTCTCTGAATATGCTTGTGTAGCCTACATTGTGTAGATGCTTGGTAATGTCAACAAAACAACTGAATTTTAAGTTTAGTTGATACTCCTGCCTAACTGATTACTATTGGTGCCAAAATAAGCTTCTGAGAATCGGCCTGGACGCAGGGGAGGAGATTGAAGGATGTTGCGCCGCTTGTATACGTAGCCTCCAAAAAAAAAGAACAGAACGCTTCAACAGGCTTTGCAAGCGAACCAATGGCTTCTTGACTTGGACCTGCCAGGGACTGCGGGCTGAACGACAGACCTGATTGATCAACTTGTCGGGGTTTGGAGCGCTGTTCAGGCTATACACCTGGTAGAGCACGAGGAGGACAATATAATATGGAAGCTTACTAACCATGGGCGAGTACACGACAGCATCGGCATATAACGCACAACTTCTTGGAACCACCGCTACCAACTTCAACAGGCTAATCTGGAAAGCCTGGGCGCCGCATAAGTGCAAGACCTTCGCCTGGCTAATCATCCAAAATAGAGTCTGGACCTCTGACAAGCTGGCGACAAGAGGTTGGCCAAACGGTTCCATTTGCCCCTTATGTCGTCGGACCCAGGAAACAGCCCTGCACCTCCTCGCAGCATGTAGATACACAAGGAGAGTCTGGGCAGCGCTAGCGGAGTGGGTAACGTGCGAGCAACTAAATCCTAGCCAATGGAGGCAAACTTCAACGGTGCTAGATTGGTGGGAGGCTACCGCAAATATACAAGAGACACCTAAGAAGACACTCCGCACTTTGATGTTGTTGGTCGCCTGGAAGATATGGAACGAAAGGAATCGTAGAACCTTCCAACAGAAGGAGCTTTCAGCTACCTCCCTTTTAGCCAAGATTAAGGAAGAGGCCAAAACTTGGGTCTTAGCAGGAGCGATAAGTCTTAATAGCTGGCTTTCTTTTAGTTAGCTCGGACCAAAGGTCCTAGCTCCTTTCTTTTTTCCTTTCGCTTTGTAAAGTTCTCCTTCTCTATTCAATGAAATTGGCGCTCGTTGATTCGTTAAAAAAAACTGATTACTATCGTTTTAAGAAGTTATAGTAATAAATCACAGTCCATTAATGCTTCTCATAGACAAAGCTAATATAACTGGTACGAAACATAAACATAGTTGATTATTTTAACGTAGTTAGTATATGATTAAATTAGCATTTCGATTTAGGATATTAGTTTTAATTTAGTGGATTATCTTCGTCAATATTCTTCGGACCAGTTTGTCGATCTTAAACTGAACAGGAAAGCTAATTATTGGGTAGTATTCATGGGAAACTAGTTTAAGCTCTTGAGTGATGTATCCTATGTATTCACTTCTTTAGTGATAAATTTGGTGGTTCTAAAGCTTTTGTTGTTGTGAATAATTAAGAGTAGACATTAAATCTTAAAGAACTAATAATATTCTAATGTCAAAATTATCACTAGTAGAAGTGAACTCAACTATTGATGTATGAGCTTTACTACCAGTTCAAAAATTATTCTACTATTAGTAGTTAAGATAATAGTATAAAAATATGATCATTGGATTAGAAAGCATAAATAATTTAGATTAATTATACTACCAGCAAAGACCATTATAAAACATCTCTTGTAGAAAACTAGTTTATGTGTTCGGCGCCCCTTCTTACCAACCTATTTCTCTCGTTTTCCGCGTGAACGCTTTTCAAACTGCTAAACGGTGTGTTTTTTTTAAAAAGTTTTTATACGAAAGTTTCTTAAAAAATCAAATTAATCCATTTTAAAAAAATAGCTAATACTTAATTAATCACGCGCTAATAGACCGCTCCGTTTTCTGTGTGGGTACTTCGTGTTGGAAACCAGGTGTTCCGAACACACCCGACATCGAGTGCATGTGTCCTAGCTAGTACTACTTTAGTGATAATATTTGGTACTTCTAGGAAGGTTTTGTTGTTGTGAATAATTAAGAGTAAGGATTAAACCTTGAAGAACTATATATAGGTAATTCCAAATTGGAAGGTAACATGATAAGACATGCAAGGAAAGCACTAAAGCTACCATCATCTGATTCAGATCATTAGATGGATCACACTCTGAAATGGAAGACCTGTAACCTTTTCTTTTGTTTTGTTTTTGTCTGCAGTTTTCTTTTGCAAAGAAAAGCCAGTGGAACAGCATCTTTTGTATGATAAAGAGGAGCAAACAAATCAACCAAAATGCGTCATACTGCCAGTTTGGTACGCAATTGCAACATGAATGAGAAGTCACTCACACCTTTATCTAGCTAGATCTTAGTTACCATCACATCAATCTTTGCTTATTGCTGATCTGCCTGCAAGACTGCAACAACAATTGTAATTTATACTATCTTATTATTATGCATGATCTGTCATGTGTGCATGCCCACAATATTGTTCAGTTCTTTAAGGCTCTTTACCTTGCAGAGATCATCTTGTATTTCCTGCCATTGACTACATATCTTCAGTACTTTGTTCTTTCAGTTTAAGTTAATGAAATGATGTAAGGTCACTAGTCAGAGTAAGTATGAACATATAAACACAAGATCACACTTTGAACTACATTGCCTTACCCTTTCTTACACATCTTACAATATCCTGATATAAAAGTCTGACTACTAGAACATAAAAGTCCAAAAGCTCATGGATGCAGAACACTTTGCAAAGTCGCCACTAGGTTTTATATATTCAGGTCAAAACCCCACAAACACTAGCAATTTAAAACCTAAAATGCTTCAGGTAACAATCTTCAATTCATATCTCTCAAAAACAATCTTTAATTCATGAGTAAAACCAGTATATTGTGTGTCAGTCGCTTTCTGCTAATCCTGAACCTGACTAAAAGCCAGCAAGCGTGCTAATTGAAAAGCCTAAAAAAATCTGGCAGTAGCATGGAAGTTCTTGTCAAATCAAGAACAAAATTAAACTACATTGCTGGGTGGTGAATTGGAAGACAGCATGATATCATCAGATGCATCGAACAGTGACGACTTTTGCAGCATTTGGATTTGTTTATGTTTGATCATTAGCACCTGAATAATGACCTAACTGATCAAGATCCATTTCTCTTCCTCCTTCAGCTGTACGTTGTTCTTATTCAAGTATATGCATGGCCGGTTGCTAATGGAGTCCGACATGTTTGCAACATGAACAGATTAATCGAGTGCAGCTTCCATTGATGAATTAATAACAGAAAGAATTTAGCACTAGTTAGTAGGCGATCCCCTAACCATCCAATAAACCAATATACTAATCACATTCCCTACCAAGGCAGAGATGATTAGAGATCATGAGAGCTAACTCAAATGCGCTACGAGAAGGAAGCACTAGTGATTTCTCCGATCCTTCTCAAAGGTCTCAATAATATTAACAATGGCGAAATGAGGATTGTGACGAGAAGTTTCTCGTGGCTAATTAGGTGTTAATTAATTGGAGAACAGCGAGTCGTCCTTGGTCGTCGACAACGACCTGCCGTCGTCGTCGTCCTCGTCCTCGTCGGTGGCGGCGGCGATGGCGGCGGCGGCGGCGGCGTGCCTCCTGATAGCCTCGTTGAGCAACGTGATCTCGTGGCAGACGTCCACCATGCTCGGCCGCAGCGCCGGCGAGTGCTGCGTGCACACGAGCCCGAGCTCGATGAGCTCGACGGCGGCCACGTCGGCCGCCGCCGGCGACGCCGCCGTCGACATCGGCGACGGCGCCTCCCGGCGCCACGGCGCGTGCGCGACGACGGCGGCGACGTCGTGCGGGTAGTGTCGCCTGACCCAGTCGTGCAGCGTGAGGCCCTCGTGGAAGATGACGTCGGTCGGCCTCTTCCCGGTGATCAGCTCGAGTATCATCACGCCGAAGCTGTACACGTCACCCTGTCGAGATGGATGCCCTCCTAATCCATATTCTAATCACAAAATCAAACACGTAATTAGTAAGGGACTATCTTAAAAAACTGAAAAACTTTCAAATCTAAATATATATGTATCTGTGATATAATTTCACTACAACTATAATATAATTTGTATATATAATTTTATATGTAACTTATATAGATATTACAATATAGTTATAGTACAATTACACTATAATATAACTATATTATAGTTATAATATAGTTATAATATAACTATAGTATAATCATATTATAATTACTACAGCTATAGTATACACTATAGTAACGTTCGAAAGTTTTTTTTTTCTCAGAATACATGCACAATTCCGATTAGTAATAAGATGGTGAGATAAGTGCAAGTTAATTGCAAAAAAGTTGTGTGAATGGATGCATGGATGCATGCGACGTGCACGTACCAGGCGCGATGTATCCGACCGAGCCTTGCAAGAGTCCGGTGATGGAGTTGCACGGTGCGGACTCGTCGCTCGTGCTGCTGGCGCCGCCGTCTCCGACGGCGGCGGCGGCGCCGGAGATGAGCTTGGCGATGCCGAAGTCGGAGATCACGGCGCGCATGTCGTCGTCGAGGAGGACGTTGCTGGGCTTGAGGTCGCAGTGCACCACCCTCACCGGCGCGTAGTGGTGCAGGTACGCGAGCCCCTCCGCGACGTCGCTCACGACGCTCATCAGCCGCCCGAAGTCCAGCCCGTCGCCGCCGCCGGCGCCGCCGCCGGCGCCGCGCTCCGGCGGGTAGAGGTGGCCCTCGAGGCTGCCGTGCGGCATGAGCGGGAGGACGAGCGCGTGGAAGGTGGCCGTGCTGCAGGTGGTGATCACCCTGACGAGGTTCTTGTGCCGGGTTCGCCGGAGCACCTCGCACTCCCGCTTGAAGCTGCCGGAGACCTCGCCGCCGCCCTTCGGGTCGAGCACCTTCACGGCGACGCGCGCGCCGCCGCGGAGCGTCCCCTCGTAGACGCGCCCGAACCGCCCGGCGCCGATCAGGCTCGACTGGACGAAGCCGCCGGTGGCCTCGGCGAGCTCCCGGTACGATATCCTCGGGTGCTCCCTCTCCGCCGCCGCCTGGTAGTCCTCGACGTCGACGAGCCGGACCGACTGCCGCTTCGCTCTCGCCGCCGCCATCGACCGGCACACCACCGCGCACAGCATGGCGCACACGGCGGCGACGATGCCGACGACGGCGGGGAGCACCGCGCGGCGGTGGCGCGTGCGTCTCGCCGTCGCCGCCCCGCACGCGGCAATGCCGGGGACGTACCCGCATAGGCCGGGGTTGCCTCGGAACGCCGCCGCCGAGAGGTTCGCGAGCACGCCGGCGCCGCGCGGCACCGCGCCGGAGAAGTTGTTGCAGGAGAAGTTCGCGTCCCGTAGCGACGTCGACGCCTGCAGGGAGGACACAGGCAGCTCGCCGGAGAGCCGGTTGCGCGACACGTCGAGCACCTGCAGGAACGGGAGCGCCGCGACGGGCGCCGGGAGCGCGCCGCGCAGCGCGTTGCCCGACAGGTTGAGGTACTCGAGCGCGACGCAACCGCCGAGCTGCGCCGGGACCGCGCCGGCGAGCGCGTTCTCCGACAGGTCGAGCGCCAGGACCATGTCCATCTTGCCGAGCTCGAGGGGGAGAGGCCCCTCGAGGTGGTTGTTCGACAGGTTCAGGTACAGCTTGAGGCCGCTCATGGCGGCGACGCGCGGAGGGATCCGCCCCTGCAAGCCATTGTAGGAGAGGTCCAAGATCTCAAGGTTCAGGCAGTCGCCGAGGCTCGCTGGAACATCGCCGGAGAGGTGGTTGTGGTGCAGCATTAGCCGCCTCAGCTGCGTCAGGTTGGAGAACGTGTCCGGGATGGTGCCGGCGAGCCGGTTGCCGGAGAGGTCGACGAGGCCGAGGTGCGGCATCTCGCCGATGGATCGCGGGATCTCGCCGGCGAGGAGGTTGTTGGAGAGGTAAAGCCGCTCGAGCCGCCGCAGCCGCGACATCTCCGGCGGGATCGAGCCATTGAGCATGTTATTGGAGAGGTTGAGGTAGGTGAGGTTGACGAGGCCGGCGATGCTGGGCGGGATCGCGCCCGTGATGGCGTTGTCCTCGAGGTGGATTTGCCGGAACTCGCGCGAGAGCTCGCCGACGAACGCCGGGAGCTCGCCGCCGAGGTCGTTGCCGGCGAGCTCGAGCTCCTGCAAGCGCGTGCAATTCGTCAAGGAGCGGAAGAAGGGGGCGAGGTCGGTGTTGCCGCCATGGCTGGACAGGTTGTTGTACGAGAGGTAGAGATACTGGAGCCGCGGCAACCTGTCGAACACCTGCGGCGGCAGCTCGCCGGCGAGGTAGTTCGACTCGAAGTCGACCCACTCGAGCAAGGAGGAGTTCGACAGCGCCGGCGGGATCAGGCCGGAGAGGTCGTTCGACCAGAGGAGGAGGTAGCGGAGGCTGGGGAGGCGGCACTCGCCGGAGTACGGGATGTCGCCGGCGAGGGAGTTGTTGGCGAGGTCGACGTACTGCAGCGCGGTGCAGTTGCAGAACAGCGTCGCCGGGATGCCGCCGGAGAGGCGGTTGCCGCTGAGGTCGAGGAAGTAGAGCCGCCGGAGCAGCCCGATGCCGGCGGGGATGGCGCCCTCGAGGCGGTTGCCCGTCAGGCTCAGCTGCGTCAGCCTCGACAGCGACGCGAGCTCCGCCGGTATCTCGCCGGAGAAACCATTGTTCGAGAGATCAAGAACCGTGACGAACTCCAGCCGCCCCAGCGCCGGCGACACCACGCCGCGGAGCCCACGCCCGGCGAGCACCAGCTGCGTGACCCGCCGCCGCTCGCCGCCGCCGCACACCACGCCCGTCCAGTTGCAGAACTCCGGCGAGCGTCCCCAGTCGGCGAGAGCGACACCACCGGAATCGGCCGACACATTGGACAAGAAAGCGAGCAGCGCAGACCAGTCGTCGGCGACAGCGGCGGCCGCCATTACTGGTGGTGGTGCGTCGACGGCGACAGCGATCGGCACGAGGTAGCAGATGATGATTGGGATGAGGAGCAAGTTGGCCATTGAGGCCGAAAGGGCGGTGGCGTGGAGGTGGGTGAGGTGATCATTTGATAGCAACGTGTGCTACAATGCCATGGTTTTTATAGAGGAAGAAGAAGGAGAGGGGAGGTAGAAGCTGGAGAGGAGGAAGCAAGAAAAAAAGGCGGGAGGCCTAACTGCTGTAGAAAGGGATTTTCAATTTGGCGCCAAATGTTTGACTTTGCAATCTGGATAAGGGGTTGTAGTGTTGGACATGTGTACATGTACATGGGTTGGTGATTGATCTCATATGCAGCTGCCATTTAGGTGTCAAACCTGGGCTAGTTTTGTTTATCATGGAATTATGGTCCAAATTGTATTGAGCTTACTTCGCTGGAGTTTTTTTTTTTTATGTTGCTTGTTTGAGGGAAATGAAAAACATGTAAACGTACGGAACTGTCTATATAACATTTGACAGAAAATCCCCTTAAAATATGTCAAATACAGCAAATGTATAATTATTGTGTAATGTATTGTAAGTTACAATATTACTTGCATATAAATGGTGTGTAACTAATAAAAAATATGCCTTACGGTGGTAGCGTGACGGGACCTCGGTCTAGGGAATAGGATTTGACTCCCGTAGTCATGTGTGCTTTTTTTTTTCCACCTCATGCACAAATCTTAGATCCAATCAGGATCCAAAATCTGACAGATTTTCTTAAGACAATCTGTTAAAAGAAATATAGGAATTCCGTGAACTTATTTATATCAAACTGTTATTGTTAATTTCTTTGGTACATGTGTTCCTACCTTTGGACTGACATGATTTCTCAAATAAAAGATTTTTTATGTGCTAATTATTCTTTTTTGGGTTAACTCTTAGTTATCTTGAGATGATTGTAATTATTTTGAGATCCATGTAGTTGTCGGATTACATTCTCCTATTCAGGCTCTGTGTAGTTCTCAAAACAAAAATTTCCACCCTATCACATCAAATGTTTGGACACATAGATGGAATGGAGTATTAAATGTAGACAAAAAAAACCAATTACACAGATTGCATGTAAATTGCGAGACAAATATTTCAAGTCTAATTGCGTCATGATTTGACAATGTGGTGCTACAATAAACATTTGCTAATAACAGATTAATTAGGCCTAATAAATTCATCTCGTAGTTTTCAGACAGAATCTATAATTTATTTTGTTATTAGACAACGTTTAATACTTCAAATGTGTGTCCGTATATTCGATATGACACCCCAAAACAATTTTTTTTTGCCAACTAAACGGGCCTTATATCCCCTCCTCCCCCGCCCAAAAAAAAAAAAAAACAACCACCACCACCAATGCACAACCTCTATGCCATCTCACTTCAACAGCACCTTCTATGAAATCAGCCACCACCACCGTCACCCTTATTCTCTGACACTATCTAACTACGAGACCAATGGTTAATCCCCCTAGATATATTTATTTTTACCTTTGCAATGTGAAACATCGTACAGTAGTTTCACAAACCAGCAATCGACCTAACAGTAAGCACACACTATTCAACAAAGTAAAAGCATCTTCTCAAATGAGACACCACACATTGCCCCCATTTTCTAGCATCTGTAGCGTCATCTAACATTCAAACATCACTACTTGACTTCTCTTCGAGTTGCAACAAAAAGAACGACTTAACAAATTAAACTATAGTGGTGGTCATATTTGTTTTTTAAACTTATAGAAGTTAAATTTGAATTTGCATTGGTGAAATGATACAATATATATTAATCTATCTTTTTTTAAAAGACATAACTATTTAGATGGCATGTAAGAAAAAGGAGCATCTAGAGAGATAAGGATAGTGTCCTGATCTCTCTCTAATTAGTGAGATATCATTTCTACTTTTGCAATCGGAAACATCATACAGTATTTCGCAAACCAGATGTCGACCTAAGGATATATATATATCACCAAAGGCACACGCTGTTCTACTAAGTAAAACTCTGCACGCACGCGTGATCATTGACCAGTGGAGTCCTCGTGATCACATCGTTTAGGCAGCAGGCCAGGGAGATTTAAGCCCCTATATAACACGCATGCGTTTAATTAGTGACCCAACAATTATAAAACAACAATTCCTAAACGCTACCCAAGTTGTACTCTGTTCGTACACGGAGAATCCCCACCTCTCCTACTGTATTGCTGCGTGTGTGCGCGTGTGCGGTGTGATGTGGCGACCCGTTGCGAAGGATCGCAACGGGTGTGATGGTGGGGTTGGGGAGGCTTGTCGATTGATGTTCTTGTGCTCGGTGATAGTGACATGCGAGTAACGAGAGGGACAAGCGGAGAAGGTGCTTGATTGCTTGATTGATTACTTAACAATATCATATCATAGAAGCCGAAAGAGTTACAGGTCACATACAGTGGGAGAAGCAGCAGCTGTGATGGTAGTAAGTGGTGTGACGTGATCTCTCCAAAGAAAGGCTACTTGCGACAAATCGGCAAAGGGTGACAAAGCTAGCTGTGTCACGTCACGTGTGAGAAGAGGTTTCGGCACACGTGTCAACCGTCTCGCCAATCGAGTAGTTGTCAATGTTGGAGTTAAGCCAAACAGAACTCTACTTGCCCAACTAACACCCTTGTGTAATATGGTTGTGTCTATATTAAATAAAATCCGCACAAAGGCCGTGTTTAGTTTTTCCCTATTTCTAACTTTCCATCACATAAAAAAAAACTTTCCTATACACAACATTTTTTTCAAACTTCCAACTTTTTTCAAACTTCTAATTTTTTTAAGGAACTAAACACACCCAAAGTTAAGTTTTTTTGGAATGTCAAAACATGTAAGAGTATTTTATGACATTCTCTGTTTTTAATGTATGACATTGTTGGTTTTTTAAGATACGTTTGATTATTCATCATATTCAAAAAAAATTATGTAATTATCATTTATCGTTTATTATTTTATTGTGACTTGATTTATCATTAAATGTTCTTTAAGCATAATTTTTTATATATATTTGCATAAAAGTTTTGAATAAGACGAATGGTCAAACGTTTGTCAGAAAGCTAACGGGGTGTCGTGTATTAAAAACGGAGGTAGTATGTACTGTAGGTTGTGCCCCACATCCACACCGATGAAAGTTCATGCGAGGGCATTGACTAGGCGATGTGTTGTGTGTCCACACTGAATTTTTCAAAGCCTAAAGTTTTACAGGATGTCAAAACAGATCGAGTAGTACTAAACAACATAGGTGTGCCCACGCACCCACACTTGATGAAAGTTAAGGATTGGGCATTGACTGGACAACTTGAAATGTTATTTACATTTTTACATAAGCCAGAAGTAAAAAGGTTATTTGAGTGGAAGGTGAATTGGTCATGGAGATCTAAAGGTCAAACATGCATGCCAAATACTTGATAGCAACAGGCATTGGAAATATCTAAGACAGCAGAAAAAGGCAAGCATAAGTTAATTACGGCATAGTGATTATGGCCTTAATGGACAATCGACATAGCTAAATGTGGTTCAAGCATGTGTCCTATGATCCTATCAAAGTTTAATTATAAAACTTCTATAGAAAACAAAATTACTTAGGTTGCTGGTTGCATGCTTCGGTCATGTTATTGACAGTACATTTCAGCTTGCACATATTCATATTATCATAACACTATCAGACATGAAAAGGGAAAAGTATCAAATGTACAACCTAGCCATTCTAAAGTATACTGCTGATCAAGCTAAAATAAAATTTCATGGCTTAACATAGGTTCATCAGGGTGGATATCAAACATAGTGCACAAAACTAATGCTTCGTGCTACAATAACTCCATCCTTCAAAGTGAAAATCTTGGTTGGAAAGACATCACCAATCGAAAAAGCCTTTCCAAAAGGCGCAACTAATAGCAGACGACAAGTAAAAGAACAAAAAAGGAGGCTTCCTGAAAGATAAAAGGGCAAGAATGTGGCTTGGCTTTCTTTTTTAGTGGAGGATGATGCATGTTTCATTAAGTGGTAACACTAAAACCTGAAAAAAAAATGACATGAACAAGCACATATAGAAGGATAAGGTATGCAAACCTTGTGTGATGGACTATCTCCTACAGGTTTTCTGGAAATGGCTGCAAAAATATAGAGGTGTTCATCTGCAAAAGTATTAGTAAGGACACAGATTTTAAAGATGGCAATAACTAGTATGATTTGTAACTATGAATACAGATGACATATGACAGAATAACACTATAGCAATCATTTGTACTCATAGAGAACTATATTGAACAAGTATAGACAGGTAGCAGGAGCATAAAGATTTGTTCATACGGATTAAAGGAAGATGAAAAATAAAACTGGACATAACATTAGCATTCAGCCACATCTTACGGAAAAGGAAATAAAAATGTATGCTGTACACACATCCTGTCGACAACAATGTGAACATTCACCCTTGATTAATAGTTTTGTTATACACAACAATGTTATACACATCCTGTACGACAACAATGTGAACGTTCACCCTTGATTAATACTTTTGTCTTAGGTTCATATCAATATCAACAGACAGTGTCGATTCGTGGCACGAAAACTATTTCATGATTTTGTTCCCTATTTTATTTAGGGAAGAATTGTTACCAATATATGGTACGAGTTCCATGTGATACTAGCAACCCCGTCTGAGTTACCTTTTGTGATCTTGGTAATATATAATTGTAGCCAAAATATGTTACACATCACTGTAAAAATCTTGAACACTGGGCATTGGGCTCCCAGCCAAGAATGATTTGATGAGAATTAGAGCCTGTTTGGGCCTATGCAGAGGAACCTCATGACCTGCGCCCCTCACAGTCACGAAGTTGAGTCCCTTGTACCCTTGAGTCCAGCCACCAACCTGATTGAACACAAACAGATTCAGAAGCTACAACTGGAGGATAGATTCCCCAAACAACATAAATAATTGATCTAGTAACAAACAAATGATAAACACAAAGAATGTTGTAGCCTGAAACAGCTAATGAGCCATATGACTTGTGAGATTTTTCTCCTGGGAGCAAGGGCTCTGCCAGTGATTTCCTGGCTCCCTGCAACTCTAATGCCAGATAATTTCAACTTAAAGTTAGGTGACTAGACCATTAGGAGTTTAGGACATATGTGCCACTAAACCACATACCCACAATAAAACTATGAGTTGTCTAGGACCAGACGTATTGTGCACAAAACAAACCAGAAACTATCAAGCTTTTGAACATTCATGGTGTTTTTTAGTCAAAGAAGAGACCCTACCTCACCATCATCGTCATACCAAGCATTCCAAGGGGTTACCGTTGGAAGTTTGAGGGCATTGATGCTGTATCTAGTTGATGTTACTGGAAGCACTGCATCTGTATCTCCACTGGTCAAAGTAAAAGGAAGATCGAAGCAAATAAAAAGGTGTTTATCATGCATAACAAAAAGGGAAAAAACTTGCAGAATGACAGCGAATTCTGGGGAAAATAATGGATGCAGGATATCAGTTGTACTTGCCATGACAAATTTATACCCACCTTTTTATATCCTAACTATTTTTTTGAACATAGAACCAATTGAAGCAGGAAGCTATGGTAGCAAACGAAATGGATCTAACTTTGGGTGCCTGAGTGGACAAAGACCTATTAAGTACACAATAATACAAAGCCAGGAATCACCTGAACACCCATATACGAAGACCATACTGTATAAGTTCATGATAGATATGCAGCACAGATCTTTCGCAGTCCTTCCAGTTAGTGTTAACAACATCACTGCAAAGAATGTAAGTGTCAACAAGTTAATAGATTAGACAAGAAAAAAACTAGTTTCCTGACCTTCTTATCAACAAGAAGAGAGTTCGAAATTCATGTTTTCCAATTTCAGTTACTTGGAAACACTGGATCACAATAATATATTAAATTGTGCCTTATTGGTCTGAAAAATAATTAACTTAATCTAGGATGCCTAAAAATACTCAGACTCAAATTCAAATAGAATTCTCCCAATGCCACATGTTTTACACTACTGGAAAGTCCTACATTGAGGGAATGAGTGGAGCTGTGGAGGCGGGGTCAAATTTTAATCCTGATAATATATGGAAATAATTGCAGCTATGAAAAGGCAAGAGCCTTCCACAAGGTTAATTGTAGAGATGTGATAAATAATCCTCTTCAAAAGCATGAAGAAATGAATCATCATTAGTACTCAAGCGTGCCACAGCAACAGTAATATCAACCGAGTTTCCAAAAAACATAAGATTTACCTGCAGGTTTCCCATTTAGATTTGTTGATGATCGGACTAACATGAAGTGCCTTTTGCACCTCAGCCAGATTGAAGTATACAGTTGAATGCTTTTCAGTGCATGGATCATACCGCTCTCCCATTTTCCCAACAGACTATAAAAAGAAACCATCACTGTGAATCAGATAAATACAAACCATCACTGTGAATCAGATAAAAACAAACATATACATAGAGGAGTTTATGAGCAGTGTGCGACCAATTGCACGCAATACAAATGCATATGGTCAGATCAAGAAAGTTTCACCTGCTTGTATACAATCAGTTTTTGTGCCCAAGCCCAGAACTCTTTTGGACGTCTTTTTTAAGTAGATAAAATATGGTGCTTTTCACTATACTGTTTTTCTTTTTTTTTCTGGAGAAAAGCATTACGATTTTCTTGATTCCACTAGAGTTACTTAGCAACCAACTCAATGCATGCATGGCTAAGTATTAAGACCATTAAATTTATTTTAATAATACTCCCTCCGTTTCAGGTTATAAGACGTTTTGACTTTAATCAAAGTCAAACTGTTTCAAGTTTGACTAAGTTTATGGACAAATATAGTAATATTTATAATACTAGATTAGTTTCATCAAATCAATAATTGAATATATTTTCAAAATAAATTTGTATTGGGTTAAAAATGTTACTATTTTTTTCTACAAACTTGATCAAATTTAAAGCAGTTCGACTTTAACTAAAGTCAAAACGTCTTATAACCTGAAACGGAGGGAGTATCATGTAAATGTAAAATATTAAAACTCAACTTGAGTTGCAGGAGCTTCAATACTTACATGTAACCTTTTCATGACTTTGTTCCTTGAGGAGGCAAAAGATGCATGGCAAGTAGGTGTGAAGATGCTATACGAATCGATATTCCCAGCTTCGTCACTAGCAATGTCAAGAATCTTATTACACTGTGAAGATGTATGCACAAAGGACTCGTAGTCACAGAAAACATTCAGTAGCCTGTATGTTTGATCAGAAATCAAGCCATTGGTCCACATGAATTGAAATATGCCAAGGTGATCGTGGAAATCATCGAACAGAGCATTTCCTGCCTGCAAAAACATGTCATTACATACAAAGAAAATAAATTAAATAATACAGTTCCTGGGAAAATGGCATGTTCGAAATGAGAATATATGTATTACGAGGTGCATTGCATTTTATCAGCTAATATGTTCAAAATTATTGTAAAAAGAGACACATCTTAAGGGAAGACAAACACAAAGGAAATCACTTCCATCATAATTTCAAAATGATGGCAGCTATGTAATTGGTGCCTTAATCAAAACATATGATTTGCTACTTTTGAACTAAGCAATCAAATTGCATAACAAAATTAGAGAACTAGAAGCAAAAGCACCAAAGCCATACCATATAGCCCTTTAGATTGATCGATTTGTCTCCAGTGGCTTCATGGTGCCTCTTTATAGCTTGTGCTAATTGAGGAACATAGTGGCCTAACCAATTAAGATTTAGTTGGGCTTAATTTTTTTAATAGTAAATACAAGAAATAATGGATGATATAGAAATAGAAGCTCATAAAATAGTCGCTGACCAGCATAACTCTCTCCTGTCACGTAGAACTCACGCCCCTTATACTGAGGAAATCGTTCAATCCACTTTGTTAAGAACGTCAAAGAATCATTGGCTGTGAAACAAGAAGAATATCAGTGAGCAAACTATAATATTGTTACATCTGGGGGACATAACTTTCATTTCAACCACATGAAAAGCAAAGTGAAAGTACCAGTCCTGGCATCCCCATTATTTAATATATCATCAGAGGCGTTTGAGTACGAATAACCAACACCAACTGGTGAATCAAGGAACAAGATATTTGCCACTGCAAAATTTCAGGAATTGTTAACAAGTATATCATACCAACAACCAATCTAGTAGTCCAATAAGTTATAAGACTGATATAACATATGCACTCCAGGGTGACTAGAATTAAGAGAGAGAGAGAGAGAATGCGAAGGAGGGCCAAGCTTCTTCCTTTTTATGAAGAAAAGTATCCAAGTTCATCCTGACAACTAGTAGTAGGGTGTATCAAAATGATAAAAATAAGAGAAGACGATACCATATAAAGGATTTAAGTTAGTAAAGGCAATTTTGCTTCTGTTGAATATTACCTTGGTTCCACGAATAGGGATTCAGATGTACACCCTGTCCATCTGCATTAACATGAAAAGGTCCCACTTCTTCCGCAACGCCATATGCAATTGATGAGCAACCTGGCCCTGGAAGATTAAATGCAGTAAAATCAGTAGTGTGCTCTCAGAACTCAAGGATCGTAGCACTGCAACCAAATGAATTTCATGGAGAAACTAATGCATAATATTTCAGTTAAGGTTCTTAATTATCATTTATCAATACCACAAGAAAAAAAAATCAGATTCACCGACAACATCTTGCCTCATGTAAGAATAGAAAAGTTGTCCTGGTCATCTTGAAATATTTTAAGAGAGAAACCATTTTATGCCACTGAGTTTACTCTAGTTCAACGATTTGCCATCGACTCCATCTACAATATGCCACTGACTTTTTCAATTTTTTATACAATACACCATTGGAGTGTATATTTTTCAAAAACTGCCTAAAATGCCTTTCAAGACTTACAAGAGGTTACAATTGATTGACCTACAAAAATATAAAAAAATTTGCGTAAACTCCTTGCATAATATAGAACTGTGTGTATATATCAAGATTTTCATTTTGCATGTATTATCTTTAAAAATATATAATTTATGTTTTATATGCTAATAGAATACTTTGTGTTAATGTTCTTTTTGTACATCATCATTCACATGTTATATAATTTTTTTTATGCAACTATCTTTCGTGTATGTGATTCCTCTTTCATATGCTATATAAAATAGTTTTTTAGAAAAAAAACATGAAAGAAAATCTTAAAATATACACACAAACTTTAATATTTTGTAAGAAGGCTAAGTACACAAAAACTTTCATGTTTTTAGAACTTCTAGTGGGTCAAATAATTGTCTTCTCTTGTATGACCTGAAGGGTATTTTAGGCATTTATTGAAAAGTATCCACCCCAATGGCATGTTGTAGGAAAAAAATGATAAAGTCAGTGGCATATTATAGAGGGAGACAAAGTCAATGGCAAATCGTTGAAATTAAGGTAAACTCAGTGGCATAGAATAAATTCTCTCATATTTTAACTATAAAAAATTATAATAAGCTGGCTTTAGAGGATGTATATGAATGCTGTGTAGTGGAAAATTTTGATAGGTATTGCTGGAAGCTTGGAGGTTAGTTCAGTAAAGCCTAGTACATGTGAAAACAAAAGGGAAAAATCACAAAATTAAACTATAAGAGTTCTAGATAAGTGCTAATTGTGGTGCCCAAATGTGAAATATGATATGAATCAATAATAAGAAAAACTATACCAATTTTAAGAACCCGAGTACCATACAAAAAATATTTGCCCTTTCGTATCTCCAAAATAAAAATAAGTTTTTTTAGTAAGAAATGAAAATGAGTTTGATCCGGAAATTGTGTAGAGACAACAGCCCCTCCTCATCGGAAGAAGATCCACTGACGTTACTGTTCACCGTGACTGACATGTGGACCCATCACTCTCGGGCCCACATGTCAGCCACTATGTCTGAGGATCTCAATCCTCCTCCGTCTGCGGATACTTCCCCCCTCGAACGAATTACAGTTACTTGTGCATTTCTACCACATCAGTAATAACTAAAACCCTCGAGATATCAAATCGACTAATCTCCATGTACTAGTCTTAGCATAATCCCCACCCCCCAAAACCCCAAATTGTGCATCCGAATCCTGCAGAAGAAAGCTGCTCATCAGATAAGGAATCAACGGAAGGTAGCGACTTTCCCCCAACCACGAACGCAACAGCTATTCGTCGTGCGTCTCGGACTCGGATGAGAAAACAGCAGCAGCAGCAGCAGCAGTACAAGTCAACAAGAGACCAAATCGGAGAGGCGGGGCGGTGGCGGCGGCGGGCGCTCACCTCCGTTGAGCCAGAGCACGAGGGGCTTGGACGCCGGGTCGTCGGCGGCCTCGAAGAACCAGTAGAAGAGCGAGGCGCCGCGCTCCTCGCTGACGGCGACGTACCCGGCGTACTGCGCGAACCCGACGTCGAAGTCCTGCCCGGGCACCCGCGCCACCCGGTCCCGCTCCTGCTCCGCCCGCCACGCCTCCCCTCCGCCGCCGCCGCCGCCCACGGAGGCGGAGCACACCCCTCCCACCACCACCACAAGCAGGAGCACGAGGAGGGAGCCGATGGCGCTCGTCGTCGTCGTCGTCGTCATCGCGGCGATCTCGGAGAAAGTGGCTTGCGTGCTACCAATGGGGGTACCAGTAGTAGTAGTAGTAGCTTGTTATAATGAGCTACTATTCCCCTCGAAATTTTATTTGATTACTACTTACACCGTTTCAGGTTATAAGACTTTTATCAATGTCTATATTCATATAGATGTCAATAAATCTATATATATATATATATATATATATATATATATAAAAGAATGTGGGCAATGCTAGAAAGTTTTATAATATAAAACGGATATAGTATTTTTTTAATTTTAAATTTTAAAAATAAATATTTTTAAACTACTCGCTCCATCCCATGATAAGCTCATTTTTAGTTCGTCCCAAAATAAGTTTGCTTTTAAAGTTATATCATATCAAAGTCTGTGAAAGTTGGAAATAATTGTATCGGAATTTGATCAAGTATGGATGAGTAGGATGAGTGAAAAATAAACTTATTTTATGACGGAGACAATATAATAGAGTTTGGTTTTATGAGATATATTCTAATACTAGATCAAAGAAAGTGTCCCTTTCATTCTATAAAAAATACAATCCTAACTACGAATCTAGATTTTAAAAATAAAATTTTAAGTAGCATATTTTTAAAAATTAATACAGTACTTAATAGGCAAAATTGCTACAGGACACCCGAAAATCGTGTAATTGGCTGTGAGACACTGCAAAATATTGGCTTTGCCCACGGACATTATGAATGTTGTGAAATTGGCTGTGAGACACCGGAGGCAATATTTTATAATTTCCGAGATAAAAGAGGTCAGATAATTTTCTAAAAGACCAATCCACCCCTGCGCAACTGGTATGCCACGGCATGCCGGCATGGCGTGTGCGCGCCGCGTCGCGCCGCGCACAGACGCGAATAGGCCCGTTCCTGGCGCGTTCCTGACATCAAGCTAGCAGGAGATTCCGCATACAAAGAAAATCTCTCGCTCGTCTTCTCCGCCTGCGCCATTACTGTTTTTGGCTGCTTCTTCCACCTCAATCCTGCACGGCGATGATGCAACTCCTTTTATAATCCACTCAGAAGCTAATTGGTCTATGGCACCAGGAAATATTTGTCACCAAAGGACAACTTAATTAGTTAATTAACTGACAGCTGTGCAGAGAACGTGTCCTCCATTTAGAAACTAAGCTCCGCCGTCCACCGCTATCGGCTTGAAACCGCCGCGCCGCGCACTTGCCGCCAGGACTCGTCGGGTTTGCCACAAGGATCGATTTACTGCGTCATCATCACAGCTCCAGTGGCCGCCGTCGTCGCCGTCCTCAACACCGTCGCTGGCACCGCCACCGTCGCCAGCCCCACCATCGCCTAGGGTTAGGGTTTGAGACTGGGAAATCGGGTTGGGGAGGGAGATGGACAGCTGGGCGCAGGGGTAGATTGATCTTTTAAAAAATTATTTGACCTCTTTGTCTCGGAAACTATAAAATATTGCCTCCGGTGTTTCACAGCCAATTTCACAAATTTCGTAGTGTCCGTTGGCAAAACCAAGATTTTACGATGTCTCACCGCCAATTACACGATTTTCGGGTGTCCTATACCAAATTTTGCCTACTTAATAAGTTATTCCCCTCGTGGTCTCTCGTGGAGTACTGGAGTGGTGGGCTCACCTCACCTGCGATGGCGAAATGATTGGTGGGTGGGTGGTACGGCTGTGTGTGTGTTTTTGGTCGCTCGCCGGCGGAAGCAAAAGAGGAATTTTTTTTTCGCGGGAAGAAAAGGAGGAATCTTGGGGCATCATCGGCGATGGGGACGTGCGACTTGGCAATTCTTTTTTTCATTTTTCAATTCTACTCGCTTTGTAAAAAAAAAAACTTAACTTCTAAAATTTAAATTTTATCCAAAAAAAATACAACCTCTATCATCCTATCTACCCTTAGCATATAAAATAAGGGTGTGTTTGGTTGGGTGGATGAGTCTGGATGGGAGATGGCCGCCGGATTTTCTGTGGTGTTTGGTTGGAGGGCAAGGTGGATGGGGCGGCCCGGAATAGGGAATATTCTCTCGATATGCTGGATGAGTGCATCCGGCCGATTTGGCTGGATGAAGCCATTCAGTTTTGGTCTGGGTGATGTGTCTTATTCTGATTAGGTGTGGTTAGTTTGATTTTCTGTTAAGCAAGCTCCAAATGATTTTTTTCTCCTAAACCGTCTATCTAATTTATGATTTGATTACACCATTATATTTGTTATAATTAAATATTAAAAACAAGATCTCGGATGATTATATTTTGATAAAAAAATATATATGACAAATGGGTCCCACTAACTTATGGCTTTTTCCATCCATGCTATATCCCTGCAACCAAACAAGAAATTGGATTGCCTTATCCATACAAATCAAACAAAAAATTGGATTGCCATATCCAACAAAATATGGATGGCCATATCCCATCCATGCATGTCCGTGAACCAAACACACCCTAAGATGTTTTATCACTTCAATACATTTTACTTCATCCGTTTCATATTATAAGATTTTATAACATTATCCATATTCATATATATAGTAATGAATCTAGCCATATATGTGTACATAAATTCATTAACATCTATATGAATATGGGCAAAGCTAGAAAGTCTTACAACCTGAAACGGAGGGAGTACCTATCTATCACTCTTACTACTTTTTTTAATGATTGAGGATATTTTTGTCATTCTTACTTTTCACTAATTTTGCCTTGGGATGCTAAGAATGGATTTATTTTTTTAAGGACTGAGTGAGTAGGATCGAAGGTGGGACACGTCAAACAAACTGACAGCCATAGATAAAATGAATTCAGATTTTAGCAGATATTCAGATATAATGTGAATTCAGGTTTGAGCAGATATTGGCCCGGCTTGAAACAGTTTTTTATTATTTTTTTTACACGACAGATTGTTTACTTGATTTAACGTAATATCAAGTGGTCTAAACAAACCACTGGAAGAAATGTTCTTGAGAATCGTATTTTCACGAAAATGACACAAATATCCGTCGCAAAAATCTAGAAAAAGAAAAGCGAAGACAACAGGGATATTATGTGAATTCATATCTTTATGGATCTTTTTCTTTCATAGAAAATACTCACACAGACCACTAAATACACAAACGCTCAACACATGTTTAAATGGACGAAATTAATACTACGTCGAGAACTAAAGATTCTAAGAGGATGATAAAAATATAAAAAAAAGTTTCTCATATTCTAAACTCTACTTCATTTTTTAATTTATTGAAGCAGTTTAATACTCCCTCCGTCTCATAATATAAGGGATTTTGAGTTTTTGCTTACACTGTTTAACCACTCGTCTTATTCAAAAAATTTTAGAATTATTATTTATTTTTTTTACTTACTTTATTATCCAAAGTACTTTAAGCATAACTTTTCGTTTTTTATATTTGCATAATTTTTTTTAATAAGACGAGTGGTCAAACACTATAAGTAAAAACTCAAAATCTCTTATATTATGGGACGGAGGGAGTACTAGAGTAATTACTAGCTATAAGTTTGTATTATAGGCAATATATATTTTTAAGTTTGTATTACTAGCTATAAGTTTGTATTATAGGCAATATATATTTTGGGATGGATTGAGTATTTGTCCCGGTAGGTAATTGGGGTTACCGCTAGGTACATGAGTAGTGGTGGTGGTACTAATGCTACCTTCTGTATTAGTATAGATTTGTAATTACTAAGATTTTTTTCTGTATTAGTATAGATTTGCAATTACTAAGAAATTTCTCAGATAGGATTTAAATCACTAATATCACTAAATTTTGTTGAGAGTGTACCCATAGATTTAGTGGTGGAAGAATTGAAAAGGACATTTCTTTAAGGAAAAAAATCCGTGCCAATTGAATTTCTACCTAACCAGAAAAATTACTTTAGAGCACCCCTTTAGAAACTCTACCCTCCAAGATTTTTTTTTTTGGATGATATTTACCTATCCATTTCACATTCACCACGTTAGCATCGAACCAAGTACATCAATTCAACTTTACTCGATACCACCAAAACAAAAAAAAATTGATAATATCTACCTATTCATCTCACGTGCACCACGCTAGCATCGAACCAAATACGTCAATTCCAATTTACTCCCTTGGAGGCTCATTCGATTTAAATAATATCCAAATAATCATTATTGTATGAATTGAAACCTTACAATTTTTTCTATATGCATCATTCATAGATCCTTCCAAATTCACAAGAATAATGGTAGGATTCTTAGCATGAAGTGAGATCTCTTAGAAAAATTCATATGGATTAGAGTAGTGTCATTCTGTTTTTTTTTTCTATTCCTATAATTTGAAAATCTTATGAACCGAATAAGCCCCTAGGCGTGTTTGAGATGACGAAAAATAACAAGATACGCAAAACTAGATGAGTCATTACTTATTAGCGCACGATTAATTCAGTATTAACTATTTCAAACTTTAAAAATGATGAAGATGATTTTTTGAGTAGCTTTTCTATAAATTTTTGGGTAACACGTGTATAAAAAAGACAAGGCTGGGGGTTAGGGAGAGTGTATGACTCAACAAACTGACTTATCGAAGTCGGTAAGAGAGAAGACGCTCATATACAAAACATTGGTCTGTAAATTTAACTCATTTCTAGTTTTCCATACATATTATAACATTGGTCACCCTTTGAGCATTCGCTCGGGGGCTATTTCTATCTAATATTCTTTCCTGAGTATTGATTTCAGGAAAATTCTATTCGACATTGACGAAGGCTCCATGTCTCTATGGTTCTACACCAAGATCGACTAAGACGAGTATGACAAATGTTGACAAGGCTTCGTCGCAGATTCTACACCTTCTCGATCGCTCAAGAACGGTTGGTGGATCTCGACAAGGAATACAAAATGAAGAAATGGTGTACCCGTCGAGATAAAATTTCTTGACTTCAATCCAAATTCTCGATTACAGCAAGACGGGAGACTTAGTCGTATGCTATGTACTTTCTTGGTTGACGTCGGAGATTGACTCAGACAAACCCTTTAGGTGCCCGCACGAGGCTGATAAAGGAATTCTAACGTTATCTCTGAACTCACCGAGAACGGTCACGTGAGCACGATAACAGTTACTCCAAGGTCTGCGCGCGGTTGAGAATATGAATTCGTTCATTTGCATCGAAGTCGGGGGCTACTGTCAGGGTTATGGATACCACATACCTAATAGTAGTTGACTAAATCTCGACAGGACCCACCACATACCATGTCTTATACGGATACAACCTTCGGATATAGGAGAAGTTTCGCATAAGGAAGGATGACTAGAGTTCTACATGGAAACGACAAGGACTACTCGGAATGTATCCATATTAGTTTCCCTAATTCTACTTGGACAAGAGGACACCTATGGGTATAAATACAAGGCCCCCTAGGAGGAGAGGGGACACAGACAACATAGACGCCACAAAGCCACAAGCCAATACAAGCCAACAAACGCCAAGACAAGCCATCGGATATCGACATCAGAGATACGCCTGGATCGACCCTATCCGGTACCTACAGAGGCTGGTCGTAGGGATCTAGCGTTGTCTCTGATCTCGCCGGACACGAACTCGAGGAGGAAGACTGCCCTGTTGTCGACTACGAGTCAAACCTTCAGACCGCCATGTCGACAACAGTTAGATAGGCTACCCCAAATATTGTATTGGTGTGATTATGGTGAATAAGAGCAATACCGGCTTTGGCCAACAGGATGTAGGGTTATTACCTGACAATTCAAGGGCCCGAACCTGTATAAAAATCCTCGTCTCCATCTCTTTTACCTCAGTCTCGCATATACCCTAGTACCAACGATCCCCATACTTTGCAAATACCGGAATCGCGCCATCAAACGTCGACAATAGTTACTCTCTCTCTTTTTTCTGCCGAACGCAGCCACAGAGCTGCAACCGCATAGCATAGTTTTGCTACTCTTACTAGTTATTATGATGGCAACCAGGGGTGGATCCAGCGTGGGTGCTGTGGGGGACTCGAGTCCCCCCTACCCCGCTGGATCACCATCGATAGAAGGGGAGATGAAAGAGAAAGAATAAGGAGAAAATAAAGAGTAGAGAGAACTGAAGAAGGAAGAATGAGATGAGTCCCCCTTAAATCTTAAATCTTGTTCTAATCCACCCTGATGGCAGCTACATCAATATAGCCGCAGCAACATACAACAATCTTAATCGTAACACGCCTAAGTATCGAACAAAACTGACTCTTAATGTGTCTTCCCTCCCACAAATCGACCCTGATGCATGAGCAACGTTACAAATACTAAGTGGGTTCCCACTTATTCAAAACGTTTATATTCGATACTCTACTTTGGTTGAGTTTGTTACGAGGAGATGGGAACAATTCTCCTGCGCATGGAGAACGGAGCGGTCTATTAACACGTGATTAATTAATAATTACTCCCTCTGTCCCAGAATATAAGCAGTTTTAGAGTTAAACACGGTTATTAAGAAAGTAGATAGAAATAAGTGGTGAAGGTTTGCGATTTGATGAGCAATGGAGGTAGGTGAGAAAAGTGAATGGTGGAGGATTATGATTGGTTGGGAAGATAATGTTGGTGAAAAAGTTGTTATATTTTGGGATAAATACCGAGGGCTAAAAATTGTTGTATTTTATAACGGAGGGAGTAGCTTTTTTTTTAGCGGTATTCCTGCAGGTCCACCCTCGAAGCAAAGCTGCAACAGAGAGTGACCGTACTGAGCTAATCAGAAGGTGGTGTTTGGATCCAGGAACTTAACTTTAGACCATGTATTTAGACACTAATTTAAAGTATTAAATATTGACTACTTACAAAACTAATTACATAAATGAAAGCTAATTTGCGAGACAAATTTTTTAAGCCTAATTAATCCATAATTAGAGACTGTTTACTGTAGCATCACATAGGCTAATCATGGATTAATTAGGCTCAATAGATTCGTCTCGAGAATTAGTCCAAGACTATGGATGGGTTTTATTAATACTCCATGTTTAATATTTATAATTAGTGTCCAAGAAGAATGCGACTTTCTTTGGTGCCCTGATTATCTGTCCGTAGTCCGGACTGGTAATTCGTTCTTAAAGATTAAGTTAGGTTTTATCGGTACAGTAGACTTGGAAGCAACCTGTATCTGTGTTAACAAGGGATTCGATCTGGTAAGCTCTCTGCATCGTAGTGCTGTTTCGTATAGAAGAAAAAACAGATTATAGCAAGCGTAGGAGTACACGGCTCTCTCACGAAATTCCAGCTTCTAACAGTATGTTGCTGAAATTCAATCCAATCAACAGCATGGACGCTCCCCGCAAAAAAAAAAAAAAAAAAAAAAAAAAAAAAAAAAAAAAAAAAAACAGCATGGACGCTGGGTTGTAGTTGAGATCACATTCGTTTCGCATGTTTTCCACAATGTTTTTTTTTTTAAAAACAAACTAGCAAAGGCAAAAGCTTTGTCTTTTTTTGTATTGATAGAGCAAGGACATATTTCCACATTTGAGCCTGTAATATTTGAACTTTGGCAACTCCATATTGCTGCAGTTTGGCGTTCAAAAATCTCTATTGTGAGAAGAGGATGCACGAGTTAATTAGTTTTAAAATTAGTAACATACTCATACGCATTACAATACAATACAATAGATCCATATAATAATTAGAATGGATTGTACCTGAACGCGTTCTATAACTTAGGAATGAGGATATATTAAGAGTATGAATACATGGTGGCACGATGTGGTACTCTGATTTGGCAAACAAAAGCGCCATCAAAGGTGAAATTATTTATGTGGTTGGCCGAAAAAGGACGCTGCCTCACGGCGGATAATCTAAGTAAGCGTGGTTAGTCGCACTAACATGTTTGCCAACTTTGCTGGGTGGGTGATGAAGATTGTGAGCACCTATTTGTGTCTTGCATCTACATGACCAGGATGTGGAGAATGATCAAGAGCTAGATTGGGGTTGGCTTCCTGCTGCCATCTGAGTCATGCTTAGACCTAGGAGAATGGTGGTTAGCAATGTGGCAAAATTTTCAGAACAGCTACAAGGACGCCATTGACAGCCTTATACTGCTTGTTTGTTGGATGGTTTGGAAGGAAAGAAATACGCGTGTGTATTTTAGAATCAGCAGCGCTCGGCAGGTTTCCTGTTTGGTTCAATTAAAGAGGAAGTGGCGATTTGAAAGGAAGTTGTGGTTTTTAGAAATATAGGAGAGCAATCCCTTAGTGTAATCTGTTTTCTTTTGGGAGGTTGCTCTTGTGACAACTTCTATTTACTTCGACAGTTTATTGTTGAAGTCAAAACTTTATATATTTGTTTATATTCCTCAGTCTTAAGTAAATCAGGTTGGCCTATCTTGACCGGCCCGGCAATATCAAAAGTATGAATTGAAATTCAGCTCCTCGCGGATAGGAGGAGGATTGATATGCGACCGATTTTCTGGGTGGTGGGAGGAGAGGAAGGCGGATGAATATGCAAGTAGTACTACTTGAAAAAAAAAGTAAATAACAACTCAAAAATATTTTTTTTCTGCTATTTTATATTGGAGTAGTCCTCCCCCCACCATCGTAGTTTCCTCGTGTAAGAAAACAACTCCCTAAAAATACTAAACCAAAGAAAATATTATTTTCATGCAAAAATAAAAAATATATATTAAAAAACTGAACCAATTATAATTCCATTGCTACACAATGTCATGGTATCTCTACTATCTTAAAAATTCGTCCTCTTTTCATCCCCTCCTCTCAAGTCTCAACGTGCGCAGCACGTCCGTATACCTAAAAGTAATCACTGTCCATCCTTATCACATGGACTTCTCCCATCAATATACGGATTTCCTGTCTATCACTAATCCTATATACTTATATAGTTCATTCCCACTAAATGTAGTTAATGAAATTTCTCTCTTCTCTCATTAATCCACATCACCCTAATTATTTTTAGCCTTTGGATGATAGATATATGATTCAAATTGTCTCTTCTTTATTCTGTCATAAAACCATGCAATCTCAATTATTTTTAGTCTCAAAATTGTACTATCAATTTGTTTTAGTTTTGATAATCATATTACATCTTATTTGTACATATAATAATATAACTTAATTTTCCGCAGCAACATGGCGGGAAATTCATCTAGTTATATTAACCTGACGGACATGTAAACTAGTAAAAAAAAACGGAGCATAGGGCCAAACGAGTGATCTACTCGCATTCGCTTTATTGGGCCTCCATACCCTTATACATGGGCCGCAAAATCCAACCATTGGGCCCTCATTCCCGCCCACGCAGACTACTCGACCACACCACTTTTTTTCTTTTCCAATTTCACACCGGATCCCCGAAATTCTCTTTGTTTCGAACGAACGCGACGCGAAAAAGCACACCACCACTCGCCTCCGCTTCGCCGCCGGCCGCGCCGCCCCCAACCACCACCCCACCCACCCACCCACCCACGCGCCGCCGCGGCTGCGGCTGCGGCCGCCGGGAGACGCGGGCGGCGGAGGTTGCCGGGCGAGAGGCAGGCGAGCGAGCGAGCTGCTGCTGGGTTTGGAATCGGGAGGAGATGAGCGGCGCGGCGCTGTGCGCGGCGCTGACGGAGCTGGGGTTCGACGGGGAGGACCCGCTGGACGCGGACGCGCTCGAGTGGCCGTTCCAGTACGAGGAGGCGCGGCCCCTCCTCGCCTGGATCTGCTCCTGCCTCCGCCCCTCCAACGTCCTCTCCCCCTCCCACCTCGCGCAGTGAGTTGGGGTCTCGATTTGGCGGTTGTTGTTGTTGTTGTTGCTGCTGCTGCTGATGCTTAGGATGAACCAGCTGTAATGTCGTGATTCTCTGCTAGTTGGTGTCCACAGTGGATGCTTGCAGCGCGGAATGGGGGCATATGGTGGTGTTGGTGGTTGCGGGATTCGGAGAGCTGATGGAGGTGGTTTGCTAGGGTTCTAGATGTGGGTTTGTGCTTCTATGAGAAACAATATGGGGGGATTAGTGAGAATAGGCTTTTACAGTAGCTTTTTTTTTGAAGATTTTGCTGTAGATCTTGATCGGGTTGATTAGTTGCACATTTGAATCTAGTGTTTGGCATCTCGGTAAGTTCATTGGTAGCTGCATTTTTGCTTGTTGGCATGTTTGATTCTGAAGACAGAGGATTGTTCACTCGGAAAGTGTGCCCATTTGGGATAATGAAAAAAATGGATTGTACAAATGTGACATATGGCAATGCCACATCGAAATTCTACTGGCATCTCCTTTTCCTGGCACAATGGGGCTTTAGAAGTGACCTATGCCACATAGAGATCATTTATGATAGTTTCTACGCTTTTGATTCCTTGCCAACCTCATTGAACCTGCAGCTAAGGTTTTCGTAGGATTCCTGATTTTTTACAAATTCATTTTGATTTGTCATCTTAAACACATAGCAGTACTCAACATCCTGCGGAACTATTGGGCAAACTCTATCAAATCATGTGCGGCATTGTGTTGAAAAACTTGGTTTTTACTGTATCACTATCGTGCATGAGATGCTTCTAAATTTACATTTTCACTCACACCTGCATTTGTATTGTGTAATCTTGGATGAACCAGGACAATTTACCATTGTTTGGTTGCCATATTTAATTAGTAACATATTTGCATAGATGACTTCTAAAGCTTCCCCTGCTTCTTTTGCTTGAGTTATTCTCAAATGACAAAATAGATTTTGCATTGCAGGTATGAGCAACTTGTGGAAGAGGGTAGGCTGCTAGAGGTATATTCACCAAGACCTTTCTGGAACGTATAATTTCTGTTATCTTTAACAGTATAGGATGTTGCGGAGCTGCTCCTGTCAGATTGTGCAAGCATGGTTCCAACTTCCAAATGTTGGATGCCTCTAGGACAGGAGTTCCAGTTTGTGAACAACTAAGATATTAAAAAAATTTCCTAGATTTTCTGGCAAAATATAAGATATTAGCCAGTTTTCAATGGTTGTCATGGGATGCTGAACCTCAAGGAACTATTCCCATCCAAGATCTGGGACTCTGCTTACAAACTATAAACTCAAAATTGGGTTTTTGTTCTTTACATTCTATAACATAAGCTGTATTGTCCACTTGTGTTTTTGAACACTTATATCTGTGATCCTGCTAAACCTTAAAACTCATGCTATCATTGGCATTGTTTTCTCAGGGTGAGGATTTGGACTCTGCTTTTGATAGTATTTCAGCCTTTTCAAGCAAGAAAGATAATCAAGAGGCTGTATTTGGATCAGAAGAAACAATCCTTGATATCCGGTATGCTTGGAAGTTCAATCTTATAAAATTATAGTGGAAATTGGCATCACCATTGAACACTTACTACATTTACATTGATTCTTGGGCTCAAATCCTAGAACCCAACTGAAATGCGATTATACCTCAGTTTTTATAGGGGAAAAAACTTTGTCCTTTCAGAATTTATATTCCAAACGGAGCACACTACTGAGAACCAATTTCTCAAAAAATCATACTAGGACCAGATTTTGAATCGTGCTGGAAATGATAATTTAACTAGTATAAAACATTGAAATCTCAAAACAAAAAACAATAAATCAAGTAAAATAGCTGTTTGGTGAAAAAGAAACTAGCCAGGTAACGCAGACCATACCACTCAAGTCCATGACTAAAATTCCAAAATGTGGAGAGCTATGTCAAGACACTAGTATTTTGTAGTCTGGTTTAAACTTTAAAACTCCTGTGCGGAGCCCGGTTCCTGCCAAATGCTAGCTAGTTGAAGTTACCAATTGGACATTGGATGTGCTTTTCCTGACATGTATTTTATTATGCTATTGCTGCAGAGAAGAAAAACTAGCATACAGAGCTGAGGTTTTTGAATTACAGAAGCAGCTTGCGCGGCAACAAGCACAGTTTGATTTGCTTGCAGGGCAAGCTTCTACTCTTATCCAAGGCAGACGGGCACGTGTAACTGCCATGTCTGCAGTTAGTGGACAACTTATATCATTGGATGAACAACTTTCTTCTAGAAACTTAGAGGTATATTTCATTATGTTGCATCTTATATTTTTCTTTCCAACAATCTCCATAATTTTGATCTCCTATTAGTATCTCCTTAAAAAGATTGAATGTGGAAGTTCTATCTCAATCATATGCTTTGTTAACCATGATTCATTTCCGAACAGTGGCATATATTTATTTATGCAATAAGATATTTAAGATATCTAGAGTTTCTTTCATGAGGAAATTGTTCAATTAAGATGATTCATTATCTTCTAACTTTCAGATGAATGCAGTTCTCGGAAGAATCACTGCTACTACCCAGGAATTGGCCCATTATCATTCAGGAGATGGTATGCTCTTTACCTATAGATAATAGTTCTGTTGTTTTTTTAGCTTATTTTGCAGAAAATAGTAAGGGAGTATTCTACTGGTATAATTATACAAACATATACGTAAACTACATATATGGAGGGGTCCAGGACTCCAGGATTAATGCTACCTTTACATGCATGCAACTTAAGAAAGAATAATGCGCCACTGATGGCTTACGAATCATCAGACAACAAGAGCATAGAGAACTACAGTAATCAGAATGGAATCCTCTTATTATGTACTGTGGCTAAGAAATTTGAAATCTTAAAAACAAGTACCCATCCCAAACAGCTGTTAACATTCCATGTTTTCTTAGAGCTCTCTTTCATATTTATCTATTTCTTAATACTAACACTTATATGAACATTGTGTTTTATCCAATAAGATTCCTCTATAACTCATTCATCATTCATATGTGCAGATGAAAGTATATACTTAGCATATTCAGACTTCCACCCTTATGTTGTTGGAGACTTGGCTTGTACAAAGGAGCTGAACCGCTGGTTCTCGAAGCAATTTGAGAAGGTAGGTTCTCTTTGGCTGTCATGTTATTCTCAGCTTACTTATTTATTTAACACTTATTCTGCTTACTTATTTATTTAACACTTTCTGTCAGGGGCCATTTCGACTTGTTGCTGAGGAAGGGAAGTCCAAATGTTCCTGGGTTAGTCTTGACGACATCACCAATGGCTTGATAAGAGGTAAATACCAGTTATAGTAAATTGTATGCAATGAATAGATTGATTATATTATTTAAAGAGCGTAACTCTGATCCTAGATTAGTATGATGTGCTTTGAATGAACTAATTATGAAAAACTCATTCCTATTATGCAGGAGATTCTGAAAAATCACATCATCACCAGCGTGTGGCTGAATTGCAACGACTTCGTTCAATGTAACTATCCCTTGATTTATCGCTTATCCAAAGTTCCAAACCTTTCTGTTTGAACATATCATAGTTTTTTTTTTTACCATGAAACAGAAGGGGAATCCTCTATGTTGAACACATCATAGTTGCTAATGTTTCATGCAATCTTGTTATATGGTGCCTATTGAGATATTCAAGTGATTTTATTTTTCTTCCTATTGCACTTCTTTTTGCATCAGTCTGCTGGAATTTTGTCATTGTGCTATCCTCTTATATGTCTAGAATTTGCTTTATATCTTTGTGGTGATTCTAATGACCTTGAACTGTAAACTTGCTCTAATTTGGGAACAGATTTGCTACAAGTGAAAGACAGTGGATTGAGGCACAAGTTGAAAATGCTAAACAACAGGCCATACTCTCGATTTTAAAATCACAAGTGTCATCTGACGAGGCTCATATACATAGGGATATTCATTCTCTTAGGTATACATTCGTTACTGTTCATCACTATTATTTTATCAGAATAACTGAAACGAAGAAAAGATAGATCAATTACATTCTCCGTATCTTATTTATTTTAGGAGAAAAGGTTCTGAGCTTGCTGGAGAACTCTCGACTCTTTCTCAAAAAGTACAGGCTTTTGTATCTGAGGTATGCTCTACCCATGTAGAGGCACTGCCTTTTCTTGCAAAATACTTACATTATATTCCCTAGTTACAAAAATTGGCACTTCATGAGTCTGTTTAGCTGGATGCATATGGGTTTGCCTGTCAATTGATGAAATGTATATGGTTTTCGACAGAGTTTTCATCAACGTAATGCCACATCCATTTAATACCATAAGGGTTGAATTGCATACTTGCATCTGGTAGGATTTAATGATTCATTGCAGATTAAATTCCTATTTCAGAAGAAAAAGTGTTCCAAGCACTGTCATAAAATAGCTTTCAGTTGTGAAATCTCTAAACCACGGGCAGCTAGAAATTATAATCTGTTATGCAGATATTAGCTTTGTTCTGCTATAAGTTCTCAGGAAAAAGAAAAACACTCATCACTTATAAGATACTTTCAGCACTTAGAGGATAATATGCCAATAGTAATTCTTACTGCAGTGCATCAGACATACTTCTTTTAGCATATGGTTAAAATTTTCCCGAGATAGGCTTGTTTTTCCCAGTATTCACTCGTTCTCCCCCTCCAGACTATACCATGCCTCTGCTCAGAACTCGCTCAACTTCAAGGCACATATATTTTGCAAGGTTTGTTGATGATATTTACATTACTTTCGCTGGCTTACATGATTCTGTTGTATCATTTCCTTGATATTCTAGCATTCAAATATGTAGGGGACTACGATTTAAAGGTCATGCGCCAGGAATACTACATTAACAGGCAAAAAACGGTATGCACATTCATCACATGGTATATATGTCATGTACACTTATTTATTGTCAGCAGTTCCTTTGTTTGCTTATTGGTGGTATCTTCTATAATGTTATGAAAGTTTATAATCGAGATAACTATTCAGATAGTGTTATTACCTATTTTTCCTTCTGCCTTCAAATCTATGGGTGGTAAGACACTTGCACCAAATAGCCTAGGGGGCCAAATATTCTTGTGACAAACTTTCAATGTTTAGATTTAGTTGGCCCCTGGGAGTATTCATTAGAAAATCTGGTTGTTCTACACCTTGTTGACCCTATTTGTTTTTCGTATACACTCAGAAGACAAATTTAAGTGATCAGTGAAAAATGTGCTGCTAGCTTGCACCAATACATGCTGAGATCACCTTAAGCCAGCTACTTTTGCATTTGATGGAACAGTGTTTTACATTTTTCTGCCAAGGTCATACATACTGCCAGGCATATGATTGTTTTATTACACATCCTTCTGATTCTGCACTGTCTTCATTCTGCAGTTCATCAGTCACTTGGCTAATCAGCTAGCCAGACACCAGTTTCTGAAGATTGCTTGCCAGCTTGAAAGGAAAAACATAGCTAGCGCCTATTCACTGCTTAGAGTAATAGAATCCGAGTTGCAAAGCTACCTATCAGCTGTCAATACCCGTTTGGTAAGCAATCTCATTTGTTGAGAACCTCCTATGTTGTCATTTCTTCTTTTTTATGTGTCTACATGTTTCATGCTACACTCGGTAGTTTTTGTTCAATCTGCCCTTCTTAGTTTTCCAAGAAATGATTCTTAGTTGACCTAACAAAGAAATGTTTTTTTTAATTCTTTAGGGCCATTGTACTTCATTAATTCAAGCTGCGACCGAGGTGCGTGAGCAAGGTGCAATTGATGACCGTGACACTCTCCTCCATGCCGTACGGGATCTCTTATGTGTTCACTCAAGTAAGCTGACAAGTGACAACTCTACTCAGATAGCTGTTTGAACGTTTTAATTTCGATATTCAATGTTTCATGTCACTTCTGTAGATGTCCAAGCAACAATGCCAACATACATGTCAGCGCATGCCTTGGTTCAGCAGATATCAGCCCTTCAATCTGATTTGCTTTCTCTTCAGTCTGAACTTGAAAGTGCTCTGCCAGCCGATCGCAAAAGATGTATCAATGAACTGTAAGTGATACTATAGCTCACACTATGTCTAAATATCAGTTGCCTTTACTTTATCTCCTGCCTGAAATACGCAAAATCAAATTTTTGAATTGTTGCTTTTAGTGTTTCTTCTGATCTAAGCAAACCTACCCACATTCTTGGTTTAGTGAATAGAACAGTAGTGTCCCATGTTGTTAAGGCGGTAAGGCATCCTAACTCCTGGCAGTCCATAGGCAGTATGGTAAGGTGGGCCAGACGCCATTACTCCTGGCAGCGCCTTACAGCCATAGCGACGCTATGGTGATGCCTTGATAACCATGAGTGCGTCAACTGTGACTGACTCTGAGGTCCTCATGTATAATCAAGTTGAATATTGAGACAACCATGAGTGCGTCAACTGTCACTGACTCTGAGGTCCTCATGTATAATCAAGTTGAATATTGAGACAGATGATACTTTTCAAGTTTGCAACGGATCTTTGGTTGGTACGGTTTGCTTGTTGGCTTAACTTTGCGTCTTCACCTATACATGATGAACTGTTGTCTCAGCCCCCTCATCTACTGCTCAAATATAAATTTCCTTTTAGCTGGTGGTGGTGAATCTTCCACGGTGCCACCAATCCTCTACATTACATTTTCTAAAAACTAGCCCCTACAGTTTTTAGCATTACGGATTATAGTCCATTTATATACTGATTTGGCCTCCTTAAATTCAAATTTAGCAGTCATTTTTCATCCTTTCCACTCTTGCAGATGCACCCTAATTCAAACAGTGGAACAACTTCTATTTGCATCATCGACGACTGCAGAACCAATATTGACACCTTGGGTACATTCTTTCATCCTTAAAATTATCCCATTTCTTATATCTCCCGTGTTATTTTCAGCACTCCTTCCTTTTCCTTTTGAAAGTTATGAATTGTTTTTACCTGTGCTTGTGAACTAAATCTATGCTTGGCACAGCCTCTGATGCGAGCACTCGATGATATGGAAAATGCCAACGCACAAGTTGAAGTTTCTGTGGAAGAAGTAACGAAGGCTCGCACCCAAAAGATAAAGGTATTATCATGTGCTTCTTTTCCCTAGTCCCTACCAAATAACATGGCAAAGCTTGTGCGTTACATATTCATCGATAAGCATCATGGTCTCAATTGCACATTAGATCTTTGAGAATCGCGCTCATGAAGTTGGGAGGGAGAGGCAAGTGTTCGTCGATTTCTTCAGCAACCCCGAGCGACTCAAGAATCAAGTCAGAGAGCTTACCTCCCGTGTGAAAGCTCTCCAGGAATAAATAGATAGATAGATATCCCTCGTCTAGTTTGGTAAGCACATGAGATTCAATCTCTACCCCTGTTGCTCATATACAAGCCATAAAATCTCACCCTCTGTTTCTAGCATTTGTGTGCCAGGTCGTCCCGCGAAATGGGAAGCAACAGCCAAGCTCGCAATGATGCTGTTGCTTGCAAAGTTTCCCTTCCTCCAATGCGAAGTTTGGGGGAACCATCGGTTAGTTTGTTGGATGTTGAGGTGCACAGCTGCTGTTGTTATATTTTGGGGATGCAGTCGTGATTGTTGTAAAGTAACCACGAGCCCGTTTCGTCGTCTGATTGATATTCAGGCTAGATGGTGGTTGTACATTTGTGTACTGGTGTTGGGAGACTCGAAAACTAGCATTGCTTAGTGTGTATATTAGATTGATCTTCAATTATTTGAACACTGCTAATGAGCCCTATATTAGATTGATCTTCAATTAAACACTAACATTTGATGCCAATGTGCGCTGTGAGGGTTCCTTCATATTTAGACTGAAAAATAATAAATAATTGGGACTTGTTCTTGCTCGCCGGTGGCGCTGGAAGTTTCATGCTCCGGGATTAGAGATCAGGTGACCAAATCAAAGTCAATATACCTCAGCATTGAAGAAAGTTGTAAACAATTTGACTTGAATTCTAATTTTGCACAAGGGCAAGCCCGAGTTAAAAAGAACCAATGAACACTTTATCCACGACCCATAGCAATCCTGAAAGATACCGACACGATCCGAAGCAACCTAATCGATTACACATTTACAGGGTGGATACTGAAGACTAAGAACAGCTCTCTCATCTCATCCACAGAAGACAAGAGAGGGGGGGTCGGGCTGGCTTATTGCTCAGGTACAAATCTCTTTTTACAGAAGCTTCCCTCATTTAGGGAATGAGGAATTGAGGATCGAAGTCCTGGGATATCCAGACTCAATTCTCAGAATCCTCGGGTATCTTGAAAAGGAACTGGGGCAACGAGGCGATGCGGGGAAGATTCATCAGCAGATCTCCGAAGGAGTCCTTCCTTGACATGGCTGGTGGCTGAGCGGGACCTGTAGTTTTCACTGTGGATGCAGCCGAGCTAAATTCTTCATCGGAACCTTCGGTGCCATCGCCTCCAATGCTATCACTGTCGTTTGGTTCAGGCTTTGGCTGGGCCACCGGTGGCGTATCTTTCTGAATCAAACAGCAGAGGGAGTCCACCCTCGCCATCAGCGATCTCTCGTCGGATGTCGATGCCGGTGGGCCCTGTGCATCTCCGAGAAGGTACTGAGCGATCTCCTCCAGTGTTTCTTTTGTTGGCACCTCGTTGCTGGGCAATGTAGGATTGACTGATGTGATCTGCTCCGAGATGCAGTTTCCCAAGTGGTTTACCAAATCATCCACTGACATAGACGGTCTAAGCCCAGGCACTTTCAGTTGACTCCACCAGCTGGGGATATTTAACTCTGGAGCACCATTTACGTTTCTGCTGACTCCCTGAACGTTCACTGCACTAGGTCCTGGTAAATAACTATAGAATTAGAAAATTCAATCTTGAACACAAGAGAATTTTGTGTAGAAGGCATTGTAACTTATAATCATATTATAACTAGAAGTACTAGGTCAGCACATCAGTCTAACTACATGTGTAATTTAATTGAACAGATATGACGCATCTCAGATGACCAAAAAAATTGTGGTGGAGAATCTATTGAAGTAACTAAATGTAGTAATTCTGAGAAAAATTGCGATGCATCTACCAGCAATATATCTAGTCAAAGACAGGAAGTGCAAGAAGAGGGACAGTGGAAATGGCATCATGGGCAATTTACCTGGGTTTCCTGGCTGAGCAAGAAATCCTGCTTGCGTTGCAATGGAATCATTGACTTCAATCTTAGCAGACATGGATGAACCAGCACAGGGTGACAGAGAACCTGAAAACCCAGATAATTCATGTTCGTCCTTCAAATTAGTAAAACCTTGGCACTTCGATTCAACTGGGTCCTCAAATATAGAGCATCTGGGTTCAAAAACGGGAGAGTCCAATATGATGTCTGGTTGCTGACTCAATTGGTTTAGCCGCTGATCACACTGGAGAAGCTTTTCAAAGTTTTTGCTCAACAAGCTTGAAGGGCACTGTAGAAAATGCCTCCTGCAATTTTTTTGGAAACACTGAATATAAGAGGGTGGGGTGGGGTGGGGGGCACATCGAGATTGGAAGCTCAGCAAGTAATAAACTGAAATGGAATTAGGCTAAGAAACATACTCCCTCCATCCCAAAATAAACCAATCTCATACCAGATGTGTGTCCAGATTCATCGTACTAGGATGTGTCACATCCCGTACGGGGTTGGTTTATTTTAGGACGGAGGGAGTAGTCTCCTACGAGGAGATGATGCTGAAACTTCTTCTGTAGATAGCTGGCTTAAGGCTGAAGAGCTATCTTAAAGTTTATGTTGACTTTCTTTCTCGTAGCTGTGAGCTTTAAATATTTCTTATGACCTTTTTACCTCCAGAAAGAAATCAGAGTTCCCTCAGTAAATCTACTAATAGAAAAGGCACCATAAAAGTAATCTTAAATTAAAAACCAGATTAAGGATGCAGTAACCATAGACTAATGTACTACAAGACACTGATAAGTGGTAAGCATAGTTCGTGTTCTGTATTACCCTACTTATAGAGACAAAAATAACAATACTTGCTGTCCTGTTACTGTAATGTTGGGTTCTAAGATGCAATTTTCTATATAGGAGTTATTTTAAAGAATCAATAAATCCATTTTTCAAATTTATAATAGTTAATACTTAATTAATCATGCGCTACTGATACGCCCCATTCTCTGAGACAACAATAGCTACAGGCAAACATCCCTGCCAAACTCACCCTAAGATCCCATTACACCCTAGCACCTACCCAAAAGAAATGCATTCAAATTTTGCTCTAGCATACATTTAATGCTTTCCTTACCTGTTCATACTTGCTTGGCCACCTGTGAAATCAGATGTAGCTTGCCACAGTGTGTGTTTCCTTGGTTGAGGATCCGTCTCTTTGAAGAAGAGAGGAGGTCGGGCCAACTTCATTAATAATAGAAACCTCTCAGAAAAAAAGCAAGATAGGAAAGTAACATGAACCAATAATCTTTAAAATAACTTACCACCACATCCAAGGTTCCCTGTCCATTTTCAGGGCAAGATGCCTTCAATGCAGTAATATCCGACCACTGAATTTCTATCTTACTCTTCAAACCACCTTCCAGAACTTCCCATACAAGCTTATGTTTTGCGAAGTAACATTTTGCCACCAAATCACCTTCATACCGTGATATATACTGCTCAGAGATAGAATACAGTTAAGATTATGGCCAACAATTGTTCAGGAGAACTGCTCTAAATGTGACTAAACACTAGGTCGTAGATTCAACAACATGCAGGAATAAGGCTTTTGGGCAAATGACTACCTACTGTAGCAAATAATTGGCCATTAGGACAGGATATAGGATGTTTTAATGTTGCATTAACATCTCACAGTGGTGTACAATATAAACTATAGTAAGTACTATGCTTACATAAGATCGGAAGTATTACATGCAAACAGCATCACCACAATGAGACTCAGAAACTAAGAATGTACCTCAACAAAAGAATGTTTCTGTGTAGATAGTAAATAATTTTGATTGAAAGAAATAAAAAAGCAACAGAAAAGGAGGACGCCAAAATTAAATAAATGTCAAGGTTGTGGCAGAACTACTAAAAGCTATATCTAGATTCTTACCTCCCATGTGCCAATTCTCAAAATATTTGCAGGAAAGTTTGAAGCTTTCAAGCGCTCCCCAGCTGTTGATGTGCCTGATTTAAGGTCTTTCTTTTTTGGAGGCTCAGAACTGCAATCATCTGCAGAGGACTGTCCTGCAGTCGAATTTGCTTGAGAAAGTCTCATCTGAATCAAATCCAAGAGAGATGGACTTTTTCTTAACCGCAGACCCAATGGGCTAGGCTCGTCAAGTACATTGTGATACATATCCTGCAAATGTTCAAGTCAGCAAAGAATATGAATACCAAAGCTGCCATTTTAGACTATAATTGGTTACGTATACATTACCAACTAACATTAATTAGTCACAAAGAGGACAAATTTGGAATTTCACAAATAACACGAAGTGGCGAAGAGGACAAATTTGGATTTTCACAAATAGAACAAGTCAAGAAGAGGACAAATATGGAATTTCATAAATAACGCAAGCAATCTTTCGTGTATTGATAAGCAAGCATGCATCCTAGGCAAATCCTGGACCATCTAGCATTCTAGTTTGACCATTTCATTTATGTAGCCATTAACATTTTCTCGTCTTTCCGACCAAAACCGTCTATGAACTTTATGATGACTCTGTTAACCATTACAGTACTACATGCAAACTACACGTGAACTCTATGATGGCTCGTCTATGCACTTTGCATGTCGGCCTGGTAATACACCAACGCAATTTGCATATCAGCTTGATAATATGCCAATGCTCTACTTGAATAGAACACAGTCAGTTCCACAAATAAACATTGATATCCAAGTCACATATCAACACCTAATCAGCAAATCCTGATACGGATCTTTTTCCATGGAATATAGAATCATAAATCATTGAATAGGTTAAAAGGGCAGACATTTATAAGCTATTTCAACTATTAGGATTGCTCTAGCTCCCAAGCGTTAGAAAATGCATGCATGGGATAGTCATATGGCATATTTCACCTATTCCATGGTTCATAAAGAATACCAGCTAGAGATTTTATTTAAGATTGGGAAAAAATGAACTAACAACGCATTTTACTGCCCAAGTAGGAAGCACTCAAAATGGTGTGCTATGCATCGGTTATTGATTATATCACACACATCTTACTGGATTCTGACGAAAAATTTTTATTCCAAGCTCCAAATAGGTACACTACTTGCAAAGGGAAGTTAGCATTGATGATTGGTCCTAGAAAATTTTCTATAACACGCAAAGTACGGAACTTAGCAGTTTGACATACTATAAACAGGCATTACCCTATTACATTGAACAAATGCACATGACTTGTGACATGAATACACAAAGTTAAATATATAAATAAGTGTGCCGCTGCAGCAAATCATCGGACGTCAATGAAGCCCCATCAGCCTCAAAATGGCACAATAATACCAGGCTCCTGCACAGCATATTATCATAGAGATACATCCAAAACATATCCATAAACTTGAACCCCAACAAGCAGACTGTGACCCTACCTGATTCAACTAAGAACAGAACAACCATTTCTCAGTACATTTACAACACAAACCGTGCATGCGATCTCTCTAACAACATCAGCTAGCGATTCCATATCCGAACAATCAAATCACTCCAAAAAAAAAACTGTACTATTCTATTCCATCCACCTATACCCCTCTATTCCATCCATCTCGAGTCCACATATATACAGTATTTTCGGATCAAACGCGTCAAAAACACGCCAGGGAAGAAAGGATTCCCCTCCCTCAAACAATCCAGCACCAAAACGCGCCGTCTCGCCGCCAAGCATTACGAATCCGACGCGCTACCACCTCATCCCCCGATCAAAACCCACCAAACGGAATACGAGAACACGAAACCCCCCCCCCCCCCCCCGGATCTACCTGCTGCTGCGGGGGCGGAGGCGGAGGCGGCGGCGCGGGCATCTGGACCCCCGCCTTGGCGCGCTTGCTGAGCGGGCCGCCGTCCTCTTCGCCGCCATGCAGCATCTCGTCCGCCTCCAGCTTCACCGTAGCCCCCGCCGCCGACGCCGCCGCCATGGCCGGCTCGGCCGGCCGCTTCCCGGAGCTCGGCAGCTGCACCATGGGAGGGATCACCCCCGGAAACCCTAACCCTAACCCTAACCCTAACTCCCCCCAAACCGACGCCGCCGCCGCCGCCGCCGGCCGAATCGAAGTCGAAATCGAAGCAGAAGGCGAACGCGAGGCGAAGCGAAGCGAAATCGAATCGAAGTGATTCGAGAGGAAGGGAAGCGAGGAGGAGGAGGAGGAGGTGATGGCCTTTGGGGAGAGAGAAGGGTCCAGAAATAGGCGCCCACGCGGGGTGCGCAGAGAGGCGGCGCACCAGTGGATGACAGGTGGGGCCCACGCGGAGTGGGCCCGGCGTGTCGGCGGCGGGTGGTGCGGATCTCGGTGTGGATAAAGTGGCGGGGCCGGGGGGCGTGGAGGTGGAGGTGATGGTGGTGGTGGACGGGTGTCAGTGGCTAGAATGGATGACAGGTGGGGGCCACTGCGTTGATGGTGTGTGAGGGCTTTGGCTTTCACGTGCAAAACGTTTTCCCACCCAACCTACTCTCGTATACGGCACTACTACTCTACTGGTCCTCTACATCCTATACATCCTAGAGTATTTACTACCACCGTACTACACTACTACTAGCATGACAAAGTCGTCGTGGGTTCATTTTATATTATAGATATGTAACAAGTATTTAAGGTATATAATGGATTTAATAAAATAATAAAAATATATATGTAACGGATATTTCATACATCTAAAGGATTAGAATCTAGCTGTCGTCTCGGGTTGCCTCCCGCGGGGTAACTACAGAGGCGCCTAACCCTAGTTGTCATCACCATTCCCAAAATCTTCTCATCGTTGTCACTGGCGCCGCCTCCGACGGGGCTATGGCGATGGGCCGCTCTCTCTCCATCCAAGGTAAGATTAGGCATATCATAGTTCTCATCACCAAAGGCGATAGAATGGATAAATTGAATTAGGAAATGGTTTGTTTTGTCGCCGTTGTCGTCATGGCCTTTCTCCGATGATGTTCCGTCGCCTTTCATTGCCAGATGATTTGATGAAGGGCGTAATGAGATTGAATCAACTATTAGTGGGTTGTGAGGTGTCACCGCCGCTATCACCGAGGTCAACAACTCTTTAGATGGGGTGGCGTTTTGTTCATATTTTGACCGCTAAGGGCCCCTTTGATTCACATGATAGGAAAAATATAGGAATAGGAAAACACAGGAATCGAAGTAGTAGGTTTCTCAAATCCTACAGGAATCAACAAACACATGAAAGACAATAGGAGTCCTTTTATAGTGCTGTGAGAAAAACAAAGGAAAGTTCACAAAGAGGTCATACCTCTTGCTATTTTTCGTATGAAATGCGAAGCATAGGAATACAATCATATGGAAAGTTTACTTTCTTTCCTATGAATCAAAAGGACATGTAGGAAATAAATCCATAGAAATTTGAATCCTATAAAAGTCCTTTGCCAATCATATGAATCAAAGGGGCCCTAAAGGGGCTTGGTGCCTCATAGTCATGTCAATCTGAACAATAATCAAGAGGAGATCCGATCGACTGGTGAAGGGGCGTGGTGGCGCTTTCTTGTCAAGCTGGCATGATGGGTTCTATGTAGATATCGCATATGATTGGTTGGGATACCTATTGGGTGTATGCCTCACTACACTTGGTAGGGGCTATGGGTAGGATACTTGGGGAACCACCATTGTCATTGTTCCTATTTGGGACAGCAAATTGATGATAGGTGGAGTCAGAAGATTCCTAAATAGGCTTATTTCATTCATCAATGAGGTGGATAGATGAGGTCAGTGCTTTGCAAATGGTGTTCACCCTTTGATTTTGCTTGGTTTTAGCCTTTGGTGATCGGATGACAGGGACTACATAGATGGTGACCGCCATTTGGATCATGATGATCGGGCATGACCGCTGAATTGAGCTCGCCACAATCAAATGGCAACATGAGGTACAATTGGCGGAGGCTCTAGGGTGAAAACCCCGATGTGGTCATTTGGATTTGACAACGTAGTGTTTGTTTTGTCATTCCCTTGTTGAAGGTGTCGTTTCAGATTTTGGATGAAAATCTAGACCAGACTTAATATGACAATGGTACACATTCGTCGGATCCTTCTTGAAGGCGTTCTTTTGGATTAGTTGTAAACTTTTCATACTCATTTTGGTTTGTACTAGAGTGAGCTTCCACAGAACTGCATGATTTGTTCTCGATGTCCTTTTTTTTCTATTTCTAGGCCATGTGCATCTTGGTAGATGCAAAGGTCGAGTGTAATTTTGTTTATTAATGAAATCTTCCCATTATATAAAAAAGGATTTGAATCTATACATATGATGGGTATTTTAGGTAATCAAAAGGATTTGACAATACAATTGGATAAATCCGAAATACAGCTTGTAGATGTCATCATTGTCGTTGGTCATCCTCGCTCGTATATTGGGCAACCTCTCTTTAATTTATATCTAGTGGTTTATAAAGTGTTATACCAATGTGAAGGGGGAACAAAAGGGTGAATCTTCAAATATGCAAAGTCTTACACGGGCAATTCACAAAATGTATTGAGGAGACGCTGCGTGGGGTAAGGCTAAATTTATGGCGCATGTTCTAGATCCAACGGTCTACAATCTTGTTTTGAAAATTTTCACATAGGTATAGATTTGCATTACATATTTCCCCCCTAATACGCAATGGACATTTCAGGCGTTGAAATGATTTGGCAGTACAATGAGAAATAAATATATTATATAATGGTCATTTCAGGCATTCAATTGATTTGGGAATACAACGAGAAAAATCTATATTATATAATGGTTATTTGAGGCATTCAATGGATTTGGCAATACAATAAGAAAAATATATGAACTTGCTTGTTATGTTACATGATCTAAACAAAATTTTAGGTTGTTATTAGGTCTAAAATCTGTTTAACGAGATATAGTTTTGATTTTTTTAAAAAAAAAACAGAATGGCTCCAATGGATATATGGGGAAGAGTGTCTGACAAAAAAACCTTTTTAGTCCATGACAACTCATAGTTAAGAGTGCATCTAAAAAAACTATAGTTAAGAATGATTGCATATATCTGAAAAAGGTTTAAATTTGACTTCGAGTTTTAAGTGGTTTTACCGCCCCATTGTTTCGCTTATTTCTCGAATAAGCGAAACGACATATTTGCAAACGAAAAATAATTTGTGAATAAATTTTTTATATATGTGTTTTTAGCGATGTAAAAGCAAAAGCTAAAAAATAAACTTCGATGAAATAACCCCAAAATCAACTCCAAATTTAAGGTTGAAAATTAAAATTTTGGCTAATAAGCATAAGCATAAGCAAAAAGATAAGGCCGTGATTCCAATCAAAATCAATATATCTACCTAGCCTGAAATTCCTGCTTCTAAGAAAGAAATCATATAATTGTTTTAGCATCCACCAAACTGCTTGCACACCGTTCACCTGTTCATGAAAACCTCTGGTTCACTGGACTATACTAATTTCTCTTCTTCCATCCTGCAAGCATGCAGCAGTAGAGCAGGAAGTGCAGGACTACCTAGTTGGAGAAGGGAAAATGCTTACCTTAATGAGGAAGATAAATTCACAGTTGGTAAGACCATAAGTCGAAAATTGCTGGAGCAGTTCAAACATCCCAAGATCGAAATTTCGGGCATTCGATTTTTGTCAAAGGAAAATGTTCTGAGTACAACTGTTGAGTATCTAATGTGCTGCCGTAAAATGAATGAATATGGCACAAACAACAAAAAAACGTAAAACTAATGGTGTGATTTTCTCCTTTTCTATATATCATTTTCAATCTTGTCCTGAAATGAATCCATGCATATAACCTATCAACTCCTGTTGGCAAGCAGTGAAGCCTCGTCATCGTCGTTTTCGACAACGTCCTGATTTTTGCATTCTTGGTGCAAACTACCGGTGCTCGATTTCCCATCCACTGTAAGAGAGGTTAACTCAACATTGTCCATTTGATATTGGGCAGCATCATCCTCAGGTAGCAAGTCAGCTGGAAGGAGATTAGAGTTCTGGTCACTTCTCGGCACCAAAAACAACAGGGCCAAAGGTAGTAACCTCATTGCATTTCGGATTAGGATCGCGGCCCAGAGGTTTTTGAACTCTGTTCTTGTGATGTTCAACACATGAAGGATCAATCCACCTGCCCAAGATCCAGATAGCAAGCCAACATTGTCGATGGACATGAGCAACGCATAGAATGTGCCCTCAATGCCAGGAGGGCAAAGCTTTGAGCTAAGTACCAAAAGAGGCATCCATTTTATGCGGTTGATCATTTTGGAGACACCCTCGTCGATCACAGCAAAGTAGTAGTCAGGTATCCCCAGTTTTAGATTGAGACGAAGTACCAAGATCAGGTCAAGCATTCCTGACAAGCTCAGCAACAACTGACTTAAACAGAGAACGCTGCGAAAAGAATGGTCCTTCAGAATATTTTGGTAAAGTATGACCCCAATAAGAGAACCAACTGACCCAACTGCGAAGATAAACCCAATTAATCCCTGGCAGTAAAAAAAAAGTGATTTGGTCATGCTGCACCAACGAGGGAAACTAACTAGAGATAGTAAAGCTAACATTATCATCAAAGCAACATCTTTCCTGATAAGTTTTCGTACAAAAGAATTAGCTATAGGCAAGCTTTATTCCCATGTAGGCCACGAAAACCACAGAGCATAGCATAAGATTTGTAAATTATAATATACCTCTGAAAAAGATAGCCCTGCATTTCTATCTGTGTACCAATAGAACATTCCTTCTTGAATGTCCACGCTCAAAGCAAGAGACATGTACATGTAAACACATGGTCGCCATACTTCAGGACATTTTAAGGTTGCCATCATTGTTCTACTTGCTTCTACAAACTTCATATGGGCCTAATTTTTTAACAGTAGACAGGAAAATGTCAATCCAGGAAAACAAAATAGTACTTATATCTGACATGAAAAAGCAAAATTGTTTACCAGCTCATATGGAAAGTTGGGCATATGGACGTCCTTTATCATCATTCCAGCTAGGATTACCAGGGCAGAAGGTATTGCCAACATGCCAAGGGCACCCTTGAGAAACACAAGATTAATCTATGATGAGACACCGTCACAAGAAAAACTGAAAAAGCAGCAGTGGATAAAAGAGAGAAGCACCACCACCACCACTTCACTTATATTTATGCAGAAACAGGATCTTTCAGTGGAGAATAATTTAAATTTAAATTGATTGCCAGGACTATAGTAAAGTGGTATAACCATTGTGATTCTCATTTAGAAGTACAAAGTACTAACAAACAAGTAAAACCAACGATACTCACTTGAGAGCCTATTGCATGGACAAGGAAACCACTTATTGAGAATCCAATAAGCCCTCCCACAGATGCACAGAATCCGTTTAAGCTTATCATGTCAGCAGCAAGATGAGGGTGCACTATACTGTTTTCAGCAACACAGGCATCTATAGTTACATCGGCTATTGCCACACTAGCACTTCCGGCCATCAATGCCAACAACGCGAACAATACATGAAGCTTGCTGTGGAGAGATAATACAAGCATCGCGACTACTCCCATGAAGCCTGCAATTCCTCAGCAAACAGGGAGGCATAATCAATAAAAATAATTCCATAACCTGTAACTGAATAACAGTCGCACTTAATCAAAGGAACATTATGTTGAGGAAATAACAGTAGAAAAAAACATATCATCAGACTTGTCAGTACTAAATAAGTCACCGGGAACATGAAACTATGCCACGTTCCTCGTCCCGGGAACGCCGTTCCCGTTCTGGGAACACGGGAATAACCTCGTTTCCCCCCATGTTAAAACATAAAAAATGTAGCGTCCCATGTTCCTTGACCCATCGATCCGGGAACTTTTATGACATAGGTACTAATGCTACCGTGCTACGGCAACAGCTGATATATTTGAGTTAGACAGCAAGGCTGTTTATAGTAATGCACCTACATAACTGCATTGATCCATCCAAATTAGGTAATGGACAAAATTTGCTCCTTCAACCCTTTTATGTAGTTCAATGATCCAAAATATTAATAACTCAATGGAAAACTGTTCTATGAACTTCGGCCTAAATAATTAACACTCCTCAGCTAAAGCCTAGTAATGAAAAGAGATAGTGTCCCAAGGAGCATATCGAAACTCGATACGCTTCCTTGCTACAATTTCAGCATCTAATCATCAGACATCACTACTCTCAGGTCCTAAAATTTCAGTTTGCGATTCATGATTAACCAGTAACTCGTTTTTTTTTAACAAAAGATGATTAACCAGAAGTTTTCCATTGCAATCATCATCAGCAGCAGCAAAATGGGAAGCGTGAAGTACTGTTACCACCTGCGATGACGAAGTAAGGGCGGCGGCGGTAGCCGGCGATGGGGAGGACGTCGGTGAGGAGGCCCCAGAGCGGCTTGACCATCCACGGGATGGAGGTCACCCCCTGGTACACCTGCGCCGCCGACGGCTGCACCCGCTGCACGTCCTTCCAGTAGTAGTCCGACGCCACCCGCATGACGCCGCCGCCGAGCCCCTGGCTGGCGCCGTACGTCGCCACCACGCCCGCCACGAAGCTCCAGTGCAGCTCCCTCCCCAGCATCCTGAACCACCCCACCGGCGACCACGCGCCGCCGCCCTCCGCCGCATCGACGGCGAGGAGGACATTGGCCTCCTCTTGCCTGCTGCTGCTCCTCCCCCCCTTCCCCTCCTCCTCGGCGCGGAGGTCGTCGGCGGCGGCGGTGGCCGGCGACATCTTCTTGCGCAAAGATCTCTCGCCTGGTTTTACCCGAATTGCTCCGGCTTGAATCTGGAGCTCGGATTCCAGCACCAGATTTGGGTTTCTTGAATCCAAAGCTCGGAGCTGCGAGGTAGGTGCATCAGTAATCGAATCGATCCCCAAAAAGTCTTAAAGAATCAAGAGAAAATGTCGGGGTCTTGGCAAGAACATCAAATCCAACTGCTGCTTCAACCTCTCAGCTCCTTTCACATGCTTACTACTCCACACAGATAGAAAACAATCGCCAAAAACAGAACAGAAAAAAAAAACTATATGCTAAATTTGCCGCAGAATGCTGCCTAATTGCATCCAAAAACACCACTCGAGTATATAAACAGCAGAGATTTGGTGCCTGAAAACAAGAAAGAAAACGGGGGAAAGAAGTGGAGCCGAGGAGTTATTAAATTTGCACGCTAGAAGTGAGGAAGTCCAAAGAAATTGAGAGATCCCTTCTGGTTGGTGTGCAGGTGTAGTAGAGGTATAGATGGCCATATGGCCCGAGGCCCACGGCCCGGCACAAAGCCCGCAATTTTGGCCCGGCCCAAGCACGGCCCGGCCCGATTAGGGTCGTGCCCGTGCCGGCCTGGCCCGACAGCCGGGCCGTGCCTGGGCTGCACCCTCGGCACGGTGGGCCGGCCCGGCACGGCCCGATCAAATAAAAAAAATATAGGGACAAAAAATAGACTTATATAATCGTATAAGGCATGGCCCAAGAAAATAGGTATACAAAATAGACTTATTTTCCAGCCATTTAAACACAACCCACAGAGTTGAGGGACCAAAAATAGACTTATTTCCAGCCATTTAAACACAGCCCACAGAGTTGAGGGATCAAAAATAGACTTATTTCCAGCCATTTAAACACAGCCACAGAGTTGAGGGACCAAATATAAACTCTTTCTGTGAGGCAGCACAATAGCCCATCGTGCCTTCGGGCCGGCCCGGCACGGCCCGACTAGTATTGGGCCGTGCCTGGGCCGTGTATGCCGCCCGTGGGCTGGCACGGCACGGCCCGGTGCATCGGTCGGGCCGTGCCGGCCCGACAAGCCTCGGCCCAGGCACGGCCGGGCTTGGGCCGTGCCGTGCCGGGCGGCCCAGATGGCCATCTATAAGTAGAGGAGAGGATAGCCGTTTGTCTTATTAAAATTTTAAAATTTTAAGAGAAAATTCGATCTTTAGTATAGGAAATAAAGCGGTACCAACAAATAACACAAAAAAAAAGTTTCCACTTTCGATCCATAGCATAGGCCACCGATTTTTTTTCGTCCTGTAGCACTTCCGTCGCATTTTGAAGTAATAGCGTTAGATCGGGAGTAGAGAAAATTTTTGTCGGACTCATTTGCCCTTCCTTCCCCACATTCCCCACCAGGTCTCCTCTTCCGCTCCCTCCTGGATGGCGGCGCGGCAACCATCGGCGTGCTGGGAGAACGCCTCGTCTCCCCGCCACCGCCGAGCGAGCTGCGGCGCTCGTCCGGCGCATTTCTTCCCCGCCGGCGACTACTTCTCCTCCTCCACCGGCGGTGGCGGCTGAACAGATGATGATGATGGCGCCGGCGGAGTCCGTGGCGCACTTCGACTCTGCGCTCAGCTCGCTCGTGTCGTCTCCGCAGGGCGGCGGTGATGAGATGGCGGCCATCGGCGACCTGATCGGCCGGCTCGGGAGCATCTGCAACCACGGCAGCGCCAGCGCCAACAACTCGTGCTACAGCACGCCGCGAACGCGAGCCCGAAGCTGTCCAAGGTCGCCGGAGCCGGAGACGACAGCGACTCGGCGGCGGCGGCGGAGGATAAGCTGGAGCCAGCCACAAAGACTACATCCATGTGAGGATGAGGAGGGGACAAGCCGCCGATAGCCATAGCCTCGCCGAGAGGGTAATTAATTAATTACCTAATTAATCAACTAATTAATTAGATCCTAATTAGCTTTTTGCTGGTGCACTAATCCGCGCGGCTCAGCTTCGCCAAGTAGGAGCAGCATCTCCGTGAAGCCGTCGCCATCGTCGTCGAAGATGGCCATGCTCTCGCTGTAGCAGCAGCGAGCACGCTGCTCGACAGCCCGAACCCCGTCCACGAAGTCGGAGAGCGGGACGGTGGGTGCTCGCTGGAGGAAACGGCGGAGGAAGCGCCACTTGTGCTGCTCCATGGCGTGGAGCTCGTCCCGGCCGCGGTGGTAGGGCCCAATGGACACCAGCCGGGGCTCGTACAGCTGCTGCTGTTGTCACGACGGGAGCCGGCGGGAACACGGAATGGTGTGCGGCTGGTGACGGAGACGGCGGCGACGCGACTGGGGACGGGGATCGTCGCCGCGTCGCTGTTTGGCGACGGCGCCATCGTCGTGGGCACCGACCGGAGAGAACGAGATGACACAGGAAGACGAAGGGCAAATGGGTCCAAAATTTTTTTTCTATACTTCAATGTAACGCTGTTAGCTCCAAACCTGATGGAAGTGCTATGGAGCGAAGAAAAACCGGTGGCCTGTGTTTCTAATCGAAAGCGAAAAATTTTTATGCTATTTTTTGGTACCGCTTTTTTTCCTATGCTGTTGATCGAATTTTCTCAAATTTTAACTGTAATTCTGCGCGCTCGCTAACTGAAACCTACCCCTATGCAATCTCACAGCTTCTGACAGGTGGGACATGCTGGTTGGGACCACAGAGCAGTGAGGGTAATGCGTGCCTGTACGACGAGTGACTAGCTTAAAAAAATTATACGAGTTGCTTCGAAAAATCATATTAATCATTTTTCAGAAAAAAAAAATATTAGCTAATACTTAATTAATCACATGATAATAAGCCACCTCATTTTACGTGATAATACGTGTTTTACGACCTCTAACATACCGAACACAGCATTAGACGGGTACAGTTACCGAAAATTGGCCCTTTTACAAAATTTACTGTAAGAGTGAACCATGTCGAAAACTAATTGTAAAAGTGAGTCTGACCTCAGCGCATGTAGATGTAACATCTTAACACTAGGGTTGGCACTGTGCTACTCCCTCCGTCCTAGGAAACCCAACCTAGTATGTAATAGGTGAGTTTTTTTTTTTTTTGACAGATGAAGTATTCTCCAACGTGACTCGAATTTTCCAAATTAGCATAGTTCAGCACCATGAGAGCTCCGGATCGAATGAACCTGTTCATGGTACTACCATGTATGGTGAAGTGGCTCTAGCCTAGTGGTAGAGCACCTTTCACTCTCATGTCTTGGTGGCTGTGGTTGTGGTTGTGGGTTTTTTCTTTAAAATATCACATGTTTTGTTCCAATTTTATTTTATAAATATCACAATAAAAAATGAGAACTTAAATTATAATATTAATATTAATACAATATTTAGCTCAATAACTATAAATTTGTATTTTTTGTACATCTTAATAAATAAAAGTTACATCTTTCTGTTTAAATTTAAAAATAAACTTAAGAACCCATTTGAATCGCAGGATTGAAAAAGGTGATGAATAGAAAAAATACAGGATTCTAATAGAAATGTAAGTGTATAATAAAAGATTGCAAAACACGGAAAAAATACATGAATGATCGTTTAATTGTACCACAGGAAAAACGTATGAATCGGATGAGATAGATTCAAAGGAAATTTTTCAAGAGGTTGGGCTCTTGCTAAATTTCCTCCAAAATCTACACACAACGAGTCATTTCATAGGATTTTAATAGGATTTAGAAAGTTTCAATTCTTTAAATCAAAGGGCCAAATAGAAAAATTTTCTATAGGATTTAAGTCCTACGAGATTCCTATATAAATTCTTTGATTCGAAGGGACTCTAAAACATAGTATGAACTATCAGTAGAAACTAGTTTTCACTTTTCAGAACTTGATGGTAAGCCTCCCGTGAAAAGAAATGGAAAAGATGAAGTGCATGGGGGTTCAAATCTATGATGCAAGGATAGGAGCCACAGACCCGAACTAAATTTGAAAATATATTGTCTATTTATTTTTTCTCAGAAATATTCGGGATTCAATTTTTTTTGCACAAATATACCGTCGGTATCGCTCAACGGATATGCGAAAATGACGTGGGCGTGACAACGCTGACAATGTCGCACGACGACGGCGCAAAACCACTCGTTCTCGCGCAGCGCTGGCGTGAGACCGAGCGGTCTCGCACAACAAAACAGATTATCATTTCAAAATGGCTTAATTAGTGATTAATTAGCCTGATTAGCGAATTAATAAATTATTAATCAATCACTATCTATTATTAATTAATCAATAATCATGACAATTAATCACTAATCAATCAATTCTCAAAACGGTTTCGCTGTTTGGCCGTGCGAGACCTCTAGCATTGTCACGTCCACGTCATTCTCGCGCAGTGGTTAAGTGATATCGATAGTATATTTGTGCTAAATAATTTGAATCCCGAATATTTCTGAGAAAAAACAAATGAACAATATATTTCAAATTTAATTCCCACTAACCCTACAACTGAGCTAAGAACGTTCAAACAAATATGGCTTCCAGCATATTTGGAGGCAGCAGAGGTCGGCGCCAAGCCGCCAACTGTGTTGGCACTGAGATCTCATGACGTACCGAAAGTTGCCACCTCGGACACAATCTCAGCGTCAAGAAAGCTTAAGTGATTCAGACACGATGCCACTACATCTAATTCGTTTCCCGAAAGTTGCCACCTTGGACAATACACCAATAGATTGAACTAGGAGTGTTTTTCCCTTACCCCAAAATTCTTCTTCTCAATGTATGTCACCGCGAACTAAAAGCGCACAACGCGAACTCAACTGGAGCTTCCGACGGCAGTAGAATCCAGCACCAGCCAGAGCTCACCCACCACGCAAGCCGCACAATTAGGAATATCTGATTGAAAATAAGAATCAATTTGCACAATTAGGAATATCTGATTGAAAATAAGAATCAATTTGCCACAATGGCAGTGTTTGGTTTGGTTCATAAATAATTCTTTCGTGTTTGGTTCATAAATAATTCTTTCGATTTTACATGCGTACTGGTCTCCTCCTGGAGCAGAGTGTAGACGCGGCTCAACACCTGTTGTGCTCGTGACTTCGTAACAAACGTAGCCTAAACTGCAGTTTGTTCAGCTCAATCACAACATTTTAGTGCTTACCTTTTTAACGGACCACACAATCTCATCAGTAACGAAAGATATTAGCAAAAACACATAGCAGCCACCAACAACACATACTCAACACATAGGGCATACTCCTGTGTTCTTGGTGGCTGCTATGTGTTCTTAGCACTACGAAAGATATTAGCAAAAAACACATACGAAAGACTGCTCCAAACCGGGATGAAGACAAGATACATTCAATTCTTAAATCTAGCTACAGCACTAACACAATTTACTGCACCCACAGAGCAATGTTTGTCAGGGTAAGTCATCTTACGCTTACCCCTATTCATCTAGAAGACCAATGGGTATCCATAATGAACCGTAAAACCAACCCAACCGTAAAGTCTGTAACCAATATCCCACTAAGACTGCATGGCATCATCTCCTGCTTCACCCGGCACTTCATTGAACATGTACTGGCTCTGATACTCCATCAAGTACTGCGTCGATCTCTTGACGTCCAGGAACAGCTGGTAGACCCTGCTTATATCCTCCATCTCCACAACCTTACCCTTGCGTTTCTGGCAAGCTAATGCAGCCGAAGTGATCAGGTGGATAGCATACCTCAGGGACGTCTCCACTCCTATCTTTGTGAGCAAAACCTTAGCATCTGCAGACATTTCCACATCTTCTTCATCGCACCTGATGTCTAGGATCTTCCGGATATCATCCTCGGTGTAAGGCTGTGTCGTGATGATTAACAGACGATCAAGGAAATCAGGTGGTATCCCATGTGGTGATCGGTAGTTTGTCCCACGTATGGATGTGATCCCTCGGTTAGTTGCAATGACTAGAATTGGAGCCATGTCATTTTCCAATGCACGGTTTAGGAAGGAGAAGCATTCGATATCTAGCATGTGGACTTCATCAATAAACAGAACACCAGGGACAATCTCAGCCTTCCCTTCCTCCCTCCACTCAGCAACTTTTGTATCAATCTGCTCTCGAACCTCTGCACGAATTTCACCAGTGTCACCAGTGAAAAGTGCAAGAAAACCTTGTGTCCTGGACAGCAATAACAAAAAACAAAAATGAGTTTGTGCAAAGATAGTCTCACTTAATTTTTATGGTAGGTAGAAAACCACATCTGAAAGCCAATAATCTTGGTCTAATGACCAAAAAACTACCAAGCCAGTTATAAGTTAGATTTTTGGTGATTAAAAAATGGAATGTTCAAAAAGATTCACCAAAGAATACTATTTAGAACACATCAGATAGTTGTTTGGCTGATAACATACTTAGAGAGAGAGAGAGAGAGGAGAGGGAGACAGAACACATCACAATCACGATCAGTTCATGATTTCAAACTAGTTGAAGCATATTCATGTACCTTGTCTTGGAACATGGTTCATTTATGTGCACATGATACTCCCTCTGGGCTGATAATACTTGTCGTTTTAGACAAGGGTGATGTCAAACTTTAGAATCTTTGATTATGAATCATTTTTAAAATATTTTTCTTTCAAATATGGTGACCACCACATGGATAGATTAGTCTTAAAAAGCACTTTAATAAAATCATATATTTGTTAACACTTTTATACATATTATAATGAAAAATAATGGTCAAAGTTGTTTTTTGTACACTGTGCCCTTGTCCAAAATGACAAGTATTATCAACCCGGAGGGAGTAATTGCTAAGCTATCCAAAGTACCATTAGGCTTGACTAATTTTCATCACATTATGTCCTCTAGCAACATCGTGCAGGTCCTTTCTTTCACAAGAGTTACAACAGGAGGCTGCTCTCTATTGTTATTTCTCTACGGGCCAAAAGAAAAATTAGATCTGATTTGGGCAGCTGAATTGTATTTCAGCTCCAAGCCCAACAAGATCATATATGCCATCCAGTAGTCAGTAGACCATATTTTCTTAGTATTGGCTAACTGTGTGGATGCGGCACTTAGTAGGGAGAAACTGATCCAACTAGGGCTGTCCAAATCCAGTTTAACCGAGTTCTGTCAACCCGCATTTTACATGTCTGCAGGTGAATGAATGAGATGACTAGGTGCGACGTAGTCACTGGAACACTATGGTTAGCTATGGTTTGGCCAATTTTGCTAATGCAGGAATGCTCAACCCTTTGATCTAGTTCCAGCGTCATTCAATAGGATTTGGGTGGTGCTGAGAATGGGACAGGGGTTGTACAGTATAATGCAGGGACTTCCGTGCAAAGAGCATGGTCACAGTGTAAGGCAGCTAAGCAAGATTAACCGATTTCAAATTTATTATGTGATTCTGATCACTGCAGATACACGACACAGAAATTATTTTCCATTCAGGCTCAGAAGCAAAATACAAGATTGTAAGGCAGTCCTTAATTTGGAATTTGGAGCGACAAGCTGACAAGTGATCCTTTGTGTGCAAACGCTGGAACAGATTTTTCAAGACTGAAAAAGAAACTTTGGTGGCTAAGCTATCACCTGGATAATTAACATACAAGCAAGCACACAGCACATATGTCCAGGGTAACTGAAAGTCAATGTGAAATACCAGAGCTGATAGAATTTGAAATACTTCAGTTGGTTATTTCACTTGTATCTATTTTTCAGTTGAGTGATACCAAAGCTGACAGAGACTTCACTTTTGTCCGCTTACTCGTTGCAGTAAGATGTGATAACAAACGCCCTTTAATATGTAGTTCTCTACTATGCCAAAATGATTAAATACTTCAATGTAGATTTCTTGTCAGGTAGTATGAAATATCTACTCCAGTAATGGACGAATTTTTGGGAAGGGAATGTGAAATTACCGGCTATTGATGACATCAATTTCATGTAAGGTGACACAATGCACGACCTCCTTGCGCTTCTGGAGCTCGCCCTCGGGGCACTTGACGAACTTGGTGTGAGGACCAACAGCATCGTAATCCCGCGACCTCCCGATTGAGCGGCCAAGCTTGGTCACCTTCCCGGAGGCCTTGTCGAGCGCAACCACATCCCCGCTCTGCACCTTCTCCTTCCCCAGGGCCTCAATCATCTTGCCGCCGAGCTCGTACACGGTCTCCATGTCCGTGGTCTTGAGCGTGAGGCGCCCGGTCTTGCCAGCCGCGGCGACACCGGAAGGCGCGGAGCTGCCGGCGGCGGCTGCGGCGGAGACGGGGCGGTCGATCGAGATCTCAACGACCTCGCCCTCGATGATCTCCGCCTCCTCCTTGATGCGGACGCCGATGGAGCGGCGGAAGGCCTGGGTGAGCGCCTCGGTCTTGGAGAGGTCGAGGGAGAAGAGCTCGGACGCGGCGACGGAGGCGAAGGGCGTCTCGGCGCCGAGGGACTTGGCGATGCCCATGGCGAGGGCGGTCTTCCCGGTCCCGGGCTGGCCGGCGAGGAGCACGGCGCGGCCGGCGATCTTCCCCTGGCGGATGAGCTGCAGGATGAGCCCCGCGGCGCGCCGCGCGGGGAGCTGCCCGACCATCCCCTCCGACGAGCCGCGGGCCTCCAGCGAGGAGTCCAGCCCCAGCCCCCGGATGTGGGAGTGCGCCCCGATGCGCTCGATCCGCGTCAGGTCGCGGCTCTCCGACAGCCGCTTCAGCTCCGCCATGGCCACCACCCGCCGCCGCCGCCGACGAGGTGCTTTTGGCTTCCCGAGGGTACTAAAAGAGAAGAAGGTTTAAGGCGAAAGGGGGGGAACGAGTTCTAGGGTTTTGCCAGCCAGCTTGGGTTGGGTTGAGTGGATGGATATATGAAGACGAAGACGAAAGGGGGGAGCACGGAGAGGTGTTGCACACCTGCACTTGTGACATAATGGGCCGTTACTAGTTGGGCCAGATGTCTTTTTCGGCCTGTTTGGAACCAAAGTTTTTCCTATTGGATTAAGTCCACATGACGTTCCTAGTCTATTAATCGAGTTTAAATCGCATCCCCGAACCGCAATATCTTTGACCTCCCAACTTGCAAAACCGGGTTGAATTAGGTCCTCCAGTAGCATATAAGGCCGGTTTCGCTGACGTGGCATGGTCAACCTACCTGAGTTAGCATGGGCCCCACATGTAAGTCGCAAAAAAAATCCCTTCTCTCCCTGGCCGAGAGTAGTCGCCATAATAGTCGGGTGTGGCGGCAGCGAAGCTATGTGTCCTTGGCTGCTTGCAGGTCCACCAGCCTTGCGTCCCGGGTCATCGCGTCTCCGTCATCCCTGAGTGGGAACGATGATGGATCTAATTTTATGCAAATTCAAATGGCATGACTACGTATATACGATTTGTAATGCCATTTATCTGAATTGACATATCTGCAATAGCGTGGATCCAATTAACCCTTACATAAATTCCGAATTCATGTGTTTCCCCTGTACCCTACCCCATCATTGAACTCTCCCTTTAATAACGGGGGAATTTAACTATTTGCAACTATTAGGTTTGTCAATTATCTAAATGCCCCTCTTAGAATTGCATTTATTTTTTTGCCATTGAAGAGAGAGAACTTCTTAATTCTTTGCCACTTTTGCATATATAGCACGCCAACAAGGTTGTCCCGTCATCTTATTCCTTCTCCACCTCCTCTCTATCTTCTCTCCCCCTTCTCTCTCACCTCCGGCATCTTGTTGGACAAACGGCGAGCTCCTACTCGTCGAGCACTGAGCCTCGCTGAGCCCTCTGAAGGAGGAGCTCGCTGACCGGATGGTGCCCAAGTATGGCCGTGTCACGTGAGGTTGGGGGTTGCGGCAGACATTGTCGACTGCAGAAGTGTCCTAAGGAGGATGACGAGGAGAGTCCATGGACCGAGGCACAACGATGAAGCGGGGATGCGGCGGTGTGGAGGAGGGAAGGGTGGACTTGAGGAAAAGAGGCTTGCTACTGGCAATGGCGCTCATTCGCGGCTCCGCGACCCGTTTCACTTGACCTCACTGTTGACAATGGCGCTCCTCCTTATCAACATCCACCGCGAGCACAAAACCCTCATCTTGTGCGCCTTGTCCTCCTTTGGTGACAGCAAGCTCCTGGGTCCCTGCCGCGCCACATCTCCACCTAACCAGCCAAGACAAGGGAGCTCGCTGGCTACCCAAGAAGATAGCCGAAGGTGAGGAAGGAGAGAGAAGATAGAGAGGAGGGGGAGAAGGAAGAAGATGACGGGGCGGCTTTGTTGGCGTGCCACGTATGTAAAAGTGGCAAAAAAAATTAAGAAGTTGTTTCTCTCTAAGGGCATAAAATTAAGTGCAATTTTTAGAGGGGCATTTGGATAATTGACAAACCTAATAGTGGCAAATAGTTAAATTCCCCTTAATAACCCTCTAGGGCCAGATTCTCAAATTCTCATCACTCGAGGGGTTAAAATGTAAAAGAGCGAAAAACTCCCGCGCGCCAAATCGTGATGGAACCCTAAACTCCACCGCTCCCATCTCGTCTCGATCCCCTCCATTTCAAATCCACACTCCGCCTCCCCTCTCCGGCCGCCGCCGGCGAGATGGATCTCTCCGCCACCCCGTCCAGATCCAAATCCGGCCTCAGATCCTCCCCGAGGAAGCCCGTCGCCGCCCCCGCCGTGGCCCAGATGGACCTCTCCACCCCGTCCAAGCCGACCCCCAGGCGGAAGCCCAAGGCGCCGCCGGTGGCGGCTCCGATGTCCCCCGTGACCCCGTCCTCCGTCCGCCGCTCCTCCCGCCTCCTCGAGACGCCGACCAAGGTAACTTCCGAGACCCCCGTGAAGCCCACCCCAACCCCGAAGCGGAAGCGCGCCGCGCCGTCGCCGTCGCCGAAGACGCCGACCCAGTCCGAGCCCAAGCGGCAGCGGCAGAGGCAGAGGCAGAGGCAGCAGCCGAAGAAGCCGAAGAAGAGGGCGTACTACCGGAAGGTGGTGTACGACGGCGGGGAGTTCGCCGCCGGGGACGACGTGTACGTGAAGCGGCGGGATGGCGCGGAGTCCGACGCGGAGGACCCGGAGGCGGAGGAGTGCCGCGTGTGCTTCCGCGCCGGCGCCGCGGTGATGGTGGAGTGCGACGTGTGCCTCGGCGGGTTCCACCTGCGGTGCGTGCGCCCGCCGCTGCGGCGCGTGCCGGAGGGGGACTGGGCGTGCCCCTACTGCGAGGCCGAGCGCGCGGGGAAGGCCATCGAGAGGCCCAAGCCGCCGGAGGGGAAGCGCATCGTGAGGACCGCCAAAGAGAAGCTTCTCTCCAGTGATTTGTGGGCTGCACGAATCGAGAGGTCAGTGAAAATTGTGCTCTGTGGTTATTTTGTAGTCAGTATGGTAGGCAGAAGTTGATTCCGTTCAATTATTGTTTCGATTCATTTCAACTTGCTTGAACTAGCCACATTACGACGAATTCTAGTGAATCTTATAGTCAGAATGAGGTAGCATTGAGCAGTAATGACGAACTGGTGGTGTGATTGTGTGAATAGGATGTGTAACGGCGCATCCTTGTCATGATTTAGTTGTTCCAGTAATGAATTCTGCATAGACAATCGTTTGTTCTGGCCTTGAATTAGGTCTGATACCCCATGTCCCCAGCAAAAGAAGGTTGCATCAGTAATTGGGGTTGGTGCAAGATGCACCTGGATAATTTCTGGATGTTTATCGTTGCAATTAAACCTCTAGTTCTCTACTGTAACAATTTCACTCGACTGCTTGTAAAGTTTGAGACATACAATTTCTTACCAATACCGTTGGTTGCAACAGTTTATGGAGGGAGCCAGATGGAATATTCTGGGCAAAGGTAAGATGGTATATTATCCCTGAAGAGACTGCAGCAGGAAGGCAGCCACATAATTTGCGTAGGGAGCTGTACCGCACCAATGATCTTGCAGACATTGAGGTGATAAGTTATTTTCGAGTGATAAATTGGTTCCTTTGGATGGTATTTTTGTTCATTATTCATTCTGTTCCTTGCTTTTATGGCTTTTGCAGATGGAAACAATTCTTAGACATTGTTATGTCATGAGCCCCAAAGAATTTAAGGATGCTAGTGATCAAGGAGATGACGTATTCTACTGTGAATATGAATATGACATACACTGGCATAATTTTAAGCGTCTGGCAGACATCGATGATGAACCTGAGGTACATGTACTGAAACTTGGTTATAGACTGTTCATAGTAGGAGTGTAGGACTCAGGGGCACCATTCTGGTAGTCAAGAAGTGAACCTCATCCTACTCTGTTATTGTAGACAAAGGAAGATCCTGGCGACGAGCCATACAATGCTGGTAATGATTATGTCAGTGACTCGGATGAAGATTCTGAATATGATGAGGAGGAAGAACCTACTAAATGTAGTTCTGCTAGAACACATCAATCACATGCGTTGGCTGCGGTACCAACCATTCCTCGTCCTCCCCCCCTCTTGCCTGTCTCCTCTCTGCTAGTGTTGCACTTCATGCTTTACTGAAATGACATGCCCATTTGCAGAATCTGCGGAAAGGGAGGACATATGGCCTACAAAAAATTGGGATCCGTAAAATTCCTGAACATGTCCGGTGTCATCAAAAGACCAATCTGGAGAAGGCAAAAGCAACCCTGTTATTGGCAACTCTTCCTAAGTCGTTACCTTGTAGGGATAAGTATGTTAGTACATTTTTGCAGCTTGTTTCAACCACTTTCTTTTGCAAACTGCTTTTGAGTTGAAGTCTCATGTCAGAGAAATGGAGGAGATATCTGCATTTGTGAAGGATGCAATTTGCAATGATCAATGTCTAGGACGCTGCCTTTATATTCATGGTGTACCAGGCACTGGCAAGGTAACTAACCATCCTTTACTGTCCCCTATGATGGTTTGATGTCCTTTTCTGTGGCTGAAGGCTAAGCAATATTTTCTGTGCCTACTTTTTCAACCTGTAGACTATGAGTGTACTTGCAGTTATGAGGAGGCTAAGATCCGAGCTTGATTCTGGGAATCTGAGGCCTTATTCTTTCATAGAGATTAATGGTCTTAAATTAGCTTCTCCAGAGAATATCTACAAGGTATGTGAACTTCTATCTTGGTTGAATACTATGATTGTCCTAGTAAACCATATCAGCCATGTTAAAAGGATTATAATGCATATAATTTTAATATATGCAGGTTATATATGAACAGTTGAGTGGGCATAGGGTAGGGTGGAAAAAAGCCCTTCATTATTTAACCGAGCACTTTTCAGGTGGCACTAAAATTGGCAAACAAGCAAACCAGCCAATTATTTTGCTCATCGATGAGCTTGATCTTCTTTTGACGAGAAATCAGTCGGTAATAATTTGTAGCTGAACCTGTTGAGTAGTTCAGCAATTTTGTATTCTATTGTTTGGAAAATGATAATTGTTTGATATTTCGTTTTGTTTGTCACTTTGTTTTACCATGTAGATTCATGTTCATTGACATTTGAGCTAATGTTTTGTCAGGTGCTGTATAACATTCTTGACTGGCCCACCAGGCCAAATTCAAACCTAGTTGTCATAGGTACCTATACTTTTGTTTGTTTTACGTGTGATTTTAGATGGCCTTTTAATTACTCTTTGGCTGTTACTGAACGCAGGTATAGCGAACACAATGGATCTTCCTGAAAAGTTATTGCCTCGTATTTCAAGTCGGATGGGTATCCAACGACTGTGTTTTGGCCCATATAATTATCGGCAACTGCAGGAGATCATTACAAGCCGTCTAAAGGGCATTGATGCCTTTGAAGACCAAGCTATTGAATTTGCTTCTAGAAAGGTTTGGAATGCAGTGTCATGTGTAAATCTTTTCTATTATTCACCCATGTCTTTTCTGTGACTGTTGCTTTGTCCATCCTATTTGCAATTTTTTTTCCTGAAGGGTGAATTTATGCAACATGTCTTTTGTTTTAAGGTTATTTCATTATTTTGTTCTCTGCATATGAATTTTCCATGCCATTAAACACCTTTTTGCTACCGCTTGTCCGATAACAAAAACTTTGGATGTTCTGAGTTCCTAGTCAAACTAATAAATGAGTGGCAGGTGCTGTAATCACTCTACACTTTTCCCTTTTCCAACAAATACTGTACAGAACACATTGTCTGTTTAGTCAATGATTGCATGCCATACGTGTAGCAGTCTTACTTTTGGGGGATTGAACTTACAAACTAAGGAACACCTCATGATCTAGGAGATCAATTATTTGTGTCATCTGTAGTTAGTTACTTAAGACACTTAGCAATTTCTTTTCATTGTAGTTCCTTTTTGTATGTTCCTGCAAGTTCAGTTGACAGTTGACACCAACGGAAGCCAGTGGACTAACTGCATTCACAGCACTGTGGTTTGGTTGCACACTGACTGTTAAGTGTCATCTGTCATTTCATCCCGGATGAACATTACTTATTACTTCACTGAGTTTCATCATTCCATATTACAGGAAAAAGTTATATGTTTCTATAGAAAAGTCAAACAACAAGCAATGGCCCATACAACGCCCCCTCCTGTTGTCACATGCTGTAGGGTTCTGTTGGCATGTGTTTTATTCAACTGACTATTGCCTACTTGTACAGGTAGCTGCTATGTCTGGTGATGCAAGGCGAGCCTTAGAAATATGTAGACGTGCAGCAGAGTTTGCAGATTACCGCGTTAAACAATCTGGGCACACTTCTGTGAATAGAGGTACGGACCACATATCTACAAGCCATTTATTGCAGTCATGGATTCTGGATTTATGTAATCTTGATGAATATATATTCAAGTACTATGGTCTTATGACTTCATCCCTTCATTCGTATCCAATTCCAGCTGTGTATAGTGATCAAACTTTAATCTGATACCTGTAGGAAAAAATGTTGTTTGCATGGGTGACATAGAAGCTGCTATTCAGGAAGTCTTTCAGGCACCACATATTCAAGTAAGTGGGCACTGATTGCTTGTTTTAAGAAATCAGACTCCTAGTTCACTTTGTAATGCAGTACATTATTCAGTTAGGGGTTGGTTACTGCACATACTTAGCTTGCCCTTCCCTAACAAGACCAATTACTTTGGCTAGGTACACCTTCAGGTGTAGAGACCAGGAGTTATCGTCCATTATCTAACAAAACTTAACCAATTACTAATGTTAGCTGACCTTCTAAGCCTCACCTGTAACTTTTTTCCTCTAACAGGTAATGAAGAACTGCCCAAAATTTGGAAAGATTATATTGGTCGCTATGGTTCATGAATTATACAGAAGTGGGCTAGGTGAAGTGATGTTCGATAAGGTGAGCACCCACTTTTTGTTGTTTTAATTTATAGAGCACTGCTACACATACTAGCTTTTTCTTGCTAAATTTTTACTAACAATCATCTTAACCGTTTGATTTAGGTAGATGGAAGTTATAAAAAATTTAGATACTCATAGAATGACACATCAGTGTTAGTAAGAAAAAAAATAGTACATAGAGCCTTTTCCTAATTTATATGTTGCTGGCCTAGCTTTGTGAGCATAAAGAAAAAGCAAGGTAGAGATTGACTTTTCTCTGATTCTAATGCAAAAATATCACCTCTGTTTATTCTCTAGTAGGTGATTCATCAAACTTATTAGGCCTTTTTAGACAGCTGTATCCACTGTCTTTCAAGTTTCAATAGTACAGCATATTACCGTCCTTCACATGACTTCAGAATTCACTGTAACAGTATTACTACAACACATACTGGTTATTTCCCTGAATCAGTACAATGGCCTGCAGGGCTGAAACGTGCAAGTGTTTTGTACTTTGTCATGTATTCTTCATTAACATTTTCAATGCATCGTTTTATTTTAACAGCACCTTGTATTTATGTGAATTGAGGCAGATACAAAGTCTTGTTTTGCTTAAGAAGTTCCCTTGGTGTCAGTACTTTTAATTCTTTAGTGAATTACTTTTGAGATGTCAATAATCCTAATTGATGTTATGCTCATGCTTAATATTGTTGGTGGTTTGAAGGAAGAAATCTGATGGGCTTTCCTATTATGCTGTAGCTGGCAGCAACTGTCCTCTCTTGGTGCCATGTCAACAGAGAATTATTGCCTGGCTATGATACTCTTCTGAAAATCTGGTAAATGAATCTGGTTTTTTGTTTACTTCATATTACATGATTTTTTCCCCAAATGTGGACGGTGCTCTTTCATTTGCTTAAGTTTGGATTGCAAGCGCAGGTGCATTGGCATGCTTGTGTTCCAAGAGGGATAAATATTACTCCCTCCTTCCCAAATTGATAATCATATATGGAATACACAATTTCTCAAATTGATCATCATATAACTGCATGGATACGGATTTCATCGGAATATAATTAATGTAGCATGGGAGAATGTGTGCATGCTAAGGGTGTAATTGGCATGGTGTTTTAATCGATATATACATTGTGGGAGAATGTGTGCATGATGTCTTGATTGATGTGATTTAAATTATCATTGGCCTTGGCGTATAAACATATATGATGATCAATTTGGGATGGAAGGAGTAATGAACAATGAATCCCAGTTCTAGCCAGGCAAAATATTCTTAGAATCATAGAAATGGATGGGGTATTACATCTTCGATTAAATTTCACAAAACTACAGATACTATGACCAAATTATCACAAAACTACATATTTAACTCAGTGTATCACAAAACTACACATTTAACATCAAATTTATCATAAAACTACACATTTAAGATGAAGTGTCACAAAACACATGTTTAGTAACTAAATTATCATAAAACTACGGGTTTAGAACCAATTTAATCACAAAGTAATAATGTTTATAGCTCCACCATAACAATGGTGCTAGGGATTTAAACTCCAAAAGTTGTAGTTTTGTGATAAGTTCAATATTAAATATGCATTTTTGTGATACTTAACCTAAAATCTGCAGTTTTGTGATAAATTTGGTACTAAATGTGTAGTTTTATGATATAACTCCTTAAATCTGTAGTTTTGTGATAATTTGGTCAAAATACCTGTAGTTTTGTGAAATTTACTCTACATCTTCTGATAAAAAAAACACATGTTAAAACATGGCCTGCCCTGCTATCATTTTTTTTCTTCTGTTACTAGTTCCTGCCAAGATTTCATTCAAGTGACAGTATATCTGCTGGAACTTGACCTCTCTCATTTTCACCCTCTCTGCTAGTTGTATGGGGGCATTAAAACATTCACAGTGGTGCTGTTTTATCTTCATTCTCGAATGTGACTAATTTCGTTTATACTTATGTGTATGAAATAACTTGGTGTGTGTTCCTATTGCAGTTGCAAGCTTGGTGAAGGTAAGATAATTCTCTGCGAGGAAGGCACTAAGCACAAGTTGCAGAAGCTTCAGCTTAACTATCCAAGGTTAGCTTGCAAGATTGTGTTTGCCATTGAAATTGGCATTACAAGGCACCTTTATGCCGACTCTTTACTTACTGCCTTTTAAAGACTATCAGAGTCATCTTTTGGGGGAAAATTCAATTTGAATCATTTACATGTTTAAATTATACATCGTGTGTATTGTTCCCTCGTCAACTTAACTTTTTGTTTGAACGAATTAAAGCCTAGAGGTTCTAGTTTTAAGACTTGGCACTTAGCTACCCCATTATTAGTGATCCACTTCGGTCATTGGTGGAGCCTTGACGTGAGCGGAGAACTTTTGGTTAATCTAGCTGGATGAAAACTTAATATGCACCTCTTTTATCATGTAAAACTGTACTGATGATTATTTTTCTTGTCTGGCAGTGACGATGTAACTTTTGCCCTGAAGGAATCCCCAGATATTCCATGGTTGTCCAAGTACCTGTGAAGTTTACACTTGCAGCGGTTGTACTTTCCCAGCATTTCATTCATCTACTCCTGGAGTTGGAGAGCAACGATCGCAACTACTTGCCCTTGATCAGCAGTAAGTTTGAACATGTTCCCTTGTTCATTTTTTCGTACCTTTGCAGAAGTTTGAAGGCCATCTAGTATTTTCTTGTCATGAACCATACTCCACACTGGAGCATGCAACACTAACAAGCCTAGCGCATCTTCTGCAGAATCTCGGAATTTATGTGGGTCCAATTGTTCATCTTCCAAAAGATATCGACTCGAAGGATGCCGCTGCAACAAAATGTAAATGCAGTGTCGCACCAGGACTGTAACATATGTATGATTCGAAGGAGATTGTAGGTCGCCATTTTATTTTCGCCAATCTGTTGTTACCCAAGAAACTTTGCTCTGGCAGTGTTGTTTTCTCTTGCATCCCTCTGTTACGTACTCCCTTCGTTCCAAAAAAAGACAAACCCTGGTTTCCGTGTCCAACGTTTGACCGTCCGTCTTATTTGAAAAAATTATGAAAAAAATTAAAAAGACAAGTCACGCATAAAATATTAATCATGTTTTACCATCTAACAACAATGAAAATACGAATTATAAAAATTTTCATATAAGACGGACAGTCAAAGTTGGACACGAAAACTCAGGGTAAAACTCAGGGTTTGTCTTTTTTTTTTTACGGAGGGAGTACGTGCGAGCTGATTGTACTACTGCACATTTGTAACTGGTTACCTACAAATCATCATCAAATTATCTGTTGTGAAACATTGACAAATGTATGATGGATTGATGATATCTGTTAAAACATTGACAAATTATCTCTTTTTCGCTTGTGAATTCCCGTGGGATATTAATCTCTCGTTTGGAATTCACGCGGGCTCTCTCTTCTTCGTTTTATAGCTTGGACCCATCGCCTTCCTCTCGCCGCCGGCGAGCCCATTACCAATGGCGAACGCGAGTGCAACGCCCAAGACCCCTCGCCGCCGCCGCCGCGTCACGTTCCTGGCTAGGACTTGCCACCGCCTCCTCCGCTTGCTCGCCACTCACCGCCTCCGCCGCGGTGGCCATGGCCTTAACTCCATCAGCGCCGGTGACGACTCCCCTCCCTCCGGTCAGCCGCCGCGAGGCCGGGACGCGGAGGAAGCCGAAGCGACCCAGGCGGCGGCGGCGGCGCAACGGCGGCACGAGGAGCGACACGGCGACGACGACGCCGCCGCCACCGAGGAGGCGGAGGCGGCCGTGGCGGGGAAGTACTGGGCGCAGCGGCGCAGCCTCTTCTCCCTCTACGACCGCGGCGTGCGGATGGACGCGGAGGGCTGGTACTCCGCCACCCCGGAGCCCATCGCCGCCGCGCAGGCCGCCCGCGCGCCGCCGGGATCCCTCGTCCTCGACGCCTTCGCCGGCGTCGGCGGCAACTCCATCCAGTTCGCCGCCAGGCACGCCGCCGCCACCACCTCCATCTCTCTCCATTTGCAACCTCGCTCGCTAACCACCCCGTCTCCCCTGCAGGGGTTGCTACGTGGTCGCCGTGGAGATCGACCCCCGGAAGGTGGAGCTCGCGGCGCACAACGCCAGGATCTACGGCGTCGACGACATGATCGAGTTCGTCGTCGCCGATTTCTTCCACCTCGCGCCCTCCTTGAAGGTATGCTCATCCCTTTACTCAATGATACTGAAAAAGAAACAAAAAAAAATGAAGCGTCAATGCTTCGCATTTAGGTTCAACTCCTAAATTTAGTTTCAGGAGTTAAGTTTGAAATGGAGTTCTGAAGCGGCCTAAACCCAGCTCTATCTCCCTAGTTTAATTTGTGAGAAAGCTTCACCCGGCTTGGCTCCTATTTTAGGTGAAGCTGAAACTGTTCGACTGAGAGCTATGCCAAACATGCCATAAATGACGAAACTTGAGCAGAGCTCCAGTTCGTTTATTTTCTCCTCTAATTTATTTACTCTAGTTGTAAACTTGCAATAACGTTCGGATGTGCGTTTCTGAATTTCAAGCTGGATCAAAGTTTTTTTTAAAAAAAATGGATTCTGATTGTTCTTGTTGCATTGATCAGGCAGATTTGGTGTTCCTTTCACCGCCATGGGGAGGGCCATCCTACAGCCAAGCTCAAGTTTACTCCCTTGATATGCTGAAGCCAAGAGATGGGTATGTTGTTTTTTTTTTTTGCCGATTTCCTGTCATATCCACAATATGAAAAATAATGTGTTTAATCATGCAGATTTACAATTTTCCAAGCTGCTCAGGAAATATCTCCAAATATCATCATGTTCCTGCCACGGAATGTGGACTTAAGCCAAGTAGAGCAACTTTCTTGGTTGTCTTCTCCCCCCTTGGATTTTGTGGTACGATCTGTTTCATAACCTTTTTCTTTTTTTTCATCGAGCATTTAAAACTTTCAATATGTGAAAAAATTGACATGGTATTCCTGTTGTTTTATAGAGCGAAGAGAATTACATAGAACATAGATTCAAAGGGATAACCGCCTACTTTGGAGGTTTGGCACAAGAAGTTCTGAAGCAAGGATAAATTTCTTTCTAAGGTTTCAATGTCTAGCTTCCCCTGAAATTCTGGTCTAATATCTTGCAAATGCCCCTTAGTTGGTGTCTCAACGCAAGAGAAGCTAAGGCTTGATGGTAGCCCAACGTTTTTATTTGATTCAGTATATGGAAGGTATATCCCATATTTTTGGTTCACTACAAGGTCTCAACTGTGTCGGTGGCGTGGTGGGAGATTTGGTATTGTGCTGCTCCACAAATTTGGCTTCGATTATTTGGCATTCTGGCCTTTTAGCAAATTGCTACCATCATTGTCAAGATTGCCCCTAACTCCACATGCAGCGAAGCAGTCCTATCTCGTCAATGCTAAATTTAGAAAATCTATAAGCAACCCCAATTTACTGGAGAAAAATACATAGAGGGAAAACCACCATCACTGCTTCCATTCCCTTCAGCAACAAAGAAATAGTTCTTTTGGGAGATGGATTTTTGTCCCTAGAGAGAATGTCCAATGTCGTCTAAAAAGTCATTAAAAGAGCTTTAAAAAAATTTGGTAAGATAGAACTTTTAAATTTGACTTGTACAATTAGAATTTTACAAAAACAATAAAATTACCGTGAATTACGTGTTCTATTTGAAGTCAAATTTATTATTTTTGTTTCTGAATTGACCATGAGTTTATTATTATACAGAGTCAAATCTATTGTTTTTGTTTTCAGAGTCAAATTGACCGTGAATTATGTGTTCTATTTGAAACCTGTATGTTTATGGTGTGGTACCATTTTTATTATTTTTTGTGCGACCTAAAAAAACCCCAAGGGAATGGCCCCTCGAGGGATAAATAAACTTTCCCATTCTTTTGTCAATGTAAACTTTAGAAAACCTATAAACAACCTAATTTACATGACAAAAATACAACAAGGGAAAAAAAATTAACAAAAGAATCAATTCCTCCTTCCATCCCCACAAACCCCCCAACAACAAAAAAAACAAAAATGTTCAACACATATTTATATATTCACTAATGCTAACTATACTAACAATTTATATAATCGTCATCACAAGCGGCTCCTGAATGCGTGAGTTCCTCTGTTGTAGCCGTAGTAGGAGAGGTACCACCGGACGAACTTCTTGAGCCCCATCTCGAGGCTGGTCGTCGGCTTGTACCCGAGCTGCTCCCTCGCCAGGCTGATGTTGGCGTGGGTGAAGGGCACGTCGCCATTGCCGGGCATCTCGACGACGTGCCTCCTCGCCTTCACCATCAGGCACCTCTCCAGCATCGCCACCAGCGCCGGCACCGTCACCGGCGACGTGTTCCCGAGGTTGAAGATCCTGTACGGCGCCGCCCCGCGCTTCCTCCCGCCCCCGCCCGTGCTCCGCCCAGCCGTGTCCAGCGCCGCCAGGCACCCCCGCACGATGTCGTCGATGTAGGTGAAGTCCCTGGTGTTGGAATATAAAGTGAATTGTCCATCTTTTCTCACCAGCTCAAGCTTTTGAGTTGAACTAGTCGGTGCATGCAACTCAATATGGTATCAGGGTTGGAAATTTCGGAACGAAATTTTCGAAATTTGATCATTTCAGACCCCTCCGATACGATATTATTTCAGCTGAAATTTTTAAATTTCTACGTGAAATTTTGGTAATATTTGCTCAAATTCAACTAAATTTTGTTCAAAATTTCGGACCGAAATTGACCGAAAATTTCAGCATTTCGGTGAGGCCCGATCAAATCGGCCTAACCGATAGGATCAACCCTGACTGGCTGACTCAATATGGTATCAAAAGTTAGAGGTCTTGAGTTCGAATTCTGGCTGAATTGCAGCCCACTTCTATTCCATGCAACTTAATACCTGGCGATGTCGACGTGATCACGGCCCCGGTAGACGGTGACCGGCTTCCCCTGCAGGATGTTGCGGGTGAAGAAGAAGTAGGCCATGTCGGGGCGGCCCCAGGGACCGTACACCGTGAAGAAGCGGAGGCCGGTGATGGAGAGGCCGTAGATGTGGTTGTAGGTGTGGGTGATGGCCTCGCCGGCTTTCTTGGTGGCGGCGTAGAGCGACGCCGGCTTGTCGGTGCGGTGCGCCTCGGAGAAGGGGACGGCGTCGTTGAGACCGTAGACGGAGGAGGAGGAGGCCCAGACGACGGCCGGCTGCGGGTCGGCGTCCTTGCAGGACTCGAGGAGGGAGACGAGGCCGGCGACGTTGGAGCGGACGTACGACGAGGGGTTCTCCATGGCGTAGCGGACGCCGGCCTGCGCGGCGAGGTGGAGGACGTGGGTGAAGGGGACGACGTCGAACAGCTTGGCGAGGAGGCGGCCGTCGTTGATGTCGCCGTCGACGACGAACACGCCGTGCGAGCCCAGGAGGGCGCGCCGCGCCTTCTTCAGCGACGGGTCGTAGTAGGAGTTGTAGTTGTCGATGCCGACGACGCCGTCGCCGCGCTTGCGGAGGGCGAGGGAGCAGTGCGCGCCGACGAACCCGGCGGCGCCGGTGACCAGCACGGACAGCCCGGCGCCCTCCGCCGACCCGGGCGGCCGCCGCGGCGACGCCGACGCCCTGATCTGCCGCTCCCAGTGCAGCCCGCCCCACGACGCCGCCGGGAAGTAGCGCGACGACGACGCCGCGGCGTCGCCGGCGAGGGAGCGGAAGCTCAGGTACGTCGCCGTCATCGCCACCAGGAACAGCGCCCACAGGAACATGGTCCCCGTCGACGCGAAGCACCGGTGAACCTGCCGGCTCATCGCCGCCGACGACCGCTGCTCCACCTTCACCTTCCCCGGCGTCGACGGGTACATCACCTCGGCCTCCTCCTCCTCCACCACCACCCGCATCCTCCTCCTCCTCCTCCTCCTCCTCTCCTCACGCAACCAAACAACACACCATCGATTCAGCTCGAACGAGATCAAATATTTTTGAGTTCCGTTGCTCGAAAAAGAATTAGAATTTTGAGTTCTTGCTGAATTTTGGTGGTTTTGTTGTTCTGAGAAATGATTTTTTTTTGTTTTCTTTAATTTTTTTGGCCGTGGGAAATGGGCGGGAGGGATTAGTGGAGCGTGCGAAGGATGTTGCATAAATAGCGGTGGTTTTGTGTTCGGAGGCTCGGCGATGATGGTGGGGGTCCCTGTAATTTAGCACTGTTTATTTTTAGGCCATATGGTATAACATTTGAGGATGTTTTGAAAATGGCAGGACCATCATCCATTGAATGCATTAGGGCATCTACAAAGGTAGAGTCAGATATGAGCTCTACGTTATCTGGAGACTAGCATCCTACAACAGTTAGAGACAATATGGTCTCAACTTTTTCTTACTTTTATTTTCTTTCTTTCACCACCATGCAACAAAATTTGCTCTAATAAATGCTAAGAGTCGACTCTGAGCTGTTGTCATGCATAACAACCATACTCCTTTCTCTTTCTTCCATGTCATCAAACTTACTTGCATGGCAATAGAGAGAGACCACTAATAAACACCGTTGTACATGCCCTTATGCATGAGATTTGCGAAGAAATAGGGAACATATGTATCGAGGTTTGTCTAGCATTTTAATCCTTTCCTTATGCCATTAGGCCAATACCATATGCCATTAGTTGGTTTCAGTTTTGTAGTATAACCTAAACAAAACCCACTATATTTAGACTTGGTGCCAATGCAATGATGTACTCCATCCGTCCCAAAAAAAGGCAAACTCTGGGTTTCCGTGTCCAACTTTGACTATCCGTCTTATATGAAATTTTTTTATAATTCGTATTTTCATTGTTGTTAGATGATAAAACATGATTAATATTTTATGCGTGACTTGTCTTTTTAATTTTTTTCATAATTTTTTCAAATAAGACGGACGGTCAAACGTTGGACACGGAAACCAGGGTTTGTCTTTTTTTGGGACGGAGGTAGTACCTATTATCATGTCATGCGCTGAAAAGTGTAGTCTGCCGTTTCCGAGCATCCGAGTGCCTCTCTTTTAGCACATCAAAATGTGATGGAGGCTAGAACAAATTTATAAAACCGTTGAACTTAGTTTTTTTACTTGATATATGTGTTAAGAAACTTAGAGCTTGACCAATGAAGACATGAACCAAATATATTTATTGGGTCCATCACCAAACTTTTCATATATGGATTTGCACTACTGTCCAAAGAGGAGAGGAATTACTCATTTGTATACTTGATGAAAGGATTGGAATAAGAGAAAATAATCTCACCTCTAAATTTTGTATCTCCACTTTGCTCTTAAATTATACAACCGTGTTGTACTACTCTCTATATTATCAAGCACGAAGCTATAAGGGAGACCAAGGTAGAAGAAGGAAGAGAAATCTCTTATACGATTTGCACTTTAAGAATTGGACTAAGGGTGTGTTTAGTTCACGCAAAAATTGAAAATTTGGTTGAAATTGGAATGATGTGATGGAAAAGTTGGAAGTTTGTGTGTGTAGGAAAGTTTTGATGTGATAAAAAAGTTGAAAGTTTGAAGAAAAAGTTTGGAACTAAACTCGGCCTAAAAAATGAATTTCTTGTATCCTCCTTGTTTCGTTTTGGTGCCTTCTGACGACTAGCCGATTCGATTCACCGGCGACTAGCCGATTGGGGTTTTGGGTGTGCTCCATGGTAAACAAGAAGTCGATGTTGCATGTATGGAGCAGAGACGACGTCGGACCGTGCCATCGAACGATCAGGCCATACATGACGGTGGAAATCCAACCCAACCCAAATGCAACGGTAGAAAAACTGTACTGTACACCTCTCCGTGCTCAGCAGCATCGAGGAGTGGACAAGATGAGCCCGGGCGTCCTCCTCATCATCGCCATCCTGGACGTCGTTTTTTTTTTAAATGAGGGTAAAAGCTTTGCCTCGTATATTAATAGAGATGGAGAAAAAACAAAACAAAATTAGAAAGGGAAATATTTACAGGGCAAGCCAAAAGAGCTAAACCCGCAAGAATTGGCCAAGAGACTAAGTGATATCTCCAAAAATTCCAAACTCTTGAAGCTTTGAGGCTCCAGCCTTGACCCAGGCTCGAGCCTCCTCCTTGATCTTGGCGATGATGGAAGCCGGCGTTAAGGTGGTGTTTCGGAAGATTATTGCGTTTCGTTCGCACCAAACTTCCCATGAAACCAAGATCACCAGTGCTCACAAAGGAAAGCGGGGGGTGTTAGGAGTGTCTACCACTACGTTCCACCATTGCTCCACCGAGTCGCAGTCCACCGAGTCGTCTTCTTCCTCTTCGGCATTCTCAACCTGCTGGTGCAGAATCTCCTCAGACAGACTTCAGAGTTCAAACCAAATTGGCCCTAAATTTTCGGCATATCGAGTGGTGTGCTCTGACGCTCAGACTCCGCTTGTTTTACACACAGGGGTTCAGACTTTCAGTTGCCCCTCTGCAGCAACAGCCAACAAGCCCACCCTTGCAGAAGCTTTGTCGCTAGGAATCTAGTTTCTGAACTTTTGGAAATTCGGAATGTCGTCGAGATGAACAACACATCTGCAATCTCACCTCCCTCTTGCAGAGTTTTAGTGTTCTCCATTTTTTATTTTTGCCCTTGTCTAGATCCACATGTACCAAATCTAGAACATGAACTTCAATCTGAGTATCCAGTAAAACCTATGACATGGACCCTAGCCAAATTATTCATGCTTTTACCAAATTTCGAGTAGACTTCAAACCGAACCACACTAAATTTTGAGAAAATTGCATATCTATCATTGCATAAGTTAGGATTCGCTCAACTACTATCACTTAAATGGGCTTAGCTAGAATACCATAATTAACCAATGTGTATTTGCTAAAATACTATCCCGGACAGAAATACCCTGGATCTTCTTCTTCATCCCTCCCTCCAATGACTGAATAGGTCGCCAGTGGCCACCGCCGGCTCCACTGCCGCGCCATCGCTCACGTCGTCTGGGCTGGGCACCGTTGCGCATCGCCGCCCCACCCTGACTCGCCGGCTGACGACAACCTCGCCCCGACACCTTGCTGCCACCGGCAATTAGGGCGTTGCCCTCCCTACCATCGGTCCATCCTGGTATGTGTCGGCGAGGCAGCACCTGTGAAGCCGGCGGTGGCCGCCAGCAACCTCTTCAAGCATGGGAGGGAAGAAGATGAGCTAGGGGCATTTCATTTCTAGATAGTATTTTAGTAATGATCGATTGTGGATGGTATTCTAGCGAAGTCCATTTTGAATAATTGTATTTTTATCCAGTAGATATGCAATTTTCTCCTAAACTTTTGGCCTATCTGGACGTGTCAGGGGATGGGGTGACACATTGATGAATGGTGTGTTCTGACTCTGCTTGTTTTACGCAGGATTCAGATTTTCGTTGCTCCCATGCAACAACAAGCCCACCCTTGCAGAGGTTTGTCGCTAGGGAATCTGCAAAATTTGTTTCTGAACTTTTGGAAATCCGGAATGTCGTCGAGATGAACAATACACCTGCAATCTGCAGTATCAGTATGCTCCCTCTTGCAGAGTTCTCCAATTTTTTTTTACTGACATCGTAGTTTGATACTCTGTGCAACCATAAGTTTACGTGACCAACTTTAATTGTACGTATTATTTAATTTTTTTTATAATTAGTATTTTTGTTGTTATGAGATAATAAAACATGAATAATACTTTATGTGTGACTTATGTTTTAAAGTTTTTTCAAAAAAAAAATTAAATAAGAAGGACGATTAAAATTGAGCACGGAAAAATATGGCTGCAATTAATATATAGCCGCAATCAGTAGTTTCATTGCATTGCGTACATCAGCATGACGTCATCACCTACCATCTCTTCTTCTCTACGACGTCGCCTCGTATAACAACAAGCTCTTCTTCTTCTCGTGTTACCATTTGTGACAACAATGGACACGTCGGCGTCCACCTCGCCGCCGCCGCCGCGCTCTGTGCTCAGCACCATCGAGGACAAGATGAGCCCGGGCGTCCTCCTCATCATCGCCATCCTCGCCGTCGTCTTCTTCCTCTTCGGCTTGCTCAACCTGCTGATCCAGAACCTGCTCCGGATGCGCCGGGCGCGGCGGCGGCGGCGGCGCGTGGGCGACGGCGGCGGCGGCGTCGGCATGGGCAGCCCGACGGCGTTCCAGGGCCAGCTCCAGCAGCTGTTCCACCTCCACGACGCCGGCGTCGACCAGACCTTCATCGACGCGCTCCCCGTCTTCGTCTACCGCGCCGTCGTCGGCGCCGGGCTCCGCAAGGACGACCCGTTCGACTGCGCCGTGTGCCTGTGCGAGTTCGCCGGCGACGACAAGCTCCGCCTCCTCCCGACGTGCGGCCACGCGTTCCACGTGCCCTGCATCGACGCCTGGCTGCTGTCGCACTCCACGTGCCCCATCTGCCGCGGCAGCGTCCTCGCCGCCGCCGCCGCCGCCGACGACGACGACGACTCGTCGGCGTCCACCCCGGTAGCGCGGCGCGTGCTCGACTCGGAGAGCCTCGGCGAGACGTTCGCCAACAATGGAGGTGGGGACAGCGAGGGGTCTTCTCCCAAGGCGGCGGCGGCGGAGGAGGAGGAGGTCGTCGAGGTGAAGCTTGGCAAGCTCAAGTGCATCGACGGCAATGGCAATGCCGGCGACCTCGCCGTCGTCAAAGGCACCACCACCAGCAACGATGGCGACATCGGCGGCGGCGGCAGGGGAGATCTTGGACAGAGACGGTGCTTCTCCATGGGATCCTACGAGTACGTCATGGACGAGCACGCCGCGCTCCGCGTCGCCGTCAGGACGCCCAAGCGGAGGCCGCCGGCGAGGTCGAGGTCTCGCCGCCGGCTCGCGCTGTCGGAGTGCGACTTCGCGGGCTCCGCCTCCAAGAAGGGCGCGTGGGAAGCGGCGGTGATAGAGGCCGCGTCGGCGGACGCCGCGGCGGCGAGGCTGAACAGGGACAGCTTCTCCGTGTCCAAGATCTGGATGACGTCAGCCACTAGGAAGGAAGATGTCCGGACGGCGGCGGAATTGGCCGGCGGAGGGAGGCGTGCGGCGTCGTTCCGGTGGCCGGCGATGGCCGAGGCCAGCAAGAAGCATGGCGGGATCAACGACGAGCGCCGCGACGTCGAGGCCGGCGGCAATGGCGACTCGTCTCTCGCCGACGAGCGGCCGTCGTTGGCGAGGACGGCGCTGCAGTACATCGTCGGCGGCGGCGGCGGCGGGCGGCAGCAGAGCAGCCGAGTTGGAAGCCATTCTTGAACCATTTGGTTTGCACATTGAACACAGAAAAAATGTCCCCTTATTTTTTTTCTTTTCATTGATTTTTTCCCTACTTTTCTTTTCTTTTCCAAAATGATTATAGTGATTGCAAAGCAACAAATTTGTGAAGAAAAAAGCAATTGAAGCAACTGCATTTGTGTGTTAGTCATGGTCATATTAATTAGTTAAAGAGACAAAAGGCATTCTTGGTCTTCATTGGTTTGAAATATCAGATTGTAGTGTAACATAAGCCAGGTTGATTTGCTTTTAAAGTTCAGCAGAATAGGAGGAACTTGGAAGACACTCATGAACAAAAGAAGCATTGGTTGTTTGGATTTGTCAGGTTGACAGTGATGGAATTAAATCAAATTAGCAAACCTTATAACAACCACTGAAGATTAATATTTGTATCATATGTGGCAATATAATTTGTCTTATGCATCATTTTAGGATGGCACGAAATTTTTATCTGAATAAACAAGTGCAGAACACTTGGCTTAGCTGTCTCACCACTGCATCTGATCTACTCCTAACTTACTAAGCATTCTTGGTTTAAACTGAACCAAGAACTGGCTAATACAGACAAAGTGTATACAGGCATGGCAATGCAACTATGCAAGTGAGAGAAGTGGATTCTCTCTAATTAATGACATAAACAAATCAGCCAGTCAAATCCCTCATTAAAGAAGCTGAACCCAGTGTCTGTTTGCATAATTGCTACTACTACTACTAAGCATTTAGTGAAAGTGCTGGCAACATTTGACTTGCAACTGCCTCATCAGGGTCTGGTGTGCATGTGGTGAGAAGGTGAGAGGAAGCTTGATTATCGGAGTTTCAAATACAAATCCATTTTTCTTGCCATGTTATGCTTGATTTCATGAGCTGTTCTTCTGTTGGAGCTGAGTTTCTGTTTGAGTAGTGGACTCGTGTGCAAGATAGTAATACTGCATTTACAGGCTGTTGCAACTTGCAACAGTACAAGCACTTCGCTCCTTTTGTCCGCAGGCTGTTGCAACAGTACAGATGTGCAATACTACTTCACTGTGATGTAGGTGCACAAATTTATAAGAGTTTAAATACCAACCTTGATGATGCTGCGGCACCGTCAGATTTTTGTCTGTTTAGTCGTCAGGTAATATTTTTGGCAGATCAACAATTTCATTGTAGCATGGATGGAATGAAATTGGATCTCCCTATTAAAGAATGGTGGCTGAATGCCTCTACCTCTGTACCTTCCCTGAAACTTTATTTCAGAAGATAGAGGTTCAGACTTCAGAGTTACAATTCTAATAATAGGTTTGCTAAAAAAGCTTAAGCTGACAAGAAAATGTGGATGATATAAAGTAGAACTTTCATGAACTTTTGTAGTAGCTTGCGTTGTGACAAGTCACAATCGATATATTTTGCCCTTTTCAATCTAAGAACCTTCTTGTAATATCTGTGCATAGAATATATTTAATTTGAAAGGAAAGTAAAACATAGAATTGCAGAATGGTAGTTTGTATTGTGCATTTGTGCCACCTAGGTCACTAAGCTAAGCTGGCGAGTCAAATTTTTTAGAGAGCAGAGGACCACATACAGCTACAGTAAAGCGAACTTTTGAATTCTTTTCGCTTGTTTTAACCCAAGTTCACGGTGTGTTCATGCTGGATGCATCATTAGTTCACAAATCCGGGTGAGCTAAAGCTGAATGCGACCGGTCAATCGGCACAAAAGCATGTTTGGAATTGACCATGTTAGGAGAACAGGAGCAAAGCTAGCATGCATGCATCATCTTGAGTAGATGACAAGGTTCGGACACAACAAGCAAAGCATGAGTAGTTCAGTATTAGCAGGTCTGAAGACCATGGAGAATTGGAGATAGAAGAGGTCAAGAAAAGGAGAAACAGGTCTGGGCCATCTTCAGAAAAAAATAATCAAATATAAGTACCAGTTTACATTACACAATATAGAAGCTTGAGAGATGATCAGTGAAGTAGCTTAAAAGATTGGAGATTTAAGACTGCTAGTTGCACATGAGTAGTTGAGGAACTGTCAGCAATTACCATGACAGGTTGGAGATTTTAAGTTTGAAATGCTATCCAATAAACAAGTGTGGTCACTCCTGCGCATCGTTTTTTTTTTAATATAGTTTGATATTAAAGTACTGAAACATAGTTTTAGTTTTTTTTTTGTTAGACAAGTTGCAAGTGATGAACGTGAGTTTTCTGGTTTTCTTCCACAATTCCTGCAATTAAATTGATTCATGTATAAATCCAGCAAAGTTAATGCATAATATCTACTCCACGAAGACCCTAAAAATTTCTACCATTCTGACAGACTCGACAGAGGTTCTCTATTGAGGTAATATTGCAAATAAATGCTTGCATAAAGAACAGAACTGATGCAAATAAAAAGGTTCTGCATATTATCTTTTTCTATCGAAAAATGTGCTCCATTGTCTTGCCCTTCACTGGATTTCTGTACAACAATTTTAAATTTTCTTTTGAAAAAGAATTCATGGATTGAAGTGTGGGCTACTAGATTTACCAGTGGTTAATCACTGACAATGTTTTTCTGCCTTGCCATGGCAAGATTGAAAGAACAAAATTTATAACTAAGTTATTTTCGGTTTGTTACCCTTTACTTACAAAATCAAATAGGCTATTCAGATAAGCATATCTGGTGTGCTTGTAAACTCCTGCATCCTCCGAAATCAAAATAAACCAAAAGAATCCCTGATCAAAGTGATCATCAACTCAATGTGCCATAGCCCATAACTACTACTCCTCCGTTTCAGGTTATAAGATGTTTTGACTTTGATCAAAGTCAAACCGCTTCAAGTTTGACAAGTTTTTAGAAAAAATAGTAATATTTTTGACCTAAAATAAATTTATTAAAAATATACTTAATTATCAATTTAATAAAACTAATTTAGTAATATAAATATCACTATATTTCTCTATAAACTTAAAACAGTTTAACTCTGACCAAAGCCAAAATATCTTATAAACGGAGAGAGAGTACTGGTACTGTTCATCATCAGTTGAGCCTGCAAGCTGCAACAACCCCCTTGTCCCATGCTGCCGTCCCCAATCTGAACCTCATATTCTCATCCCATCTGTGCGATCGATCGATGCACGCGCTACATCACTATCATCCTTCGACCAAATCCCCAAAGCGTCACTAATCCTTTTTTTTTTTGTCGGCGTGGATGGAGTCACTCGCTTACTCACCCCTGCACTTTGACAACTGACAACATCACCAGGAAAGAGAAGATTATGGCCCCATTTGATTTGTACGAAAAATATTGAAAAATTAGATGATTTTAATTCTATAAGAAAAATAGTACCTATTAAGGTCTTTGAAACAAATGATTGAATTATTTCCTTTCAAATCCCTATGGAATAGATAATACTATGAAGAGATTTTAAAGAAAAGTTAGCAAGAGCTTCAATATGTTGAGTCTATTTTTCTCATCTGATTCCTAAGTTTTTCTTTTAGCTTATTCAAATAACCATTTATGTATTTTGCAATCGTTTATTTTGCAGTTACATTCATGTAAAAATATTACGTTTTTCCTGTTCTTCCTATTTCTTTTTTTCAATCTTTTGCTTCAAATGAGCCATAAGGGTCCCGTTTGGACGATAAGATTATAGATTATTCTAACTTTGTGATAACAATTGTTTTTCCATTACACGAGAGACGCACGTGCACACACACCACTACATAGGTAACACCATACTCATACACCCACGAATGTGTTATGCACATGTTTAAAGGAACAGAAATCAACGTCACATACTTGGACTCTGTGGCCTTCACTTATTGGGAGGCAATTATATAGTAATAAAATATTAGTATTCCGCGGGAGAAGAGAAAGGTCCCCATTGTTTGGCTTATTTCCTAATAAGCCAAAACGGCTTATTAGGAAATAAAAATGAAATTGTGGGTAAAACTTTTGTAAATGTGTTTTTTTTGACTTAAAAGCCAATTTGAAAAAAAAAACTACGTTGAAAATATGTCAAAATCAATCTTAAAATTAAGCTTGAAAATTTAAAATTTAGCTTTTTCTTTGGTTTATTAGGCCATCCGATGAGGCTGAAAAAATAATCCAAGACGGCTTGGCGATGAACAGCTGCAACCAGTAGCAGCAGGCAGGATGTTCCTTCGTACTTCCAGTGTAGACCAGCCTTGTTTTATCTGGGCCTCTTCGGCCTGGGATAAGCCCAGGTTCTGCTCCTGCAGGCAGGAAAGCCGGATGTTCCATACTTCCATTCTCGAATAATTGACACGGTTAATTATGATCATGTCATTTTAACCGCATTCTTTTAAAATAATTATATTAAGTAATGAATAGAAGTTATATTTATGATTATACAACGCTCAATAATATAACATGTTTAAAGTATTTATTAGAAATGAAAATTAGTTAATGCTAAAACTAAAATAATATCGATATCAATTATTGAAGAACAGGGACGAAATCATCCAGACAACACTAATTTACACTACACACCACCTTTGGGAAGAAATCAGGCCAGAGGAAGGTGTGCTCTGCTTTGGGATCCTTTGGAACAACTTACACTTGACACCACCTTCCCTTCCCTTCGTTCTGAAGCCCTTAGAGAAACTGAGGCAACGGCGAAAGATCTTAGGGCTCCTTTGGAACAAAGATTCTTAGAGGAATTCAATTCTATAAAAATACCTTCTTATGTGGTCCTTTGTATCAAAATCCTTGAAAGTTCCTTTGGATTAACTAAAGGCTTCATCTTTTTTGCTTATGTTTATTCTTATCAACCAAAATTTAAATTTTCAAGCTTAAACTTGGAGTTTATTTTGGGGTCTTTTCATCATAGTTTATTTTTTAGCTTTTTTTTAGAACACGTGTATAAAAAATTTATTTATAAATTAGTTTTCGTTTGCAAATATAGGTATTTTAACTGATGTGGCTTTAAAAACATAGGTATTTGAACCAAAGGTCCAGTCTCTTAGAAAAAGAATCATATATATCAATCGGTTCATGTGTTTTTCCTACGCTCCACCTAACTAATGATTCCCATAACTTTCTTATTTTTTTTAATCTATAGGGACTTCTTTAAAACATGGGAATATGAAAAACACATGATTCAAATGTCATCGCACCTTGAATCCAATGGAATGAAAAATACATAAACCCGTTAGGATGAAGCATAGGAAAACACATAGGATTTAGAGATGTAGACAGAAAGGAAAATTTCTAAGAATTTGGAGTTAATGCTAGGAATCCTTCAAAATTATCATGAAACATGTCATTTCATAGAAATTTCAAAGGAGTTCTACAGACTCAATGCTTTGTTAAAATTAGTCTCATAAAAACTTTTTCTATATGATTCAAATCTTTTTAAGTTTCTCTACTTTTCTTTTGTTGTAAAGGAGCCCAAAGATTTAAGGTGATAAGACACTTTAATTCTGTATTTTTTTTTCCTATCCAACATTATAAGAAGGGAAAATTACAAAATTCACCTCATAAGTCACTTGAATTTTGACATTCCACCTCATAAGTCATTTTGCTGCAAATACACACCTTCTATTTAGTTTATTGTAAAAATCACCCGAATGCACACGTGCGTAACCGAATCAATTCGTTATCGCTGATGTACAGTTACCACAGGCTAAGCTAGTCAAATCAATCGTGTCCAAGTGCTTGCATTAGACTTAGGGGGTGTTTAGATCCAGGGGTGTAAAGTTTTGGCGTGTCACATCGGGTATTATATAGGGTGTCGTATGAAGTGTTCGGGCACTAATAAAAAACCTCATCCACGCATGGCACGGGTCGCGTACTCGCGTGGCCCTCCTCGCTGCCGTCCATTAGCCGCCGGACCTTGCTGGCCACCTCCATGTAGGGGTGGTAATGGGCCCAACATTTTGGCGTAGAAATTATGAGGGTTGGGTAAAAAAAGGTTTGGCTGAAATTTAGTAGTTTTTTGTGCTAAAAAAATTTAAGGGTTAAGATGGATTGTGAAAGAACCCACGGGTCTTGACCCATTACCACCCCTACCTCCACGCGTCCGACAACAACAGCGGCGTTCGGCCCCCGGAGGAGGCGGTCCACGCGAACGCCAGCGCAGAGGATGTCCGCCACATGCTTCGCGTTCGCCGCCTGCTCCGCCATCACCGGCCACGTCAGCATCGGACGAACGGCGGCGAGGCTCTCCAGCACGGAGTTCCAGCCGGCGTGGGTGACGAACGCGCGCTGTGGCACCCAGCCACGGACGATCTTCCCGTCGCCGCCACTGGACCGGCCGATGGCCCAGAGGCAGGCGTGGCCGGAGTCCACTACCCCGTGCCGGCCGTGCGCGAGCGTGCCGAACGACAATTCTGTACTTTTTTTTATTGAGTGATTTCTATAGTTTTCTTGTTCTTTTCGAATAATAGTATTTTGACACGATAATTCTGTACTTTTTTTTTATTGAGGTCCTGTTTGGTTCCCACGCAAAAACTTTTCACCCTGTCATATTGAATGTTTGGACACATGCATGGAGTATTAAATATAGAAGAAAACAAATTACATAGATTGCATGTAAATTGCGAGACGAATCTTTTAAACCTAATTACGCCATGATTTGACAATGTGTTGCTACAATAAACATTTACTAATAATAGATTAATTAGACTTAATAAATTCGTCTCGCAGTTTACAGGCGAAATATATAATTTGTTTTATTATTAGACTATGTTTAATACTTCAAATATATGTACGTATATCCGATGTAACGCACCAAAATTTTTTTATCCCAGTACAACTAAGGGCTCGCGAAAAGAAAATTTTTGGCGTCACATCGGACGTTTGACCAGATGTCGGAACGGGTTTTCGGATACGAATGAAAAAACTAATTTCATAACTTGCTTGGAAACTGCGAGATAATCTTTTGAGCCTAATTAATTCATCATTAGCACATGTGGGTTACTGTAGCACTTATAGCTAATCATAGACTAATTAGGCTCAAAAGATTCGTCTCGCGATTTTCCCCCTAACTGTGCAATTATTTTTTTAATTTATCTATATTTAATACTCCATGCATATATCAAAAATTCGATGTGATGTTTTTAGAAACTAAATGGAGCCTAATAAACAGTGCCTGGCGTGCAGCGATCCGGTGCAGGCGTGCAGCAGCAGCACTGCCAGTGCCAGATGCTGAGATGGGGGAAGTATAAAGTACAATCTCCCCATTCAGCCCAATCATGCAATCTTCATCTTCCATCGTTGGATTGAGAAATAGACGTCTAAAATTCGTCCACGTCACCATGAGTTAAAAATTAACTCGCAGATTCACCGTGAGTTAAAATTTAATGAGAGTTAATTTTTATTCAAACTTAAAATGACATGACGTCGATCACTCACAGTTACCACTGTGTCGACGTGTTCTACAGTTCGCTCAACACTTGCCACTGCCGCCATTCGCCGAGCTCGCCGCCGCCGTGCCGTCGCCGGCGACGACGTAGCTTGACCGCAGCTCGTCGACCAGCCGCCGCAGCGCCTCCCGCGACGCGCCGCCTTCTCCCACCGCCGCGCGCGCCGCCTCCCGGACCTCCTCGGCCCTGGCGCGGATCGCGCGGCCCTCCTCGCCGCCGTCCATCAGCCGCCCGACCTTGCCGGCCACCTCCGCGCGCCCGACGACGACGCCGCCACCGCGGACCGCGCGGACGCCGGCCCCGATGATGTCCGCCACGAGCTTCGCGTTCGCCGCCTGCTCCGCCATCACCGGCCACGCCAGCATCGGCAGGCCGGCGGCGAGGCTCTCCAGCACGGAGTTCCAGCCGGCGTGGGTGACGAACGCGCCCACCGCCGGGTGGGACAGCACGCGGCGCTGTGGCACCCAGCCGCGGACGATCTTCCCGTCGCCGCCGGCGTCCACCGGCGGCGACCACTCGCCGCCGGACCGGCCGATGGCCCAGAGGAAGGCGTGGCCGGAGTCCACTAGCCCGTGCGCGAGCTCGTCGAGCTGCGCGTCGGGGAGGTGCGCCTGCGTGCCGAACGACACGTACACCACCGACCCTGGCCTCGCCGCCCGCTCGTCGAGCCAAGCGACGCAGCCTTCCGGGTCGTCGTCGTCGTCGTCGTCTTCCTCCTGCTTCGTCTCCGGCGACTCGCCAGCGGCGAGGAACAGTGGGCCGACGAGCCACGCGCGGGATCCGGGGTGGTAGAACGACTCGAGGATGGCCGCGTAGTCGCCGTCGAGCGCGGCGAAGCTATTGACGAGGACGCCCCAGCTCCGGTGGTCCCAGTCGCGGACCTCGTCGTGGAGGAACTGCGTCACCGGGTCGTCGGGGTTGCCCCCCTGGATCACGGCGTCCGGGACCTCGTCGGCGGTGATCCTCACGTCGTCCGGGAAGCCGGGCACGTGGAACTCCGCGCCGCCCTCGACGCCGACGTGTGGTCGCCTCGAGGCGAGGGTGAAGCAGAGCGCCAGGGAGAAGGGCGACATGCCGTTGAACGTGAGGCGGCGGACGCCGGCGTCGTCCGCGACTCGCTGCGTGAACCCGAGGAAGAAGTCAGAGACGAGCACGAGCGGCGGCGGCGACGGGAGGGACGCGAGGAACTCGGCGAAGGGCTCCCGGAGCAGCGCCGTGGCGCGGAGGAACGCCGGGAAGAGGGACTGCGACGGGAGCGCGTCGGTGGACTCGACGCCGGGCGGGATCTGCGGGTGCGCCGGGAACGGGATGGCGACGACGCGCACCGACGGCGACGGCGGCAGGCGGCGGCGCGCGAAGGCGAGGTTGGCCGGGGTGGTGACGAGCGTGACGCGGAGGTGGTCGCCGTGGTGCACCGCGAGCGCCGCGGCGAAGTGGAGGAGCGGGATCATGTGGCCTTTGGACATGAGCGGGAAGACGACGACGTGGTCGCGGCCGGCCAGGGTGGCGCCGTCGTTGCCGCCGACGCCCTCTGCGGCAGGGCGTGTGGCGGCGGCGGCGGAGGCGGGCATGGTGTTCGACGAAGCGTTGGACAATGGGTAGTTTGGTGAGCTACAATAATTGGCAACAAAGTGCAGTAACGAAGGCTTTATATTGTGTAACTTGTGTTTGCATGCTTATGGTTCTATACTTCTCTATAATTTTATATATTATGCGGTGTTTGAAAAGGAGGGATTAAACTCACAAAAATTTTAGTCTCTATGGGAGGGGCAAAAGCTGTCTAGTCTCTACTTTCCAAACACCATCTTAGATGATGCCCTATATGGCAATATTTCATATGAATTTTTGTTAATATTATACTATAAACGATGGATAGAAATATTTTGAAATAATGTGAAAATGACATGGTAGATGAGGATTTGATATGCTTGCATATTAGTAAGCTTTAAAATATACCCACTTTATCCCATTGCATAATAATTTCTAGAGTTTAGATTTTGGTTGTTCTAATGGTAGATACGCACAAATGAATATGCATAGTGATAGTGTTGACAAACTTTAAGTTGCTCAACTGTAATGAATATCTCCGTCAAGTAAACTGTGACAACACCTAATAAGTCAATTTAGTATATTAAAAAGACAATATTGATGAGGTCACTGAAATCGTGAGAGCATAACTCTATCTCTCGATTTCTCGATTAAATTAATCGTGATATCTATAAATATTAATTAAATATGTGAATACGCTTTAAATAGTATCTTAAAAAAATCCAAGGATTTATTGCTGGTCCAAGCATGCATTAATTAAGAAAGGTACACTCATATGCCTGCGATGCCGACTTATTGGCTATAAAGTTTTTTTTCAGCCTTCTCTTAACCCACACATATAATAGTTAGCTATTTATAATTAATACATGACCCACTTGTCTTTCTCACAATTTTTTGGTTATTGTGTCCAAGTCGGCTGTAAGTTTACAGCCCGCTTCTACTCTCTCTCTTCTCTTCTCTCCTCCACCTCAGCATTTAGCCGACTTACAGCCTCTTATTATACTTGCTCTTAGTCGTTATTACTACCTCTGTCCCCAAATATTATAATTCTAGATTATTTAGCATATACTCACTTCATCCACAAAAGTTGCACATATTATTTTTGTCACAAAAACCAAGAAAAAATTAAATCATCTTCGATGTTACAAAATCAAGGAGTGAATGCAAGCATGCAACCAGTGAGTATTTAGATGACTCCTTAAGTTTTAATCAAACATTTAATTTATCTCATCATTTAAGTCTTGAATGTATAAAGACTACAAATAAGAACAACTTATTTGAAAAAAAACTTAAATATGAAATATGTCAAACTTTTGTGGATGGAGGGAGTATTAAGGTTTCAAAAGAAAAACTATGGTGCCCTTCGTCAAATGGTGCATAGGTAAAAGTTGGGGAGTGGTTGAGGGTAGAATATAGAGAAATTTGGATGAGAAATCATTGATGAGACCATTAGTACTTTACTATGACAACTGTTTTGGGGCAAATTTGAATACTAAAAATACAATTATTATGAGATGGACGTAGTACTCTATATAAGTACAACTACAAACGAACATGAAGGTTGAACTCCGAGTTCCAAATTAACTTGATACTACCTTCTACACCCTTTGTTCCATAGAAAATAAATCATAGCTATAAATCTGGATATGTGTGTCAGGTTCATAGCTATAGTTGAACTTTTTCTCAGAGGGAGGGAGTATGCTGAGTACAACTATAAATCTTCAACTCATTTGATGTGTTGTAGTAGATAATCTGCAGTGGACAACATACTACTCACTATATCTCAAAACATAAGAAACTAGTACTGGATGTGAAATTTCATAGTATTAAGATTCGAAGTACTACAATGTACAATGTGTCACATTTATTACTAGATTCTTATAATTTGGGATGGAGATAGTACCTCCGTCATTTTGGGACGAATGGAGTAGTTATTAAGATCGGACCGAATCAGTGGTCCAATCGGAAAAAAGACAAAACCAAAGCCTCAGCCGATTCGGTCTAGCTAAAAGATCGGCCATGCAATCAGATCGGAGAAAAACCGGTTGAACCCACGTTGACGATTTAGTTAGAGACACGTACATATTTGAGCCGTGTTGAATCGGTGGTCGAACTGGTTGGAGTACCATACTCATTGTAAACCGAGGGCTCACCGGTTCGACTTCTGGTCCAGTGCTAATAACTATGATAGAGAGAATTGCTTAAGGCAGCTAGTTGTATTACTAAAATGTCCCATTTTTAGGATCATTCTTAATTATTAACTTCTCAGCGAGTAGGTTATTAGCTTGTATTTTAAGAGCACGTTTTTCATGGTACGTACTTCCAATATAATTTTTCTTTAAAAATTAAATAAATTCAATTTTAAATTTATAATAAATAATATTTAATTAATTACTCGTTAATGATCACCTCGTTTTATGTGTACCAGCTGATTAGCTCAGCCTTGCCTCTGTGTCCGAACTCCGAACGGGGCCTCATCGTCATAGTTGACCACTAATTTCAAATACGAAACGAGGAAATCCAACAAATGTGAGATTTACTCCTGTCCGGCAGCATGTACCGGCCAGTAGTACCGGGAGATACAAGATCAAATCTGACTGTCCATCTTGAAGGGATACGATTGGAAATAGAAAGAGCAAGAGGAGCGGAACGATTCCGGAGTCGCGCCGCCGCTTTCCTCCTTGCGCTCTTTCTTTTTTCCCTCCCTGAATCGCTTCTTTCTCATCTGTTCCTCCCTCCGAGCACAGAAACGGAGCAGTTGCCCCGCCGGCCGATTTGATCCCCATCCATCTGCCGTCGGCGGCCACGGTACTGGAGAAAACCTCACGGCGCGCTCGCCCCGCATGCAGTGTCAGGAGCACAAGCAGATGGTGGTTCTTTGCCTTCATGCATGCTTAAGCTCTAGCAAACCAGATGATGACATTGTATCAATTGATTCAGGCAGGAAAGAAGGCGCTCCACTCGCTGGTACCGTGACTTCCTCAAGGATATATGGATGCTCCTCGGCAATGGGTTTGGGGCAGAGCTCGGGAATTCGGTCACTGGGGAGTTCGTTGTTGCTGAGTGGATGTGGAGCCACAGTCGCGACGGGAACGGGATGAAGGTGCTCCGTAGCAGTGACGGGAAGAGGAGACGCCGCTGCGATGGGCCGCCGCGACGACGGGAAGCGGAACCACCGCCGCTGCGATGGGCAGGGGAGCCGCCGCTGTGATGGGCCGCCACCGCGACGGGAAGCGGAGCAGCCGCCGCTGCAATGGGCAGGGGAGACGCCGCCACGACGAGAGCCGGAGCAGCAGCCGCCGCTACGACGGGCAGGGGAGATGCCGCTGCAATGAGCCGCCGCCGGGACGGGAAGCGGAGCTGCCGCCGCCGCCGCCGCCCACTGGATACGGATCCCGCCGCCGCCGCCCACCGGATGCAGACCCCACCGCTACCACTGACCGGAATCGGATGCATCCCTACACGAAAAGACAAAATTACCCATCCACCCCTCTATCTATTCCGGTACCACCTCATTGGCAAATTTGTACCTGAGGTACCGGATAATTTCCACCGTCCGATCGAGCTGAATAAATGGCTGAGATTTGGTACCTGGCTAGTACCGTGGTACCTGCTGGATAGGAGCAATGCTCAACAAATGTACCTTGTTCAACGTAGCTAAACCTGGCCAAATGGGCCGTGCCAAGCCGGGCCGGCCCGAGCACGGTAGTACTGTAGCCGGCCCAGGCCCGGCCCGGCACGCCAGCCTGTGGGCCATGCCGGCACGGCCCGTTATCCCGTGCCGTGTTTAGGCCGATGCCTCAGCCCGTGGGCTGGCACGGCACGGCACGTTTACTGTAGCGTACCGGCACGGCACGGCCCAGGCATGGCACGGCCCACCGGCCCATTTATTTTTCCTACGATTTTCTAATTTTTCCCATATATTTCTCATATTTTTTATTTTTTTCCACATTTTATCCTATTTGTACCATATATTTTATGATATATTTCCTAAATTTTCCTCACATTTATCCTATATTTATCATTTTTTTCCTTTATATTATGTTTTTTCTGCCTTTTTTCTTTTTTTTCCCCTCAAATTTCAATTTTTATGGGCCACATGTACTAGTGGGCCGGCTACCAGCCCACGTGCCACTACAGTAGCCGTGCCGGCCCGGCACGGCCCAGCACCTTCTTGGGCCGTGCTTGGGCCGTGGCCTTGGCACGTGGGCCGGCACGGCACGGCCCGCTATAGGAGCCGTGCCTAACGGGCCGTGCCCTAGTGGGCCGTGCCGTGTCGTGCTGGGCCGGGCCGCCCGTTTGGCCTGCTATAAACGTAGCAGTACACTAGTACAGTACTACAAACTTGACGAGGGAGAGGACCGAATATGCAGCAATCAGCATTGGTAAAAGCTTAAGCGCATGTGCGCCAATTGACATCCCCTGTGATACTGCAGACGACATGCGCAAGTATGAGCATTATCAACCTTCGAGACTTCTCTCCCACCAGTACACTAACTAAAAGTTATGTAATGTTCCCAACCTTTTGAAATGAATAAAGGTTTAGGCTGGCAAAAGCCAGCCGTAGTTCCCTTCCGAAGGGTATAAGCATCGAGATTTCTGACATGGCTCTGTTTGGATTTAAGAGATATTTTTTAGCCCTCTCTTAAATAGCCCAAATAGCTCAAAAAGATTCAAAAGGGTGAGCTATTTGAGAGCTATTTGGAAATAGCCCACCCAAAAAAACTATCCCACCCAAGAGGGAAGAAAATTTGGTAAGACTTAAGTCCTACGCTTATCCGAAAGACTCTGCTTCCCGCACGACACCTGTCCGCACAAATCTTAAGAGTAGCGAATATCTCTTTTGTACCCTTTCTTCTTCCTCCGGCCAGGGACTTGGCGACAAATCCAACTCGCTCTTAGGACCGAGGGTCCAGCATCTTCAGACGTAGCAAGGTCCGGGGGCAAGGTCTGGAGCAGAGTTTCCGGTTGCCACCGCACCCGTCATGCTTCTTCCATGGAAAATATTCACCTGACATTGTTGTTGGTCAAAGGTAATGGATGAACTTGCAATGCACTAGAACTTGGGAAAACATCAAATTGATAGATGTCGCCATGTCGATGTGTGTGTGAAGCCTCTGTATACGTTGCATCCTAGTAAATGATTAGGCCTGGTTGTCAAAAGAGAAAAATGATTAGGCCTGACCTTAAAACCTATTGACGGCGGTTGGGTTGAGCACGAGGTCGATGCCGCTGCGCCTCCTTGGCGCCCCCTTTCTTCAACACATCGTCCAGTGCTGCTAGCTGTGACCTCGCCGTGGCCAGAGATGCCAGTCAAACTGTGGGCTTGATGCCTTGCCGGCGGCCGGCCGGGTAGTACGAAGATGGGAGATTGGAGAAGAGAGAGAGGAAAGAGAACTGTTGGGAGAAGAGACTTGCTGCTCTAAGATTCGTTTGGACAGGTGTCGTGTGAGGAAGCAAAGTCTTTCGGATGAGCGTAGGACGGAAGTCTTACCAAATTTTCTTCCCCCAATAGATGCTAATTGGGGCTATTTTAGGTGGGGCCACTGAAAAAATGTCTTTTCTCTTTATCTCTCTCCATGAGAAGTTACGTTAAAAGCCAAATAGCTCTCAAAATAGCTATTGGATCCAAACAACTCAGAGTTATTTTATTGGAGGACTATTTACTTGTGCTAAAAAATAGCTCTCAAAATAACTCTTGGCTAGTTCTCTAAACAGGGCTATTAATTGATGGAGTCATACACCCACGACTTTATTCATGAGGCCACCATCTACCACACAAAAACTGTTTCGTACTATTCCACCGTACCGAAATTGTTCCGCTATAGTATTAAGGCTGTGTTTAGTTCAGCGCAAAGTTTGGATTTTGGTTGAGATTGGATATGATGTGACTGAAAGGTTGTGTGTATGACAAGTTGATGTGATGGAAAAGGACTGAAGTTTGAATCCAAATTTTGGATCTAAACACAGCCTAATTTTTGGTAGGTGTTGCTGGACAACTAAAAAAGTCACATAAATCATTGTTGCCACTTGCCATGCTACTATTGCTTGTGCAATAACATTTGCTGTGCTTATCACATAGGGATGAAATGTGAACAAGTTATTAGAAGTTTTTTTTATGAAAAATTAAATAAAAATGAACTAAAAAAACAAAAATCAAAATGTATAGTATCATATTGGCTATAATGTATATTTTCGCTTCAAATTAATAATAACTAGTCCAACCTATTATGGCAGTGGTAGTCAAATCAATCTTCTCACAAGTCTTAAAAATAAATAATGGAGTGTTTAGATCTAGCGGCCAAAAGTTTTGGCGTGTCACATTGAATATATGGACACATATTTGAAGTATTAAACGTAGACTAATAACAAAACAAATTACAGATTCCGCATGTACACTGCGAGACGAATTTATTAAGCCTAATTAATCCGTCATTAGCAAATGTTTACTTTAGCACCACATTATCAGATCATGGAGCAATTAGGCTTAAAAGATCCGTCTTGCAATTTACATGCAATCTGTGTAATTAGTTTATTTTTCTTATATTTAATACTCCACACATGTGTCCAAACATTCGATGTGACAGTGTAAAAAATTTTGCCAGGGGATCTAAACAGGCCCTAAGTTTGTTACTATACTCTATAAACCTTGTGGTCACAAATTTTAAGTTTCCATGCACATTGGAAATTCTCATCTCCCAACCACGGATGCAGGTCGTTTGCAGTACTGCACATACAGTACTGCAGGGGATCTCAATTGCTGCCCAATCACACAACTACTAGTAGCAACTAGCATAACTGCAAGATAGATGTTCAGATGGCCCAACCGAACAAGCCAACTATCTCTCACTCTTTCTCAAAAAAAAAAAAAAAGAGAATAAGTTCACCGATCGTCACTCAACTTTATGTTGAGTTTGTTTCACATCCCTTATCTCCAATACCAGAAATCTTCACCCCTAAATAATACAAAACCATGCAATTAGAGTTCCACAACAGTATGTATCTCCGGTTTCGCTAACGTGGTATCCTAGTCAGCGATAAAAAGGCCCACATGTAAGTTATAAGAGAAAATGTGTGGTCTTCATATCTTCTCTATTCTATTTTCTTTTCTTTCTTCTCCTTTCTTTGGTGAGCCCGGGAGGTCGCCGCTGGCAGAGGGGGGGGAGAGGTGGCCGGCGAGCCCGGCCGAGCTCCGCCGCTATCGACGCCGCCTCGAGCGCCCAACAAAGCCATAGCTAACCTCGCCTGCGTCTTCTCGGCGGAGGCGAACGCCCCTGTGGCGGGCGTCGCACCGCACCACTCTAGACTACCTCGCCAGCGAGGGAGTCGGAGGCGAGCTCCTTGCGGATGCCGATCTCGCTATTGCAGAGGAGCTCATCAAGCCGATCCGCTGATGTAGCCGCTGGCAGCCCTGGCCAGCCCGGCCGAGCTCCGCCGTCACCACCTCAAGCACCCACTGAAGCCGCAGGTGACCTCACCCACATCTTCTTGGTGGAGGTAGCGGTGAACACCCCTGCGGCGGTCGTCGCACCGCACCACATCGGACTACCTCGGCGGTGGGGTGAGTTGGAGGTGAGCTCCTTGTGGATGCCGACCTCGCCATTGTAGAGTCCCCGCCCGTTGACGAGGTCGACGACGTGAAAGGATACGAGGGAGGGGGCAGGCAGACGCGAGGGAGGAGCTCGTCAAGCCGAAATGCTGTCGCTGGTGGTCCCAACGTCTACCCCTCCGGCACCGGCAACCATGATGAGATCCCACTCTAGCTCGTGGAACACGAGTGGGAGGCTACAGAGGGCGAGGCGACATGAGGTGTCGGTAGCACGGCAAGGTTTGGTTAGGATGTGCAGAGCTGGTGGTGGTGGAGGGCAATGAGTTCACGAGCGGTCGAGGGTGCCGGAGCTGCTGCTGTCGGTGGTGCCATCCTCCTCACCGGCTGCTCTTCCTCACCGTCTGTTGCTGGGCGCTGCCCGATGATATGAGCACAGAGGAGAGATTGAGAGAGAGAGGGGGGAGGGAGGGGGGGGTGAAAGGGAAATGGTCATTGACAAGTGTGCGTCGACATATGCTACGTCAACAAAAACCGAGGATAATATGGTCCATATTGCTAAGGGACTTATTTAACATGGTTTCGAATACTTGAGGGGTCAACATTTCTAACATTGAGGATTAGGGGGACGTCATGTAGACTCGATCTGAAGTTGAGGTACTGAGAGTGAACTTATTCCAAAAAAACTGAAAACAATAAGCCCACTATGAGTCCACGGGCCCAAAGACCCAGGCCCAAACCGCGTGCCGTTTCCCTGCACAAGCCCAACCCCACACATATCATCTCATCCCATCTCTCCCCCGTCTTCTCGAACTCTCCATCTCGGGATCTCGCCCACCCACCACTCCACCCCCTCTCCTCTCCGTGCGCCGCCGCAGAATTCCTCGCCGCCGCCGCCGCCGCCGCCGCCGTGAGGTCCATCGAGATCGCGACCGGAGCAGGTGGGTGATCCGCTCCCGCCTCTCGCCTCCCCCCTCTTACCTCCCCTCCTTCGTGATTTCCCCGGTCCCAAACCCTAGATCCGCCGCACGGCCCCTTGCGGGATTAGATCTATCGGTCTCGGGGGGCAGGTCTCTACGTCGTTTTTGTGATTCGTTGTTTAATCCGATTGTATTTTTGTTTTCTTTTGGCGATTTGATAGGTGCAGGTTGCGATGGCCCGCGTGTACGTCGGAAACCTGGATCCCCGCGTGACGGCGCGGGAGCTCGAGGACGAGTTCCGCGTCTTTGGAGTTCTTCGGAGGTTAGTGACTCGCCCCACCTGTGGTATGTATTGTGTGCGATTGTTTCGGTTTTCTGCTAGAGCTGCGTGCGCATGTGGAATCATATGGGGGAACATAGCTTTAGCCCACCATCGGAACAGCAAAACTCGTTCTAGGGCCAGGGCCTGAGTGACCTATGCAGCCACATTTATGTAACTTTTGGGGAAGACGATTGGCCATACCAGCAGTGCACGGTGAAATTTTAAATGTTGTAGGCTTTTCTGAAATCCTGTTCCGACCCTAGTAGATTTTACTGTAATAGAAGAGGTAGAGAGGGAATTTGATGGATTCATTTTACTCAAGATTATCTTATTACAAGTCGTTATTTATTTATTTATTTTGAGATGTATTGATCTTTCTAGAGCACAATTACTTCCCAGCTATGGCATCCAGGCTTTAGATTGCAGTGTACCCATCTACCTGACATCAATGGCCTCCAACCAAACACTAGACTTCAAGCACCTTGGATTAGATTTTATCAGGATACAAATTCAACTCATTCAGATATCTACAACACTTATTTGGCTAATTTACTGTATGCTGGAGATGCTTTTACGGTTTTTCTGTTGCCTAACTTTTTCTTATTTTCTTGATGTGCTGCCAATAAGTTTCTTACCTGAGGCCATGTATTTGTATTTTGCACCCACAATTCAAATTATGTTTGATGCTGATTGTCCTGATGCAGTTTGCTTATTTTTGTTTTGTGCAAGCAGTGTATGGGTCGCAAGAAAGCCACCAGGTTTTGCATTCATTGATTTTGATGACAGGAGGGATGCTCAGGATGCAATTCGTGATATAGATGGTATGTGAATGCTTTTATGAGAACATAGCCTCTGTCAGTTGGATCTATCACCTCTGAGAATCTTTCTGCTCTGATTTTCTTTTGGTGAGTTACAGGGTGGTCTTTGCTTGCAAAAATATCTTGTGAAAGTTAAACTTCTTTCAAAGGCCATGATATATGCCTATTAGTGACAACATGTGTTACCATTATATCTATACTTTGTTTTAGTACCAGAATTATGTGAATGTGATGTGGCCTGCTGTTTAGATTATGCTTTTCCTCCCAGTCCCTCTCTCTCATCCACCAAAACACCTCCTTGCACTGTTATGTTAGAGCAATTTCATGTTTGTGCATTAATCACTTGGACGTATAAGCTGTTTGGACATTGTCAAGAGGGTCAAGATCCTACATTTATGGGGGAAGTGGGGTGAGGCGATAAGGCGTAAAACAAACAGTAGTGACAACTCTGAATTTCTAATTTTTAAATGGCTTCTTTTATAGGCAAGAATGGATGGAGAGTTGAGCTGTCTCGTAATGCAAGCAGTGGTCGTGGTGGCCGTGATCGATATGGTAGCTCTGAGAGCAAGTGTTATGAATGTGGTGAGACTGGGCACTTTGCTCGTGAATGCCGTTTGAGGATTGGTTCCGGGGGTCTAGGCAGTGGAAGGCGTCGTAGCAGGAGCCGCAGCCGCAGCCGAAGTCCCAGGTACCGCAGGAGTCCAAGCTATGGCAGAAGGTAATCAAAATGTCAAATAACTGTTACACTGTTGCAATAGTTAAAAGCTTTTTGTTACTATAAGTTAATGGTCACAATACCATTGTTGGGACTGTTGGTTCTGCTATGGATGTGAAGTGTTAGTGGTTTGCAACCCTACTCACTCTTTGATACAACTAAGTTATCTTTCTGTATTCATTGTAAAACATTATATGACATGCACACAATTTGTTAATTTAGGGTTGCCTATGGTCCAAATTTACAAACACTAAGATAAAGCTTGCAATTTTTTCTATTCAGTATTTATCCACCTGTTGCCATTTCCCAACATCTAGGATAGTAAGTGCTAGCAAAGAATAGTGTAGCATTTATGCCCTGTTTTGTGTATGTAACTAGTATATTTACACGAAGAAGAATAACATATCTGATAATGTTATAAATGATTTGCTATGTGAGCAGAAGTTACAGCCCTGCAGGGCGCTCTCCAAGGCGTCGTAGTGTGTCACCGGCTCGTGCACGCAGCTATAGCAGGTCACCACAATACAACCGTGGCCGTGATGAATCTCCTGCCTATGATAACGGGTAATGCAGATTTCAGTAAGCAGTTGTCATTTTACTGTTTCTAACTGAGTTAACCATTTTCATCGTTCGCTCTTCGACAATCTCTAATATGTTCCATTTATGGTGTCAGATATCGCCGCAGCAGAAGTTAGAGCTGAACCTGATGTCTAAAGACTGCTGTTACAAATGTTACTTTGTGGGTTGTCAGCTATGAACAATGCCCTACTCCAAATATCATCATCAACTCTGGACTTTGATTAAGGTTCTCATAACTTATCTACCTTATTATGCTTTGTGTTTGAAGTTATATTACTCGAGAAACTTATGATTGGATGTGTATTCAACTAAGTTCAACTGTCTTTCTGTGTGTCAATAAGGCATCGGCCTGCACTGCTTAAACGACTCGGCCGACTACGGCTACCAGTTATATCTTCGTGGTTGTGTTCTTCGCTCTTCATTCTACGCGCGCCCTCGCCTGCTTCATGCAAACGTCATACAGCCCCATTAGTTGCTGCCTACAACACCTCTTCGTGATCCATATACTTCGTTGAAGATGCTGCTCATCAGAAAACAGTAATCGCCTTCTTTTATCGTAATAAAAATTTGGTCATATTGTCTTCGGAACAACAGTAAGTGCAGCATCTGGAAGTATTGGTGAAACAAAGTTCTTCGTAGGCATAGACTCCAGAAAATGAATCTGCAATCCGAGGAGCTGCAGTATTCAGTTGGATGATTTACACCCCTGCCCAGTCCGTCACGCCTTGTGGCAGGTAAATGAGGTCACCAGAGGAGTGCTTTTTGACAAGGCCGATTTCAGCTCAGCAAGCACTGTATCTGTGCAAGCCTGCTTAAGATTTTGTTGGATGCAGCCAGAGGTTTTGCTCTCCATGATCTTCCTTCTGCACTCGCTCAGCCTGCCTCAGCCTACCCTGCGTGCTGCCGTCTAGCCAAGAGCCTTCGCCACCACTGCTTCCCCGACGTCGCCTTCGTTTCCATTGCTTCCCCGACGTTTGATTTCATTTGCTTAGCATTTGTTCGTCAAATTAATGTGGTGAATGGTTATTTCTTAGGGATCTACGGGTGAAAAATGCCAGATGTTATTCTATTTCGTCGTCGAAATGTGATCATTATTCATATCATCGCATGCCCTTTGCACTGCATTGCCGTTTCATTATCCCGACTCGGTTGGTTGTGTGGCCAAGATGCCTAACCGACCATCAACGTCAAGATGCTCACTGTAGTGTAAGACACGAGCACATCCAAAAGGCTGGTGGTGACATGAAGAAAGCTGACGTTTCTTGCCGATCAACTGTTGGTTGCCGTTCGCCTACCGGTTCATGTTGCGCGAATTGTCCCAAGATCGTGACGCTGTTCTCCGTTGCGCCGTTCGGGTTAACCTTTGGCACACGATACGTAGCGTTCCTGAAAAAAAATCGATACAATCTCGCACGAAAACGGGGCAAATTCCTCCGCGTTCAAATCCAAACAGCTCTCTCTTGAGTCGCGACTCGCGACGGCGGGACATGAGCCGACGACCGGGTGGTTTGGTTGGTGCCGCGCACGCAGATGATGCAGGTGGGCGTGGATGGATGATGTATGGGGAGAAGAAAGTAGAGTATGGAAAGGAGGATGGGTTGGTGATGCGAGGCGCCGCCGCATCGCACCAGGACATTATCCCGATCGAAACGGGCTCAATAAACAAACGGCTCGAGGAAGGAGGATTAGGTAGATGATGATCGATGGACGATCCCTTTGCTTTTTTTTTGTCGACCTTAGCTGGGGCTCTGCCGCCGATATATTGTATTAAAAAAAGTTCCATCCGATGTTAAATTTTTATATTTTGGGAAGTACTACTCCGTCTTAAAAAAAAGACAAACCCTAACTTCGAACCTGGAGTGTTAGACACGCATATGTCCAGATTCATATTGTCGAAACATGAATTCGGCAATAATAAAAGGAGGTAGCGCACGAGACCTAAAAGTGGATGGATGCAGAGACAAAGGATTTAGACAGGTTCAGGCCCTCTCGATGAGAGGTAATACCCTACTCCTGTTTGGGGATTTGAATCCGCCGGGTGTAGTATAGATCTGACGATCAGGTTGTCTCATGCCCCCTAGAGGGCCTCCTGCCCACCTTATATAGGGTGGGGGGCAGGATTACAAGATAGAAACCTTAACCAATACGGTATCGGTTTCCTAAATCTACTTTACAATATTATCAAACCAGGACTTTAGGCCGTTCCGTAACATACAAGGAAACGTAATACCCAAGTCATGATCTGTTACATATTCCATAGATATAAGTTATCCCCTATAGCCAGTCGGATAACTATGCCATGTGGGTATGGGGTACCCATAATCTCCACAGTAGCCCCTGAGACCTTCACAGTCGAAAAGATAATCTTCTCTCGAACTAGATTACTCCAAAGCTGAGTGCTTCAATCATCTTCGCCATGGTCTCCGAAGTACTTTTACCAAATATGAAGACTGTGGAGGGCTGAAAAATAAAGTCAGATGCATCAACTAGATGCACCTAATAGGTGTAGCCCTCGACTATGCGGTTAAGTGAACAAACCAAGCATATAGTCAAGGAATAAATAATCCAACCAACCGAGTGGCTTCGATAATTGTAGTCAACCAAGCGACTTAATATTAATATGTAGCATATGCGGTGTGAATCCCTGAATAATATGATCCAAGTGATATACCGACTGCTTTGTAAAATATGATGAGTGTAACCTAAAGTTGGCTACATCATTGAAAATTCACATAGCAAAATAGCTATAAAGAAGCTTGTATGTTGTGAATAAAGAAATTTCCAAAGTATTGGGCATACGCCATGCGCACACTGCTTTAACAGATGTGCTTGAGTCCCTAGAAGACACATGGTTCCACCACACCTGGAAATATATGGCATATGTGGTATAAAATCCGAGTAAATAAACTCATAAAGGATTTACCAACCGCCTAGAAAATGACCACAATATATAATCAGCCTAAGCCATAATATTGGTCAATAAAAATGCACACTTACGTGGCGAAAAGCAACGATATTGTATCCAATCAATTGCTTAAAAACCCAAACAGCACCATGACTATATTAAAAAGTCAGCGGGGCAGCTATATAAAGCTTTACTGTTTGACACCTTTTAAGATGCACTGTACCAACTCCTAAAAAGTTGAGTAACTGCGGTATAAAAGGATTTTAAGGTATTGGGCACTTGATCACGCGCACTTTGGCCTAAGCAAAAAGTGCCTAAGTCCCTAAAAGAACGTGACAGGCCACACCTGAAAATATGGGCTGCAGACATATTAGGCCTAGGCCAAAAAATATGCCTTCGACACCCTTTAAAGGATGACGCATGTAACATGCTTCCGAGTAATAAATCTTCCGGGTAATATAGACCAAGTGTAGCTCATATGAATAGCTTCTGATCTGAATGATTATCCCTTATGGGATACTCCAAAATAGGTGTAACAATTGAATCCCGACTGGCGCAAGTATTCGGTTGATAGCCCTTACGGGGAATAATAATTGGTCCAGTCTTTGAGCATAGAAAATAGACTCATGACTATGAATCCATGTGGAATGTATCCGGAACAAGTCCAAATTGGAGATATAATCCTCACGCTTGAGTTGATGAGCCCCTGAGCATATAGCTTGTCCTTCTGTCGTAGTCACAATCGTCCATTGATGGTAGCTGACGCAGTTGGCATATAGACAAGACGACCAATATAGAGATAATATTGCCCACCAGAGGTGGCAACAATACTGGTGGTAGTGAAGATAGTGATACCAATCTAAAGTAATGAAGTCGCATAGTCATGGAGGCGAAGAAACCAGTCGGCGGCAGACAGATCAACTAACAATGAAGATGAAGGAACCCAGCGACAAAATTGTGTAGCCATGGCAGCAAAATAATCAGTCGGTGACAGACGAGGTAGATCAAAGGTGATGACAAAATCCACCAATCATGAAGATGAAGAAAATAGTTGACGACGACAAACGCAACCGACATGATGAAGAAGACGATGTCGGTGATCCAGCCAATAGCAGTGTACCAACCAATGATAATGACAAAGACACTCATCAGCATTTGCATAGTAGGTCAACCGTGAAGGTGAAATAATAAGTCGGCGAAAACATAATCATCCATTAGCAACAGCGGAGATGTCAGGGTCGATGAAGCAGAGGTGCTGGTGATGATGTCAGTGACAATAATCCATCAAATTAATGTTATAGCTGTTGTAGATGCTTCACTTGGAGGAGAGTTGATGTTGTTGTCCAACTCGTTCAAACCGAAATATTTGAAGTTGTTGAAGTAGAATGTCTGTTCCGAAGCAAAGATGAAGATAATGACTCCTGGAGTTGACTCATTGGCTTATATAAAATTTGTCAAATTTTGAGCCTTATATTTGTGTAGCCCCCGACTCTTTGGTTAGTTGGGAAACAACTGAACATAGAGTCGAGAACACATATCTAGAAATGGATTTTTTTTTTTTAGAAAGATGGAGTATGTAGTAACTTGGGGGTCATATTATTTTCTTTTTCAGATACTTCACCAGATTATTACAATGGAGTGCTCCACGTCTTTAAAATACCTTTTCAGAATGAACTCTTTTCTACTTCCTCCATTTCATATTATAAGCCGTTTTGATCGTTTTAAAATCAAACTTTTGGAAAGTTTGATTAAGTTTATAGAAAAATATAGCAACATTTATAGCACTAAATTAGTTTTATTGAATCTAACATTGAATACATTTGAAGTTTATTTGTTTTATGTTAAAAGTATTGCTATATTTTTTATAAGCTTTATCAAAGCTAAAGAAGTTTGACTTAGAAAAATATCAAAACGACTTATAGCATGAAACGAATGTAGTACAATGTTGTTTGAGCATATCACTTGTTTAAATTATTTATATAATTTACTTATCAAAATATGTAATCTATTGTTATAATAAAATTAATAATCTGATTCAGATATGGCCTACGAGCGTATATTTTAGTTATAATAAAATATTGAAACAATAGATTAAATAATTTACTTATCAAAATATTTAATCTATTGTTATAATAGAGAATATTATCTCCAATGCAGATGCTTACTCCCTTCGTCCCATAAATTTCAGTTTTAGTATTGAAGATAATATTTTTAATACAATAAATCTATACATCCAATATTAGATTGGATGGAGGGTATATGTTGGAGCCTGGAGAAGAAAATGAACTTCACATGCGTATGCACAGGCAGACAGGCTCATATGACCACACGGATCCATCACAGCCTAAAAATGCATTCTTTTAACAAAAGAGTAGTTGACCAGGTCTCCGTGTCAATCAATACTACTACTAGTACTAGTAGTCTAGTACTGGAGTAGTACCAAAAGCAGCAGACCAAAAGAAAGAATCTCTCTACTCGACTAAAAATCACACCTTCACCCTTCATGTCAGCACACTAACCGCGATATTTACCCCAAATCCCACCGATTTAACAGCGGTTAGTAGTAATAATAAAGTAAGGTTTGGATGCATGGACTTAACTTTAATCTCTATATTTAGACACTAATTTAAATTATTAAATATATACTACTTACAAAACCAATTACATAAATAAAAGTAAATTCGCGAGATAATTTTTTTAAACCTAATTAATCCATAATTAAAGAATATTTACTATAGCATCACATAGACTAATTATGGATTAATTAGGCTCAATAGATTCGTCTTGCGAATTAGTCCAACATTATAAATATATTTTATTAATAATATATATTTAATATTTATAATTAGTATCTGCACATACGATATACGATATCATAGGGTCTTCAGCGAAAAGGCCCCCATCGTCTTCCCCCTTTCCACGGTAGTTTTCGTTTTCCGCTCGCCTTCCTCCTCCCTCTCCCTTCCCCTCCTCGAACTCCGCGCGGCGGCCGCGGCCTCCCTCCCTCCCGCTCGATCCCGACAGCCGCCGCAGCTCCCCGATTCAGCGCGGTCTCTGCTCTCCTGCTCCTCTGGTGGCTCACGCGGGGAAGGATCCGGCGCTGGATGGATGAGAGGAGGATGAGGTAGTTTGTTTGGTGGTTTGGTTGTGGCGGAGGTAAGCCCATGTTTGGGTCGAGGAGGGTGAAGGACGAGATGGAGCTCAGGAAGCAGAGGACCGTGAGGTGAGAGCGGCTACTACTTGCTTTGCTTTGGGGAATCGGGGTCTTTGAGTTTTGAGTTTGTTTTTAGCTTGGGGGGAAGTTGGGGGGCGCGGAGGTGAAGGCATGACAAGGGCAGTCTTTCTCCCACTTATTAGTGGGGAATTCAAGAAGAATTCCATTTCTTGCGAGGAGAAGATGAATTCTTGAGTGGATTTGGTTGCTGGTGGTGGTCAGTTGGTCACTGCTGTATTTTTGGACTAGTGTTTAGCTCATCAGTTATAGTTATGTTCGATTTAAATGGTTAGGTTTAATTTCTTGTGTTGGATTATGGATAATCTTGTAGTGAATCCCACAAGTTGTTTGCTAACTTCAGGCTTAACTTTGATGAGCACAATTAGAGATATATTTATAAATGAGAATGAGATGGGAAAGGTAGTCTGATAAGCCTAAGAAGATCATGTCATGCTGATTGCTGATCATTTCTTGCTTTTAGAATCACTCTAACAATTTCTCTCTCTACTCCTGTATAAAAGAATCTAGCAAATTAATAATAGTCTTACTTTTTGAGTGAATTCTAATGCTGTCTTCGTCCCCAGATTCCACGAGGAGAGAGCAAAACCAACTATACCCACTCACCAGAAGCAGGCTGGGCTAGCTACTAGTAAGCTTGGCCTGGGGATTTCGGAGAAGAACAAGATTTTTCTAGCAGGGAATGAGCTTTGGTACAAGAAAATTATTGACCCATCAAGTGATTTCATCTTGACATGGAACTATGTCCTCCGTATTGCATGCTTCGTGGCTCTATTTATGGATCCACTGTACTTCTATGTACCTAAAATCTATTATGGCACTCCGAATTCATGTATCGGGAGAGATACACGCCTAGCCATCATCGTTACTGTCTTCCGATCAATTACCGACCTTTTTTATGTTCTTCAAATTATAATAAAGTTCAGGACTGCATATATTAATCCAAGCTCCACGTTAGGGGTTTTCAGTCGAGGAGACCTTGTCACAGATCCTGGTAATATCGCAAAGCATTATTTGAGATCTAGCTTTGTGGTTGATCTAGTGGCTTCCTTGCCTCTACCGCAGGTAACTTGGTTTCTTCCCCCTGTTTTTCTGTCAAGACATAACTTGAGCCTTTATCCATCTAATTCATTGCATAATTGAAAGCTTGGGCTAGCAAGAACGCTCTTACCAAACATGGAAGTATTGGATCTCAAATTTCATATACTAAGATATTTCCTGCTTTAGTTGCGAGGTTATAAATCTTTGTGTCTTTTAGGTGAAACAATCCACATAGGCTGCTCAAGTCCTTTTAGTGTTGTATTATTACTTCTTTAATGCAACTGATTACATTCTCTTGCATTAGTTAAAAAGGGCATCTGCACTTTTGTACCTGAAGTTCGAGGTATAGAAGTTATCTGACATATTTCTCCCTTTCTTGCAGATCATCATCTGGTCTGTGATACCATCCGTCAAATATTCTTTGTCAGAACATGACGATGATATACTGCTTCTGATTGCTCTTTTTCAGTATGTTCTAAGATTATACCTCGTATTTTCATTGAACTCTAAAATTGTTGAAGTTACCGGAGCATTTTCAAAGACGGCTTGGCAAGGAGCTGCTTACAATCTTCTATTATACATGATTGCTAGTCATGTACGGTACTCATGCGAGTTCTCTACAATTTTACTCCTTTCGCCATTTAATACTAGCTGGCATGGTTACTTCGAATTTGTGCTACCGTTTTCTTCTGTTTTGCTATTTGGATAGTCAAGATGCACTTATCCTTTTCAGGTTTTAGGAGCATTATGGTACTTGCTATCTGTTGATCGCCAGACCGCGTGTTGGGAAAAATACTGTAGCAAAGAAGCGGGCTGCCAAAACAGATACCTGGCCTGTGATATACAGTCTGATTCAAATTGGAAAATCAGCACCGCTATCTTCAATAAATGTGATGCCACTAACAAAACAATTGATTTTGACTTTGGTATGTTCACACCATTATTATCAAATCAAGCTCCCGATCAGGGCTTCCTGAAGAAGTTCTTCTATTGCCTTTGGTGGGGTTTGCAGAATCTAAGGTTTGACTCTAAACACATCTTCTCTGAGACTTGTAATTAAGGAGAAGAAATTTGAATATAAGACACATCGTGCTCACTGTTAAAGCAAAAGAATATACAATTATAAGTCCCATCATTATTACAATTTTTATCTGATTAATTTGAACTATTATGATCTGATTCAATAATAGCTAATATGAAGATTCTAATATATTCTAACATGCACTGTGATTCTTTTTTGTTAAACAGTTGCTATGGGCAGACTCTGACTGTGAGTACTTATATTGGTGAGACGCTGTATGCTATATTCTTGGCAGTTCTTGGTCTCGTCTTGTTTGCGCATTTGATTGGAAATGTGCAGGTACTTTCATGGTGTAAACTCCATTTACAAATTGTTAAAATGCTTTAGTTATGAAGTAACTTTGTTGTTCATTTTTGATATCCCATTCCTTTGTTGTCTGATATATAAATATTTTTTCTGAACAAATTTCTGTATTGTAATTTTACTTGCTTTTGTCAAACTATTTTCTAGTGCCTGCCTAGATTTGGTGGTGATACCATCATTTTCCCTCTGAACTATTAATTTCTGATTATTATTATTTTTTGCATTGCTACAAACTCCTTTTTTTGTTTGCCTAAAAAAAGTGCAAGCACTAGAAAATGTATGTTTGCAAGATGAAACGTAACTCCTTATTTCTTCGTCACTAGGGCTAGAGGGGGCTATTTTATGATGTTTTATATACATGCAAATTTAAAGTATTGTTTTTAAAAAGAACAGAATATATATTTATTGAGGCTTTGGGTGAGCATATCGCCAATACTAAGTTTGTTCATTGCAAATTGTGATTCGTTTTCTTGCTTCTATAACATTTGACTATGGCTTTAGGAATGGTGAAACAAATTTTTCCTGGTGTCCAATAATGGTGAACATGCATAAAGTTTTTTTTCCCCTGTAACAATCTTATATTTTTGCACTCACGCAGCACATTCCTGGTACATTGTATTATATTGTATTCGAACTGATGTGTGATAGTACCATAGTGGATTTAAATAGCAGATGTTTGGGTTTTTGTCTTGAAGGAAGCTGATATAAACAAGGCTTCCAATAATATCATGCAATGCATTAATTAGAATTGTTTTTACGAGATAACATCAACAGCTGTTTATTTGGGTATTTCTATGACCTGTTCTGTTCTAGTAACTGATTTATGATTATACTAGTAAATACCATTACAACCTCTTAGCTTCAAAGGCGTACATAATTTTCTTTAAGAAATATTGAGCTCATCACATTATATTGTTTGCTAGACCTACCTGCAATCTATCACTGCAAGAGTTGAGGAGTGGAGAATAAAGCAAAGAGATACGGAAGAATGGATGAGGCATCGGCAACTTCCTCAGAAACTAAGAGAAAGAGTGAGAAGATTTGTTCACTACAAGTGGCTTGCGACTAGAGGTGTGGATGAAGAATCTATATTGAAGGCTTTGCCTGCAGATCTTCGCCGTGACATTAAGCGTCACCTTTGCCTGGATCTTGTTTGCCGGGTAAAATTACCTTTCTTCCCTTTGTTTTCTTTACAAAATTACACCAGTTTTGCAAGCTCTCCTATTATCAAGTGACCATTTTAAGAAATTTAGCTGTGCTGCCAGGTTATTTCATTGCCATTTATCACCACATTTGAATGGACAAAAGAAGTTGACACAAGAAAAATAAATAGGAGAGGAAATGAGAAAAATGACAGGATTGGAACGTGCCTCTTTTCGTTCTATTTTTCCTTTCCTTTTCTTGAAGCAACATATTTTTCCTTTCTTTATTTCACATTAAAAATAGATGGGATAAGATAACCAAAAAATGGCAAACAAATGCTATGGATATGCTATTGTTTTATCCCGTATTTTTTTTTGTGAGAAGGATATATCAACGTCATGGTTGTCTCTTTCTCTTCTCCAATCCATGCTAATGCAATGACCTACACAAAATTTGCTCTGCACATCGAACATATTTTGGAGCTTGAGTTTGAATCTGCTACAGCCGACATGATTCATCTGAATCCTATTGTTTGGGTACTCATTTGCAGATGCACCTTTTCCTTCTTCCCTTTTTTGGCCAGTTACACACTTGATACTGGCAGTTTTTTAGTAACAGGACAATTGCAATTGCCTGTTAATGTATCTCTTGTGAGGTTGTCATTGCCATTAATGTAGCATTTCATTTGATAGTGAGATCTCGACATTCTATATCACTTACTGATTCTCACCAATCTTTCATACCGCAATGCATTAGGTCCCTTTTTTCTCCCAGATGGATGGTCAACTTCTGGATGCCATCTGTGAGCGTCTTGTATCTTCCTTGAGCACAGTGGGCACATACATTGTCCGTGAAGGTGACCCAGTGACAGAGATGCTTTTTATCATTCGTGGGAAACTGGAAAGCTCCACTACTGATGGTGGCCGGACGGGCTTCTTCAATTCTATAACGCTCAAAACTGGCGATTTTTGTGGTGAAGAATTGCTTGGATGGGCTCTTGTTCCCAAGCCTACTGTCAACCTGCCATCCTCCACCAGGACGGTGAAGACAATCGTTGAAGTGGAGGCATTTGCCCTCCGAGCTGAAGATCTCAAGTTTGTTGCGAGCCAATTCAGGCGGCTCCACAGCAGGAAGTTGCAACACACATTTCGCTACTACTCTCACCACTGGAGGACATGGGCCGCTTGTTTCATCCAAGCAGCTTGGCGCCGCTACAAGAGGAGGAGGCTGGCCAAGGACCTAAGCATAAGGGAGTCATTCTTTTCCAGGAGATCATTCGAAGATGATGGTTCCCCTGAGCACAGCCTTGTGTTGAATGCAGTCAGGAAAGGAGCCCATATCATTAAAGAACTTCCTAAGTTTAGGAAGCCTTCTGAGCCAGACTTCTCAGCTGAGCATGACGACTAAGCGGAGAGTAGCTTACATTATTTGCTACTGTGAAATCACCGTTTGCGCTGCAAATCCTTCTGCTTGTTGTCGTTCCATGATCACGCTTCAGAGTTTGGGTTGACAGGTAACTGATTGTTGATAGGTGAAATGCTGAAGCTCAACTTAACACGGTGAAAGCATCATTGGTGGTATGGGAGTTAGGATCTTGGAGACAGAATGATAGATAGTAACCACGTTAATTTTCTTTTCTTCTTGGTGATTGTGTTGCTGTAGGCTTAGCTTAGTGATTATTGTTTACCCTTTGGTCATGCTGTTAATCCAGTTGTAAACTTGTAATTGTGTTGGATATTGTTGGCAACAGCTTGGGACCTCGTAGTAGCATATTGTTGTATTTTGACTCGCCGAGCAAATTCTAGCGTCTCGGCGAGTACACCATGTTTCTCGTTTTTGAGTGTATATGTAAATCACAGGAGGAACACTGAAATTGTTTTTCATTCATTCTGTTCTACTGCTTGCTGGTAATAGTAAATTAATCTCTGTTCTACTGCTCCTGTTCGGCAGCACAGAAATTGCTCTGTTCTACTTCTATATGAAATTTGTGCGAAATTTCTACTACTAAACCGCTGAAACTCTCTGTTCGACGCAAGCTTTGCTCAGGCTGATTTGGATTGTGGGTTAACTGAAATTTGGATTGAAAGATACAAGATAAAGACTCCATGCGAAACCTGTATTACTACTATTGAATTACTGGGACTGATATTGGAGTACACTACAGCCAGGTGATCAACTGGTCTTTCACAAAAAAAAAAGTTAATTAGCTTCCTTCACTGCACCAGCTATTTTGCTGATGTTAGAATGGGAGTTCAGGTAAAAATTGGATTGGAACTGGTATGGCATTTCAATAATTTATCTGCTTAAAGAATGAAGCTTAACTACATAGCTACTATATCTATGCTTCAGAGCTACTGAATGATGTTACTTGTGAGGATGTGCCTCTACATCAGGTGCAATCCTCTTTGGCATCTTCCTCTTCTGCATATACTTCGCATATGAATACCAGACACCTCCAAATGTATTGATCACCAATCCAGTAACGTTGAGAGTATGCACTTCCACACCTCCCAGCAGAACGAAACCCAGGGTCTGAAAGAGCCGACGAAGTGAGACGGTATAAGATGTCAATGTTTTGGAACTTCGAAAACACGGTGTTTCAGTAATTTGGTTAGAGATAGAACTGCTTACAGTAGATCCAACACCCTTGAGAACTCCTACTATTGTTGTCGTCAGAGCGGAGTTCACTATCGTGCACCAAAACATGGTGAAATTCAGGACGATACCCATCACCAGCGAAACAAGAAGAATAGCACTGAATGTTAGCGAGGCCGTCTGCATTGCAAGTGACACCAATTATGTAGATTAGGAAATTGGATCCAGGAAAGCACTGCAAAACAGATTGCTATCTTTGATGTCCTACTTAAATTTGATAAGCCTGTATTGGTACTACTAACCTTTTCAGAGAGTACTGAAAGAGAATAGGGGAATTCTCCTGTTGCTATAATGATGAAAAACAGAAAGGGTAGTGATAATACGCTGTTATAAAACATCAACTCAACGGAGGAAAGACCATCCTCTGCTCCTGATTTCTCCACAAGAATCAAATACATTGTCTGCATACACACTCAATTGTCAGTTACAGTTAGAAATCCAAACAATTATCTGAGAGCAACAATAGTGAACATATTACAACCTGGAAGAAGACTGATGTTAGAGCCATGGAGTATCCATACAAGTCAAAGGAAAAATCTCCAAGAGCTGCAATAAGGACTCCAGCGGCCGTGCAGATGACTGAAAGGGACACCTAAATAAATTTGTAGTAGTGAGGAAGAGCAAAATATTTTTGAAGGAAAGAGCCAAATATGGTGGTAAAGATATATTCCTTCCCAAGGGGATACTAATATACTATAGTTGAGTCCATTGAAAATCTTCAAAGGATTGCATGGTAAATCTTGCAATTCAGTGGCAACATTAAGTTGACCTATTCAATGTTGTTTAGTGCTCTCGTGATTTTATAAGCAGCATATGGATCCCTCAAGTAGCTGACTGGCAAAAAAACTAGGGGAGTATGATTTATTTATTTTTTTTTGCGGGGAAGGGGAGTATGAATTGATGATGACGCCATCTTAGAAGGCCAAAATCTTGAATTGGGACTTCTATCGAAATATCCTACCTAACTTTATTAGGACAATTCACCTTGTAATGCCACTAAATTGACTTTCACAATCCAAAAGTAACATCTTGGGTAGGCATTGGCATGTGTAAAGTAAAACCATAACTCTGTAAAACCTAGTGGAGAAAAGAAATAAAATGACTAAAAAAAATGCACTCACCTGTGTTGGTGGTTTCCCCTTTCCCCGTAAACACCCAGCCACCAGTACAGCAAGGGGAGTGAGCCTTTTAATTGCAATATACATAGGAATGTTAACCCCTTTTAGGCTTGCCAGCGCAAATGCAACATTTGCATTGTAGAAGATCGACAGCGGAAGAAGCTTCCTTCCTGTTGCCATACTGAAATCTTTTCTTTTAGACACTCCTAGAATTTGACCAAAATGTATGATAAGTGCTGTAGCTATTTGCTGCAGAAATAGTGATATTGAACAAAATAATCAGGCTCAGACAAACATAGGAAAAAATAACTTTTTTTTTGTTGTCACTGATGAATGATGGCTGATGTTTGTTCATAATTATACCTGTAAGGTGAGAAGAGTCATTGAGTGAGCATACTGCATAAGAATTGCTTTGTTCACGAATACCATTGCCATAGATGCAATTCCATAGGAGAAGGCAGCAGATAAGCTGCAAGAGAAGATAAAGAGGGAAATGGTCAGAACTTCCAATACATTTCCTACTTCAATTAGGTCTGAACCAACAGATCCATAAATGTATAGAAAACTGCAATATTTGTGGCTGGCCTCTCATCTTCTGCTTGTTGTCTTGTTAGCCACAACAAAAAATGAATTTTAAAACTTAATTTTAGAGTTGATTTTGAGGTTTTTTTCATTGTAGTTTATTTTCTAGTATTGGCTTTTAAGCTGTAAAGAACACAGTTATAAACATTTTGCCCATAAATTGTTTTTGGTTGCTCAGTTTATTTTTCCACGTTTATCGGTCAGTAGACCAAACAATCAGAGCTTAAATCTCAGGAATTGATGACATGATAACAAATGCAGTAATGATGTTCTCTAGTTTCCAATAATTAAATGAATCAAGAAGATTCCCCCCACGGCATCTTTGGCAATATCATTATATCAATAGCTCGGGATGATGAAATCTAGCGCGTTTTATTTAATCATCATGCACAGGCATCCGTGCAGCTTAACTAAAAAAATACTAGTAGAATTGCACCACACTGCGAGGCTAGATAGTTGACTACCTATTCCTTTTAAGTAATGAAGCAACCTGCTTTCTCAAGTGAAAATAAGTACTTGTAAACTCTAAAGCCTAATGCAGGATGTTCTTAAGGGGAAAAAAAAACCATTCTGCCACCTCCATTAGCCTGCAGAATGCTCATTGCCTCATTGCAATGCCAGATGGGAGATGGCCTTGGGCCTTGGCAGGTCTTGATCGATGTATGCATAATGCACGTGTTTGCGTCTTGAAGAAGGGGACTGACATCTCAAGCAACCATCACTCACTGGAATACACTTTTTGTCCCCTCTTTCTTGGATTCGTAATTCACAGTAAATCAAGAAACAATCAATTCAATCACCGAATGCTACAGCCCGCGAGCCGACGCAGCGATTTCCCCTCATTTTCTTGGATTCAGACTTCAGAATGAATCAAGAAACATCCTCCGCCGAATGCTACAGCGGTAAGTCCAACACAGCGGCTGTCGAAATCACCGCAAAGAAAAGGAAAAAAAAAACAGAAATCTTGACGAGCCTCATCCGCCGCCTACGAAGTTCTTTTCCCAATCAACAAGAACATGGCCAAGAAGAAGAGGTGGGGGAAAGGGGAGAGCTGAAACAAGAAGAGGAAGGAGAAGAAGAAGAAGCTGACCTGAGGAAGGAGCTGGGCTCGCCGGTCTCCGCCCCCATCTCTCTCTCCTCGAGCTCGCGGTTCCGACAAGGCGGGGTGCTCTACATGGACCGGAGCAAGACAGGTGCTGGGGAATGTGGGTGGGGGGAGATCTGGAGACGGAGGGGGAGCATCGGAATTGGCGGGGGCTGGGGTTATATCAACAAAATGCGCCCAAGTGTCCTTCTCAAATTAATCCGTTAATTAATTGACTAACCTTTTCTCTCTTTTTTTTTTCCAAAAAAAGAAGAGTATTGCATTCTACAAAGTACAAACATTCTCTTTTTTTAACTTCTAAACGATGTATTGCATGTAGAACCTTTTCTTATATAGAAGTTATTTCTAAAAAAAAGTTAATTTAAATCTGTTTTTTAAGTTTATATAAATCAATTGAGTAGATTTTCAGTAAACCGTTCAACCTATATAACAGGTATTATGACTGGTGTTATATAAAACTCATTTATTATGGTTTTATAAAACCCCGCTCCTATATATATATGTGTGTGTGTGTTTAGCACACATTTACTTAAGTTTTTAAAATATAATCTATATGGAATTTTTAATTGTTGATTTTAACTACGATTTAACTCTTCACTACTTTCAATATTTTTCACATATGATAAAATTAATTACAGTTTGAATAAATGTGAGATTTAATGGAATACTTAGACCATGAAACATGTGGTTATATGTCACAAGTTATAACAATATGGCTTTCTACCATTTTTTACCATGAAAGTAATGATTTCTAAAATTTATTACTTTAATTAATACTCAGTTAATTATGTATTAATGAATTTTCTTGTTTCGCGTGCCGCTTAAAATCCCAACCAAACCTTACGAACGAACGCAGCCTTAATTAACTAATTGAAGGATCAATCTAACATATGATTTGATCATGATTTTGTTAATCGGTATTATGATCATCTGGTTACATCTAGATATAAACTTTAGCATTTAAATCAACTAAGACATGTACATTCTAAATATTGAAGAGTGTTCCAAAGCGTCTAAATCGAACATGTATATAATATTAAAATCCAGCCACACAAATACACAGATACCGTGCCAGTGGTTATATTTAAAAGGAGAGAATAATTGTTCTGAACCTGAACTATATATTCTAATCTGGAAATGAGACAGTGGCTTACAAGCTATTTTAGAGAACATATTCTCTAAATCTTTGTAAATTCAACTAAAAGATGGAAAGTATCCATACCTGTTAACATGAAAAAATCATGTCAATATTTTCACAAACTGAATTACATATTTTGGCATCATTTTACGGCGCATTGTAGTATAAAAGAATTGCACTGCCCATGGAGTATCAAGAAGTCATTTCAACTCTGCCGTTTCTTCTCTAATCTCGAAACCGCACATGACCTCTGAGGCTCTGAAGCTCTTCTACGCAATCATCACATTACATGCTAGTAGATGTTTATGCACGATCTATTTCTAGGATGCTCTCAAATTCTTGCATAAGATTCAGAAGCAGCTACTAGCATTTATCTTTGAAATGGAGGTACCAATCGTGCTCTTTCAAAAAAGATACTTCCTCAGTTCCTCTTGCTTGATTCATCGATCACCAGCCGTAGCATCTAATTAATCTAGCTTTCTTCAGTTGACTTGCAGTACCAATGCCATTCCTCAAAGGATCAACGTGTCGCCTCCATGAAGAACACATCTACCTCTGAACCCAAGGCTGGATGATGACGAGTCGACGCAGCTGCTCTTGCCTCGCAGCCTCGCCGGATTGTGTGTCACCGAACCATTTCCTATCTATCCGTGCCATCTCCTCCTGCACCGAGGGCAGCATGAAGGCTTGCTATATATATGTCGTGCACAATCGGCGATCCTATCGGAAATGCCTGAAAGAAACACATCACAAAATTGATCAAATCTTGTTCACTAACCCAGTAAATTAACTGGAGTAGATGATGAAGTATTTTAACAGACGAGAGAGACTTACAAATCCGAAGCCTCCCAACCTGTTAGGTCGGGCCAACCATGCTGTAACCTTGACAATAATTTGAGAGGAAGGCCTTCAGGTAGGGTATCTCGTCAAATACAGTAGATACCGCAAAAAAACCCATTTTCGAGATATTTAACTATTTATCGCTCTTAGATATAACAATTAACTATTTATCACCTGTATTCATATGCCATAGACATATGGCACATAAAATAAATAGTTAAAAGTCAAATATATTTTTAGAGCCCCTCCTAAGGGAGTCATCATACTCCTCCCAACGAGGCATAACCGCACAAATTCTCTCCTTCCGGAAGCCCATTTCCTCAAGCCAGTGCACCACGGTGTAGCCCTTTTGATACCCGACGTTTGCTGTCTCTTAGGAGATCTTGGACGTTGGTTGCTGCTGGCTGGAGCTGCTGGACCGTCAGCATTGATTGCCAGGTTTGCCGTGTAGCTTGAGGTCAGAATAAGCGCGACAAACACCCATACGATGACTCAAAATACAAAACCTAACTTTCCCATCGCGTCGCCCACGCACAGGCGACTCAGGGGCGACAACGAACCCTAGCAGCCGCCATCTATAGAAAAATCTAATTGTTGTATTCTGATATTTCCTGATCTATTACATTGACCCTCTCATGAGGTATATATAGGAGTACATATAGGATAGAGACTTGGAGTACAATACAAATAAAAATAGATTTATCTCTATGATTCTATCTCTAGTACTCTATCTTATCTTTAGGATATATCTTATCTCTATAATTTGTTTTTGACTCTTATCTCTAACTAACATATTATACTTCTAACACCACCCACACCCTCTCCTCCACCTCGCTGCTGCTGGAGCTCGCCGCCGGAAATATAGCGGCGAGCGAGGACAACAGTGGTGGGCTTCGATGACCTCTCAATTCAGGCGCGAAGAACGGGTGGCGCAAGGCAGCGACGAAGATGGTGCGGCAGTAGCGACGGCACGCGACGCGGTGGCTTCCCCTCGACCTTGGCAGCGCCAGATCCAACGTCTCCTTGCCGTGACAACAAGGTTGGCGGTTGCGGCGACAAGTCACAATGCACTTCAGCGAGAACCATTACGGCAACAACCCTTGCAGCTGTGGCGGCGGCCCTTGCAGTGGATGCACACTGAATGCGCAGAGATGTAGCCTAGAGGGGGGGGGGGGGGTGAATAGGCTTTCCTGAAATTTTCTCAACAATCGCAGCGGTTAATTTAACAGGGCCCGGAACCTCCTGGTGAAGAACACCGGAACTTCCTGGCAGTGATGAGCAGCCCGGAACTTCCGGAGTTCTTGGGCCAGGGCCCGGAACCTCCTGGTGAAGAACACCGGAACTTCCTGGCAGTGATGAGCAGCCCGGAACTTCCGGAGTTCTTGGGCCAGGAACTTCCGGGCAACAGAGAAAATTGAAATCGGGGATGTAAAACAGGTCCTAGCTAGAGACAATCAGGCACAAGGTAGCACAAGATGTAAATCACAAGATACCAGCAGATTCAAACACAGATCATGCACAAGAGAGACAAAGGCGATTTTTTCCCGAAGTTCGGATCACACGGATCCTACTCTCCGTTGAGGTGTTCAAAGAGCCGGGTCTCGATTAACCCCTTGCCTCACTTATGCAAAGATCCCAGAAGAAGTCCACAGCCTTCAACTCAACACTTCTAGGTCATTTTCTAGAATTGAGTGACCACCAAGATCCAACTCACAATTCCTTCTAGAAAAGACCACAAGTGCAAGTTGCTCTACCTAGGACAACCTCTGAAAACTCAGCACAAGAATCTTTACTCACTTACCTCGTTTCCTTGCGGAGGTGAGGAAAACCTTCACAAACTTTTCCGGGACATCCACAAGATCTTTGGAAGCTCACAGGCGACACCTAACCGTCTAGGAGAAGATCTCCAAGAGTAATAAGCCCAAGTGACAGCCCACAAGGTATCCAAAGTGCTCAAACAAACCTAATCTTTAAGCCATCTCCAAAACACTCCTACACTCTAATCTAATCTCTCAATCTCACAAGATAGGCTCTAGATTTGAGTGGAGGAAGCAAAGGAAGCTTGGGAGTGGCTAGAAAACCCTAGAACATGAAAGAGCTGAAGTGGAATGGCCAAAGGGTGACCTGGGGACGAAATCCATATATATAACGGCTAGGTGACGTCATCTAGCCGTTACTCACAAGTTTGAACTGGAAACCTGCCAGGAGGTTCCGGGCAAAAGTGCCAGGAACTTCCGGGCAGCACTTAGGAAAAAATCTAGCTAAACTTCGGTGCCCGGAAGTTCCGGCCAGAACCTCCGGGTAGCCCTCTCTGTCCCGGGGAGAAAATAAACTTTGGTGTCCGGAGGTTCCGGCCAGAACCTCCGGGTAGGCCTCTCTGTCCCGGGGAAAAACATTTCCAAAAAAGATTCCAAAAACCTTTAGACTCATGGATATGACTCAGAGCACTTTGAATACCCTAGAACCACACTTGAAACCCCTCTTTATAGTACGGTTTTTTCTAAACTCAATTTCGAAAGTGAAAGACCTAGTCTAATCACCTTCGGTGTTTTTCGCACTTAGGAACATTCAAATTGGGGGGTCTCCTTGCATTCTTAGCCATCACAACTTGCTTTGGGACTAAACTCCTGTGAATAAACTTGATAAACACGTTAGTCCCCTTTAACCACCTTGTCATTAATCACCAAAACCCACTAGGGGGTTTAAGTGCACCTTCACACACCACTCTGGCGGCGGCGGCGCTTGTGGCGGATGCAGATGCGGCAACAGGGGCAGCTCCGACGAATGCGTAGTGTGGCGTTGGGAATGGATCTAATAGGGATGAACGATGACACAACCGCTAGCCGCTAAAAAAAACTTTGGCAATTGGGACCACATGTCGTGTCGCGCACTTGTCACGTCCTATCGTATCCCTCAACAATCAACGGACGGATTAAGATTGGTACCTCACGGTACATGTATCTCGAGATACAAAACAAGACAACCGGATATATGTAGCCTTTTTAAATTAGGAACTTAGCCCTCAAACAACCCAGTCTGAAAATCGCTCCTATGAAGATTTGAACTCAGTACCTTAGCATGTGTTTGGTTGCAGGGGCGGGACGGGTCAGAAGGAATGCATGAAGTGGGTTGAACCCAGATGGAAATATTCCTCTCAGATCCGAGTTTGGCTCATCCGCCAAAATCTCCCGGACCAATTGAACCCACCTGGGTTTCTCTCCCATGTTCTTCCCCAGGGCGGCAACGCGTGGGGCGAAGCTTGCTGGGCAGCACACGGCGCACGGGACGGAGCCATATTTATTAAGACCGGACCGGATCGGGAAAAACTGGAACCAGAGCCCTTACCGGTCTGGTCCAGGTAAAAGACCGGCATGCAATCGACCCAGCCATGAACCGGTGAGACCGCCCGGTTTTGAGGTAAAACCGCTATTAAACCGGAAATAAAATCGGCGCTGAACCGGTCTCATACTGCTGTATGTGGGATGGGCACGCGTGCATGGGTGATGGTGGGGGAAAACGGTCTCGTGGCGCTGAACCGGTCTCATACTGCTGTATGTGGGATGGGCACGCGTGCATGGGTGATGGTGGGGGAAAAACGGTCTCGTGGCTGCTGTATGTGGGATGGGCACGCGTGCATGGGTGATGCTGGGGGAAAAGTGAGGAAAAATATGGGTAGGTGGGATTCGAACCCAGGACCACATAGGAGGGAGTTAACTCGCCAACCATCAGGTTACTATGCTTCTTGTGTTTTTGATAGAATGAGTAATGCATTTAATAGTTATTGAACCGGGTCAGACCAGTGGTTCACCTGGTTGAACCAGTGAACCATTGAACCAAGAGCCTCACCGGTTTGATTACCGGCCCGGTCTCAATAACTATGGACGGAGCTCGTTACTCGTGGACGGGCGCGCGGCGCGAAGCTCGCTGGGAAGCATGGCGGCGCAAGGGGAGGAGCTCGCTGCTCGTCGACGCTCGCAGCTCGCGGACGGGTGGCGGTGCACGGGGCGGAGCTCACTACTCATCGACGCTCGTTGACACTCGTGGCTCGCGGACATGGGGCGGCACATAGGGCGAAGCTTGCGGCTCGCCGATGGATGCCGACGCTCGTGACTCACAGACGTGTGGCAGCACGCGGGCCGAAGCTCGACAACACGTGGACGGGCGCCGCCGCTCGTTGCTCGCGGACGTGCGGCGACGCGCGGGCCAGAGCTTGATGGCACGCGGTGGAGCTCCTAGCGCGCAGACGGGTGGTGACGCGCGGGATAGAGCTTGACGGCGCGAGCCCGCTAAAGTGCGGTGGAGCTCCTGGCTCGTGGACGTGCAGCTGCGCGACAAAGCTTGCGGGAGCACGACGGAGCTCGCGACTTGCGGACGTGCAGTGGCACGCGACGAAGCCTGCAGGAGCATGACTATGTACGGCGGCGCCCGACGAAGCTCGACGGAGGTCGACAGTGCGACGCTTGGCACTCGCAATGTGCTCAATCAAATGCCTTCGACTTGATCCCACCTAATCCTCCAACCAAACAAAAACTAGGACCATCCCATCCCTCTTCAACCAAACAAGCAACTTGGATGGACCTATTCCAAAAAGAGAACCGCTAGCGCACGGGATCCCTTGAGGGATTGAGAGTCATGGGATAGTTAAATGAATCTGCCCACACCAAGCTTTAGTCTCCTAGCACGCTACCTTTTTTTTTCTTTTTGTTAAGACATCGCATGCGGTCTCCTATCGTAAGGCCATGGTGTCAGGGTTATGGATATCACATACCCAATAGTGATCAACTAAGCTCGGTAGGGCCCACCACATACCATGCCTTATACGGAATCATACCTCGTATATAGAAGAAGTTCCGGATAAGGAAGGACAAATAGAGTTCTATATGGAAACGACAAGGACTACTCGGATTGTATCCATATTGGTCTCCCAAGTTCTACTTGGACAAGGGGGCATCTATGGGTAGAAATACAAGCCCCCCCTAGGAGGAGGGGACAGATCAACAAGACACAACATATACGCAAGCCAACACACGCTGGCAGATCTCGACATCAGAGATTAGCCTAAATATACCCCATCCGGTGCCTACGGAGGCCGGCAAGAGGGATCTAGCGCCATCTCTGATCACGATGAGTTCATATTCGAGGAGGAGACTACCCCGTCGTTAACTACGAGTTGGTTATCCATGCCGCCAAGTCGACGACAACTAGATAGGTTATCCCAAATATTGAACTTGTGTGATTCAGATGAATAAAGAGCAACACCGGTTTAGGCCAACAGGATGTAGGGGTATTACATGTTAAATAAGGGGCTCGAACTTGTATAAAAATCCTTGTCTCCATCTCTTTTACCTCAATCTCGCATATACCCTGGTACCGACGATCCCCATACCATCTAAATACCATAGTCATGGTACCACCCGTCGACACCACGTGTAGCCACCACTCACTGAAAAATAAGCTAGTGTTGTTTCTGATGTGAGGTACAAGGCCCGACCTAGCAGGCTAGCACCATACACAATATATCTGATGCCTATATATATCAGATCTGGAATATATCAGATCTGGTATCAAATATCATGTCCGGTATCTATGAGTACCAAACATGATACCTATATATACCAGAGCTGGCACTTAGATATATCATGCTTAATACTCATGATACTTATATGTACCATATCTGGGTACCAGGTACCATATCCGATACCTATATGCACCAGAGATGATACTTAGATGTATCATGCTTAATACCTAGGTATCATGTTTGATACACACAGTTAATGTGCTAGTATCATCCTTGGTATGCTGGTACCACCACTACCCTAAAAGCAACCAAGATCCAAACAACCCATTTATCTGTTTATCCATCCATCGATCCAAAACAACAAAAAACAAAGACAAAAGAAGGTTCAAGTCTAGCAACTATGGAGCTAGAAACGCTGTTGCCGACATTATACCTGATCGGCGTTGTCGGCAACGGCCATGCTATGCCTCGCACCGTCCATCCATCCATCCATCCATCCATCCATCCCAAAAGAGAAGACACACAAAGACAATATCTAAATCCGGTAGCAATAGAGCTAAAAGGCATCGTCGCTGGCAAGGAACCTGCCTTGCTTGTACTCCCTATCACCTACATAGTATTCCATGGCAAGCTCTCCCCATCCTCCATTGTCAGCATCATCATCTCCATCCTCTTCCTTTCTCCAAAGAAGACAGAGGGCACGCCATCAAAGTGGAAGAAGCATAGGACAAGGAGAAGGGGGATCGAGCCCAGAGCAACACTAGTGTGGGGGAGGTCGACATACACGGTGGATTTGCACGAACCTTCACCGACATGATGGAGTAGGGGGAAAGACGAGCATGAGGGGAACAAGGAGAGAGAGAGAGAGAGAGGGGAGGAAGATGAGCTTCCCGGAGGTCCAGAGGATAAGGCCCCGTTTAGTTCCCCATAAAATTTCCCCAAAAACATCACATCGAATCTTTGGATACATGTATGAAGCATTAAATATGGATAAATGAAAAAACTAATTACACAGTTAGGGTGGAAATAGCGAGACGAATCTTTTGAGCCTAATTAGTCTATGATTAGCCGTAAGTGCTACAGTAACCCCACATATGCTAATGACAGATTAATTAGTCTCAAAAGATTTGTCTCACGGTTTCCAGGTGAGTTATGAAATTATTTTTTTCATTCGTGTCCGAAAAGCCTCCGACATTCGGTCAAACATCCGATGTGATACCAAAAAATTTTCTTTTCGCGAACTAAACCAGCCCTAAGTAATGTGTGTGTGGTGGCCTGATACTCTGATTTGTTAAATGAATTGCATCATTAATTAATTTATCCCGTTGGGACATGACACTGTTGTGTAGATTTTCTGTTCCAAAAAACAGGGTGGCGCCAACCTATCCTAAGGAGTCTCCAAACCAAACATGCTTAGGGTGCTACTCAGATCAATATAACCACTAGGCTATATGCACTCTCACGGTTTCTTGTCTTTATAGGTACCAGAAAACAGAACTTCTTTAATGTACGTGGGCACGTGGCTACGTATTATTGCTTCAAGATAATATATGATGAATCTCGCTCGCCTAGAACGTCATTGCAAACATTATTACATTGCCGTTCATCCTAATTAGTATTTGCCGCTTGAAATAAAACTACACGCGTTGACGCAATTAAAAAGACATTGACTTGATCGGTATACGCATCAGAGAGCAAGAATACTACAGGCGAACTATCTCGATCCAATAGAGTAATTCGCTGCTATATCGAATTCTATGCATACGTTGTTTTCCCCAACGCCATGATTAATAATTTTATCGTAAAAACAAACACTCACCTTCTCTCAATATAACAGTGTTTTAATAGCTGGTTAGCTAAGACATTTAAAGATCAACGTTCTCAAATACTCCTCTCCATCTACTTTTGATAATCATATTTCCAGATCTAAAAAAAAATTTTTGATAGGCATATTTCAATTCAACAACTTATCATTTTAATGACTTTCTCGGATTTAATGCATGACTATTCATTCTTCCACACATGATTGGCTACATGGGTATTGAGAAATATAAATATTAATGAATCGCTTGTTTACGAGGAATGACTAGTAGCATGTTTAAATGGATAAATAGAATTAATTATCCTTAGTCTGTGTGCCAAAATGAAATATAACTATCAAAAGTAGATGGAGAGAGTACTAACTAATACGACTAAATAAAATTATAGTAGGAGATTTGCGTTCGGAAACCCTGTGTTTCCAACACAAGCTGTGTGCACGGAAAACGAAACGGCTCATTAGCTCATGAAGTATTTGCTCATTTTTTTTTTCCAAAAGTGGATCAATATGATTTTTTTAAGCAACTTCGTATAGAAACTTAAAAAAAAAAGGTCCCGTTTAGCAGTTTAAAAAACGTGCGCACGAAAAATGAGAAGGGAAAGTTGGGAACACAATGTTCCAAACACAGCCTTAATAGTTCAGAGTTTTTTTTTTTGACAGTTAATAGTTCAGAGTTGAGATCGAGCATGTTGATATTCTACAAAATTAACCCACCGGCCAGCGGAAGAATACTCCGCGAAATTTCCTGCGACTTGCATTGTACAAGTCGCACAAGACCAACCGCGTGTCTCCAGTTAAGGTACTCCTACGTGTATATGTATGCCATTCATAACACGATCATCGATCGAGTAAACTAACTTAATTACACCCGATCATCGAGCGAATTGAAAGAACAAGCTAGCTAGCTAAACACGATCGAGTTATCGGTTATGGAGAGGTGGCCGCTTCCCGTTGCTGCTTCGGCAGCTGCAGTAGCTCGCCTTTCTCTTCTGGTCGTGCTTTGCGGTGCCATCAGTAGGGCGGCGGCGGCGGCGCCGGTGAGGGTCGGAGTTGTGCTGGACCTGGCGAGCGGCGGCGAGGGAAGGAGGAGCCTCGCCTGCATTTCAATGGCGTTGGACGACTACTACGGCGCCAACGATTATTCTACCGCCGCGGCCGCGCGCGCGAGGGTGGAGCTGCGCGTCAGGGACTCGCGCGGGGACGTCCTTGCGGCAGCGCACGCCGGTGAGTGCAGCTACTATACACATGAAGCTAGCTAGCTAAGCTAGATGTAACGTATGCACATGCTACTGGAGAAATGGTTTGTAGTCCCGGTTTGTAACATCCTATAGTCCTAGATAGCAAACCGAGACTAAAGATCCGGGACGGTTCAAATACCCGGGACTAAAGATCGATCTTTAGTGTCGGTTGGTAAAAATTTCTATATTCTTTCTTCCCTACGAAAAATTTCTCTCTGATCAACTTCCATCAAAATTACAGAGGCAATAATGTATACAAAACATATCTCTAAATGTAATATGATAACCAAAAAATATTGGAGGATGAAGTTACTGACCTTTTAGATACCTCCAATTTGTATATAATCACCAAAATAAATTCATAAAAAATTTCGGCAACACCTCCCCTCCTCAAGAAGAAATTTTGAAGCTTGGCTCAGGTTGGATAAAAAATACTCTCTCCGTCCCATAATATAAGGGATTTTGAGTTTTTGCTCGTAACGTTTAACCACTCGTCTTATTCAAATTTTTTTGAAATTATTAATTATTTTATTTGTGACTTACTTTATTATCTACAGTACTTTAAGCACAACTTTTCGTTTTTTATATTTGCAAAAAAAATTTTGAATAAGACGAGTGGTCAAACGTTGCAAGTAAAAACTGAAAATCCCTTATATTGTGGGACGGAGGGAGTACATATATAAAGGAAGCTAACTAGTCCTGGTTGGCGTTACCAACCCGGTGTAAAGATCCCCGGGATCTTTAGTCAGTTAGGATCTTTAGTCCCGGTTGGTGTTACAAACCGAGAGTAAAGATCCCGGGGGGCCTGACATAGCCTACCAACCGGAACTGAAGAACACATAGTCTCGTTGCGCTTAAAAAGAATTTTTAGTTCCGGTTTTTATTGGAACCAGGACTATTATGTAATTTGGTCGACTGATCAAAGATACTTTCTCCAGTAGTGACAGTGGTGCTGGCTTACACGGCTGGTCGGCTGCACATGCATCTGCTAGCTACCTCAGTATACCGGAGAAAACCAACTTCTGATGATAAATTTGTACAAGTGTTTATCTAAATTTATTTTTAAAAGTTGCTTTTTTTTTCTTTTACAGAGAAAGTATGCACCAAACCGTTTTTCAGTTTTACTTAATTTTGTAAAAATATTCCATCATATTTATTATTTTGATTACATGCATCTGTTTACAATGTTATTGCTAACTACGTATCCTCGATCTATTCCTCCGTGTATAAGTAATATGTGTATTTCTCATATCTCTTAGTTAAATACATGTTGAATTTTTTTTAATATTTGTTGAGTACAAAAAACGTTTTTTAATTATTACTTGGTATAATATCTCCTTAATCTGTCGAAGTCTGTTTGTAGCTTCTAGGAGTTTGTTTGTACCGTCTAGAAGAATAATTGTTGGAAACAAGACGATTCATTTCGTCGTGTATTATTCTCCTTAGATCGACATCCATGTTACACGTTATTGGGGACGTTGCAGGAGTGTCCATGATGGACCCCAAATTTAGGGGAAAAGATGAACCGGTGCGCATGCCTGTGTATCGTAAGTATCTTCACTCTTTTTTGTTCTCTGGCATTCATCTAGATTGGGGAGATCTTTTTTTGGGAGGGGGGAGGGGTTGGTATTTGGGGTAGTATTGAACGAGGAGGAGGCCGGATGCAAAATTTCTGCCTACATGGAGTGCCATGTCGGTGGTCATCTCCGGTCAAATGAAGTTTGAACCTGCTATGATTCATTAAACCGAGTTGATGGATTTAGATACGTATTTTACAAGTTTATAGATCTAAGTGACACCTCCGAATTTTGATAAGTAGTATCTATATTCTTTAATATTTGACGTTGATTAGTTTAAAATTAAAATAACCAATGTAAAAAAAAGCAAAGGAAATATATTTTTGCTTATCGAATTGTCACTCAGCACGTACGTCAAAACCACTTGGGTTTGGACCAGGAAGAAGAACGGTTTTAAGAGTTAAGGGTGGTTCAATATCCGATATTAGAGTTTATAGTTGTTTATAAACAAACGCTAATTGAAGGGGATAAAATTAAATTAATGGACTACTTATCCCTTCTCGTTGTCCTTGCAGTTGAGGAGTTGATGAACAAGAACGCCCAGGTCGAAGCCATCATCGGGCCTCAAACCTCAGCCGAAGTCGAGCTCTTCGCTGGCATCGCGATCCGCAACCACATCCCGATCCTCTCCTTCTCCCCTACTACCTCACCGGCGTTGAGCTCACCGCCGACACGCTTCTTCGTGCGCACCGCTGCCAGCATCGCCTCCCAGGCCGCGCCCATCGCCGCAATCCTCGATGTGTTCTCGTGGCGCGCGGCCGTGCTCCTTCACGAGGACTCGCTCTACGGCATCGGCATCCTCCCGGCGCTGGTTCACGCGTTCCAGGTGCAAGGGCAGCTGCTGGCAGGGTCGTACGGTGCGCGTGGCGTGGTGGACAGCGTGTCCGTGCCGGCCGACGCGACGGATGGCCGCCTCGACGCGGCGCTCCGTGCCGTCAAGATCATGCCGTGGCGGGTCTACGTCGTGCACATGCTCCCCGCCCTGGTCGCGCGCCTCTTCCGCCGGGCCAGCGTCGCCGGCATGATGTCGGAGGGCTACGCGTGGATCGCCACCGCCGGCGTCGGCGCCGCGGCGGACGGCCTTAGCCCTGACGACATCGAGCACATGCAGGGTGTCGTCAGCCTACGCCCGTACGTGCAGCCGACGGGCCAAGTCAGGAGTTTCACGAGGCGGCTCAAGGCAAGGTTTCGCCGTGATAACCCGGGCATCGACGACGAAGACGACGACGACGACGTCGCGCACACGTCGGCGTCGCTGCTCTGGCTGTACGACACGGCATGGGCAGCCGCCGCCGCAGCCGATCGATGTCTCCACCAGAGCAGCAACGCGAGGGAAGAACACAACACGACGACGTTTCTCGATGCTCTGCTCGCGACCACGTTTCAAGGCCTGGCCGGAAGGTTCAGGCTGGTCGACGGCGAGCGGCAGGTGTCGGCGTACGAGGTTGTCAACATCATCGGCAGCGGCGCGAGGACGGTGGGTTTCTGGACGCCGGAGCTTGGGGTCTCCCAGGACATGGCGCGGCGCCGCCCCAAGAGTGGCAGCAATGAGGAGCTGAAGCAAATCCTATGGCCGGGCGAGACGGCGGCCGTCCCGATCGGGTGGAGCGAGTCGGCGAACGGGCGGCCGCTCCGCGTCGCCGTCCCGGTGAAGGTCGGATTCAACCAATTCGTGGCGATCCGAAGGCAACAAAACCAGACGAGCGCCGGCGGGGCAATGATCACAGGCTTCTGCATAGACGTGTTCCAAGCGGTCATGGCGAAGCTGGCGTATCCAGTCGCATATCAGTATGTGCCAGTCACTGACAACATGTTATCTTATGACAAAATGGTGAACCTGGTGCATGAAAAGGTTAGTGTCTACTTACCACCTCCATTAATTTGCGTTTACTTGGCAGCATTAACTTTTATTGCTTCAACTTTGATCACAAAATTTATTTTTAACTTAAATGGGTAGAATACCATTAATATATTTTAGAACGAAGGAGGTACGAAACAATATGTGCTACAAGTATAGGCCGATAAAGGGAAACTATTCTAATCCCTCGAGGGGATGTTCCCTCGTTTGCTAAAAAACCATCTAAATGGTTATGAAAAATTCTGGAAAAATTTGACAACATTCATACAACACATATATACAACTTCACAAAATCTTAAGTCCAAACTCAACTCACACGTCGAGATATAAAAAAGACAAATTCAGCGTATGAATAGTAGCGTACTGTTTATATCTAAATTTGTCTTTTTTGTTTCTCGATGTGTAGATCGAATTTGAACATGAATTTTGGTGGACTAGTAGGTATCATTATACTCTACATTGTCAATTTTTTTTAGATTTTTTCACAACTATTTGTATCGAATTTGGAAGAAAAATGTATACGAGGGGATATCCTTTCGAGGGATTAGAATCCACTCCCGCCGATAAACAATGACATGCCACTAAAATAATTTATCCTGACCTTGTTGAGGATAGAATTGTATTAAGATAGAACATTTAAATATACTAAAATTTAACAAATGCATCCGTCTCAAAATATACCAATCTAATACTATTGTATTGTAGAAAGCCGATGTGGTTGTGGCTGATATGACGATCACGGCAGAACGGATGAAACTGGTTTCATTCACGATGCCATTCACCGACTCAGGAGTGTCGATGGTTGTGGCGGAAAAGGAGAAGGCAAACAACATGTGGATCTTCCTAAGGCCACTAACTCCGGGCCTTTGGATCACTAGCATGGCTTTCTTCTTCTTCACCGGCTTCGTCGTGTGGGCAATTGAGCACAGGATCAACCCCCGATTCCATGGCACGCCATGTAATCAGTTCGGAGTTGTATTCTACTTTGCATTCTCGACTCTAGTCTTCTCCCATAGTAAACCCCGTTCTTGCCCCCCCCCCTTTTTTTAAGTACTCCATCATTCTAAAATATAGTAATTTAGTACTCCCTCCTTCCCATATTGATCATCATATAAATTTATACACCAAGATCAAAGATAATTTAAATCACAACAATCAAGATACCATGCACACGTTCTCTCACAATGCATGCATCGGTTAAATTATAATGCCAACTACACACCTTAGCATACACACATTCTCCCGTGCTGCATTAATAATTGTATTCTGATGAAATCCGTGTCCATGCGGTTATATGATGATCAATTTGAGAAATTTTAAATTTCATTGTATGATGATCAATTTGGGAAGGAGGGAGTATTGAATTAGAAACAATCTAGTACTACGATATCTGTCCAAGTTCATAGTACTATATTATATCAAATTCAATACTCGATTACTATATTTTAAGATTGGGGAGTATATTATTATATGATTGCACAATTTTGTTACTATTCCCTTTTGATGACGACACTAATCCTGATTTAATTTTCAGAGGAGAAGTTGGAGAGCAACCTGTCGAAGCTCGTGGTCATCGTATGGGTGTTTACTGTTCTTATCATCACGACAAGCTACACGGCAAACCTAACATCGATGTTGACAGTGGGACAGCTGCAGCCGACGATAAACGAATTAAAGAAGGGCGACTATGTGGGTTATCAGCAGGGATCATTCGTCCAAAACATCCTAAAAGACATGGGATTCAATGAGGACAGACTAAGGGCATATGCCACAATTGACCAGTATGCCGAAGCCCTAAACATGGGGTCAGATAACGGCGGTGTCTCGGCAATTATTGACGAAGTGCCCTACTTGAAGCTCTTTGTGTCTCAGTACTGCCAAGGCTACGCCATAGTTGGTCCAACGTACAAGAGCGGTGGATTTGGATTCGTCTGTCCTTATCATCCCTTTCAACACATTTCACACAACATAATTTAGATAGAAAATGGATTTATGGTACTTGAGAAATTACTGAAAGTTATCAAAATTTTAAACTACAAAATATGGTACTCCTTAATTCCTCAAGAATCGTAGAATTTTACCAAGAAATTAACACATATAGAAAGTGGCAGTTAGCTCATACTTTGTTCTTATACGGTAATTCTTTTTTTCTAAATTTAGGGGTGGCCACGAGTGGAGCAGCTTGAGCTTAAGTCCCACACGTGCCAAAAGAAACACAAAGGAATTTGCTGATCTTTAGTTAAAATTTGTTTAAGAAGCTCATACTCTAGTGATTTAGCCCTATTTATGGTTCCTGGCTTCGCCCTTTACTAACCGATGGGGTTTTTTTTCTTTTTTTTTCAGGATAACCGAGGAATACTGTTGTGCCTTTTTTAACGTAGCTAGCTGGGATTTTTTTTATATATAAAAAAAGGTTAAAACCTGGACTATGCATCCCTTTGGATGCACACATCCGAGCTAGCTAGGATGTATACAGACCATGGTCTATGTTTTTTTAACTATCTGAAACACATGCGAGACACGAGGGCGCTTAAATCCATTTTTTTAAAACGATTCATAGGGCACTTAGTATTTATGTATTTTTGTTCTTTCACTAAGTTGTTAATGGTGCAGTAACAATAAAACTAACAAGTTATATACTACCTTCGTCCTAAATTATAAGAACTTAAAATTAGATTAGATATTTCTTAGCATAATGTATTGGAATAGGAAGTATTAGAAAATATCTTATTTATTTATACGTTCTTATATTTTGAGACGAGAGAGTAAATGTTTGTGCGTGTAATGTCATCCAGGTTTTCCCGGTGGGGTCTCCGCTGGTGCCGGACGTGTCGCGCGCGATCGTGCAGCTGGCCGAGGAAAACAGGCTCGCGAGGATCGAGAACAAGTGGTTCGGCGAGCCCGGCTCCTGCGCGAGAAAGAGCAACAGCACCGGCGACGACAAGCTCCGGCTGAAGCCGAGGAGCTTCGGCGGGCTGTTCCTCATCAACGCCGCCGTGTCCTCCGCCGCGCTCCTGGCCCACCTCGTCGCCGTCTCGTCGCTGCCGACGGAGCTGCGGCGGCGCTTCGCCGTCGTCGTCGCTTTCGGTGTATCCGGCCGGCGTGGAGGTGGAGCGCCGGTGGCGATGGCTGGTGGCGGCGCGGAGGAGAGAATAAGCGAGCCGCATCAGTTGGTTGGGGAACCACCGAACCAGAACCACTCAGCTGCAGGGACCAGCTCAACAGTAGTAGTACAGTAGTTGAGTACACAATAGTCAAATAGTAGTAGTAATCGGCTGATGCAAGATATCACCTCGGAGGCATCATCCTGTCCCGTTCTGTAGTAGTATTTTTCTTGTTTTATAGATGAGTATTGGTAATTGTTACACGATCCTATCAATACTTCAATAGGTTGTTGTTTTATAAATACTAGCAATAACAGCGCGCTACGCTGCGCGTGTGTTTAAGATGATGAATAAAAGGTAGTTTTCAGCTGGTAATTTGTAATCATACATGAGATAAGATTTATATGTAAGCTAGCAATTTGTTGTGCACACATAATTTAGCACAAAGGCGGACCAAATTATAGGTATAAATTAGCTAGTATGGATGTATGATTTTCTAGCTAAAACATCACCTCATTGTTCCTGAGCCCTTGCAATATAATGATTGCACATGTAATGAACAAACATTCATCTAGTGAACATACACATCTCCAGATTCCTATCAAACAAAATAAAACATATCTCTAGACTCCACATATATAGCATGTGCATTTTTTGGAATCCCATGTCATCAGCTCCAATTGTTTTGGTTATCTAGATACCTACAAACAAAGGACTTCCAGAAAAGATAAACCATTAATAATATTGATTGGCACCATCTGAGAACAAAAAGAGACCATAAATAAGAGTGATAGTATCAAGAACACAGAATAACCCATAAGGTACATATTGAACTTGATGATTTCTCAAGCAGCACTGCTAGTGATAACAATTGAGAAGAGCATGCATCTACTACAGACATCACACCTCTTGATCTGTCTCTACTCTCTAGTGTACCTACTACACATATATAGAATTCTAAAAAAGTAAATACTATCTAAATGCCCAAAATGTAGATAAAAAAGAAAACATGGACTATTCATATCAACAATTTTAGCCATTTACATCTGGTATTGATACTGCCATTTATATTCAGCGCATATCTCGACATATTGCCATTTAGCTTGTTATACATAGAGCCTGACTGACCTAACGAAGACAATATAAATATGTATATTTGTGATCTAGTAAAGTTCTAGCTAATATCAAAATCTTCAACCGAAGTATAGATTTTTTTTTTTGCTAGATGTGCAACATTCCTTGTAATTGTCAGTAAGTTCCATAACCCTTGATTGACACAGTAGTATTGGTTGTTGTGTAAGAAAGATCATATAAAGATGTAGCCTTTTACCATAAAGAAATGATTTGTTGGTACCGAATGCAACATCTTAAAAATGTAATCAATAAGCCTAGGATTGGGAGAATGGACTCAGAATAAGCTTGTTGTCTCATAATGGATATAGAGATGAAGGAACTAAGGCCCCGTTTCTTTTAGCTTAAGATTATTATAATCTAGATTATTGAGTCAGATTACTATAAGCTAGATTGTTATAATATGTAGTAGAATAAGCGGTTAGTTGTTTCTTTCCTAGATTATTAGAACCTAGATTATTAGGTTTGCAAGTCTAAAAAAGGAGTGGGGTGGCATGGTGGGTAATTTTTCACCCAATAATCTGAAAAAAGCTCACCTAAATGAGCTTATCAGATTATAATAAGCTAGGCTCGAGATTATAATAAGCTACTTCAATAAGTTGTCTGTTTCTTTCAGCTTACTCCTAATAATCTGGATTATAATAATCTCAAGCTAAAAGAAACAGGGCCTAAGCTAATAAAAATGGAGATACAAATGCACGAATAACAATACCTTTGAATGGACAAACTGAAAGGTTCAATGCGATATATACCAAGATTGCCAAGTTCGGAGAATCTTTGATGACATATCAATCAATATTCCCAACATAAGATTGTCCAAAAGTATATCATACATACTCTGTCATTCTGCATATAAAAATAGTGGGCAGCAAATTAATAAATAAAATACTATCTGATGAAAAGGGAAGGAAGTTGAGGAGACTCAAGAGATGCAGCATCTGCCCGTAGCATACTATCATGGAAATGCGGTGAGTATTTAGAAGACCAAGATTATTACCTCTTAGAGAAGACAACAAAGAATTTCCATACGGTCCAAATAGAAGCACAACAATTGGCAAGTGGCTGCTGAAAGAAGATATTTCATCAATATGGAACTTACAATAAGTAGCAAACCAAGAACAGAGAAGAGATATCATGGGATTCGTATATATCAGCTACATATACATATAATATGTGAAACATCTTATCGGAACTTAGAGGGAGGATCGATGGTTTAAGTAGTGGTGCATAACTGCATATCATGCTGTGTTAGCTGACTGATTCGCAGAAGGGGAAAGATAGTGGATGCGTAGGAAATGGCAACAACAGGCCAGATTAATTACAACCTGCATGAAAGAATGAACACAACAAAGAATTAGGACTGCACAAGGGGGAAGAAATGGCTGTTGAAATGAACTATCTGAGTTTGGAACACAGGTTGCTGAGAAAAAAAATAATTTCATATGGTCAAGTTTGATTCATTCTACCCTGGCACATTATAGTTAAAATCTGGATTATATAGGCACTTAAGCCTCCTTTAATTTGCATTCAGTGAAACATTATCAATGGATCGTAGTTCCTACACTAAGAACTACCTCATCCCATATCCTATTATCCCCAACTGGCTGTCAATAACTGAAAGCCTACTTGGCTGTTGAAATAAAATATCTGAGTTTTGGAACACAGTAGCTGCTCTAATGGTATATAGGCTTCAATTTGAATTGTCACATTTTAGCTATATGACTATGTATGTAGCATGTTAAGCATATTCTGCTATCAATAACTATTTCAATTGTAGAAAAACACTATAACATAAGTATATGGTTTTTTGAACGCCTGAATTTGCACACCTCAGGAGAGATATCCTACTTCCCCAAAATGCATTAGTGCTCCTAAAGAGAGAACCTAGCTAGTGCTTCTCAGTATACCTCTAGCTAAGAGGACAAACCAAATTAAGGAACAAAAATAACATGCAAAAACGTTCCATGGCCACCGCATAGGTCAATGATAGCTAAAATTTCAGTTCTAAATAGGTTAGGATGACTTCATATGATGTTTTAAGAAAAGTAACTAATTCGTATGGAGGGAAAACAGAATTTACATAGATATGTACCACTCCATATGCACTGGAGGAATACCTGCATCTAGAGAGGGATACCTGCATCTAGAGAAGCTTAATAAGCACTGATAAAAAATACAGTAGGGCATTTACATTATGCTCTGAAACGCTTTGAGATGGATCTGCACTGTAATCTTTCTTAGTGTACATCTTACGCAGGGAAAAAAAGGAGCACAAATATGAACCTCAAATCAGTCCAAGAAAGAACTTTACCTTGGCAACCAACTGCAAGCTAGCAGAGAACAGCTGGGACTTGAATAAATGCATGAAAGTCCCAACTGCAAGCAGAGAACCACATGGGGGCAGCGGCGTTGGTACTGCAAAAGAACAGATGCCAATCAGGAGGAAGCCTTTGGCAGAAGTGAGGATGTAAGAGCCAGAGGAGAGATTGGAGGTACCAGAGGAAGCGATGACGTGAACATGGCCTTTGCAGCGTCGAGCTGGCCATCTGGCTGCGGGAGCACAGGCAAGGGATGCGGGGAGGTCGTCCGGCCGTCGGGGTGGACGCGAGATCGACAGGTGCACGGAGGAGCTGAGGGAGCGCAGGAATGAGCGCGTGCAAGGCGGCGTGTCCCTGGCACCGGAGGACGGACCAAGGGCGACTGGATCAACTGGTGGGGCGTCCTAGACCATCGCTTCCGGCGGCCCCTGAACCAGATCGAGCACCTCACCTAGCGGAGTGGAGAGCGCAAAGGAGAGGGAAGCGGTGGCCGCATGGGGATGAATAGGGATAAGAGGGCGGTGGCGGCTCGCGTTCCTCTCGTCCACGCAGCGACGATGGCTCGAAGAGCGCGGGCTGCGCGGCTGCGCCGGCAGCGGTGGCGGCGGCGACGAACGCGAGGGGAGGAGAAGGGAGAGGCTGCGAAGCGGGCAAGAGGGCTAGGGTTTGGTGTGGGCTAGCGAAATCTCTGCCGTCCGTTCGCGATCCGACGATCCCACGGGTGTGAAAGGGCCGCCATGGCGGGACACGTGTATGGCCAGATCGATCGCAACATGAGATCGGACGGTGGGGAGCGGAGACTTGCGCGTAATTAACTGGAAATTCATGGACCATTTTGCAAAAACATCGCTGACGTGGCGTGCTAATTCTTCAGCATTCCCACGGTGTTTAAGTAAAGTAATACTAGAAAGGTCTCGCGCGCTACGCCGTGCGGGTGTAATAAATGCGTCTAACAGCCCAAAAGTGTTATATTTATCTTACTATTTAGCCTGTGCGGGAACAACAGAACAAGTAACACATTTCAAGCTGTAATGAGCTTGATTGGTTTTATGTTTAAATTTGTGCTCTTATAGACGTACTGCTATGGTTTAAGGATGTACACCTCCAGTTAGATTCAGGAAGTTAGCATGTTTTCATGCTTGGATTACATAGTCTGTTGGAGATGCATTATATCCTGGCAGAGTGATGTGTCATGCTGGGATATTTGGCATGGAAGAATCAATGCATGTAGTAACTATATGGCAAAACATCTTCGATCACAACGGTTGCAACTATATCAAATAACACAAAGGGGCATTTTGTGCCATTTAGTGAACCTGATTTCAGAAATGGCAAGCACCATTGATTGAATATGCACAATCCTTGTAGGGATAATTTTTAGAAGCTCAATATTACGAATCGGCGATACAAATTCATTTAGGTCGGTGAGTTGGCAATAGCTGGAACATCAGTTGGTTGATCCCAAGGCCAACACAGAAAAACATATCCTTGTTCTTATCTTCCCACCACAAAACAAAGACCGACCAAACCATGAGCATTGCTAGATTTAAGACAGTATGGTAGGTGGGATAATATTACATGGGAGCCCCAAATCTAAAGTGAATGGGCAGTCAGTTCTTGTTTAAACAAATAACCACACAAGTAGAACATAACTGCTTGAAATAACTTACATTGGAGCGACTCTAGTGGCAGTGTATCTCAGAATAGCTCGCACAATACTGAAGCTCTGGGATGATCACCTTCATCAGGAGATGAGCTACAAATGCATGTCATTTGGCACATCTGAAAACACAATTATATTATATATCATGTGCGGCTAACGAAGGTTTTGTATGTTACTGCATCCTCAGCACTCTGTAGTATGTCCAATTTGCAAAACCTAAAAATATTCTGAATCGCATCTTTGAGGTAACATAAAAATAATTATGTATAGCTTAGCACTTAAAAAGGGTATAGGTTTGTCTTGCCATTCCAAAGATATGACTATAATATCTGAACATGAAATGTCTACTAATTCTCCATGATACAAAGAGCAAAAATAAATATCCTCTTTTTGCATTGATTCAATTCAAGAAGCGTCAAGATTGACCTGATAGTCAATATAACATTACCAATACCACCATGCAAAAATTTAATAAGCACATCTCAGAAATAAATCAAATAAGAAAGTTCATAAGGATTACCTCTTGCTCAGAACTCAGAGCAGAGATCAATGCAGTATGAATGTTCCCTATTATCTTATCTTGTGTTTGTTTCTCAGTGGAACAATTGACAGCTTCATCCATTATGTTTTCCTGAGCTGAGGATAGTGGATTGGCCCTCTAGACAGGAATAGGTATTTTGCAAGAGGAAATATGTCCTTCAAAACTGACCTACGATTTTTCACTTGTCTGAAGATCAAGAACAATTGAGAATGATCAGATATCATCGCTGTCCTAGATGAAAGAACAATTTAGTAAAGTCCTCTTCAAAAATTTAAAACCGAATAATAGCTATTTCAGTAGGATGTTTCATTTGCATAATATTGAAATGGGTAATCTGGGCACATAATACCACATTGAAGTTCTCAATAGTTTAATGCCACCATATCACTTATTTGTTATGTATCATACACAGTGAAGAATATAGAGAATGCATGGCAATAATTTGTGTTGGTCCTGCATGAACTCGTGTATAATGAGGTGAAAATAATCTATATAGATAACACTTCAGTGAATTAAGTAGCACATCTAGAATTTCCCATAAGTTTTTTTAACAAAACTGAAAGCCACTTACCTACAGAACAACATGTATCCTTTGATGAACATCTCTTGCTTTGTACTTGTATCTTGGGCGACCTACCAATTATAAGTGTCTAGCAACTATCTCATAGGCTTTGACAGAGCATATATTAGAGAAATCATAATGAACTGCACATATCGCTGAAATTAAATGGAACATTACTCTAGTTTCGTCAATGCGACCAAGTGAGGTGCCATGTCAGTTTTCAAAAATCATTGGCATCTAGTAGCTGATATAAAAATATTGAATTGCAATATATACAGAACAAGAACAACAAGAAACCACAACTTTGTTAATAGGAAAGCTTGATACAATAAGTAAATTAATACACAAGCACTGGATTGAGGATCTCATACCTTACAACAATTAATTAGTTACAGAGTGGCAATATTTGACCATATAGACAGGATGAAAACCCTTTGAAAGTTGACAGCTCGAGTTATGGTTGAGATGCAATACAACAGAGTTCAGATTGTGATAACTTCTATTCTACTTGGTGGATTTCCATGTTCTTTACCTTAATAGAGGGCTTAAGGAACCCTGTACATCTTCATAGTTATTTGCATTCCTTGATTTGGCCTCTAAAGACTGAAAAAGTTAGCTGTATCCAAATTGAACAATTTTGTGAAAATAAAAAAAATAACGAAATTAAGATAAAGCATGAACCTACCTCCTAAATATCAAGCCAATCCTATCTGAATGTGAATGTACACCATGCGATGAGGGATTTGAATAGGTAGCCTAAAACTGCATTAGCAAATTACTTAGGTATCCTAGTTTCCTCCTTCCTCACATTTTCTCCCTTGTTCCCTGATTCCTCCTGTTGCTGCCTGCTCAGACTCCCAACTCAGCTCCATCTTGCAGCCGTTGATGCAGTTGACCGGAGAAGAGTGAAAGAAGGGGATAAAAGAAGGCAAAGAATGCAGCGGACTCACCAGAGAAATCCAGAGAAGATGAACGGAGCAGCCGAGGAGGGAGCTTGAACAGAACAAAACCCAA